GCACGCCTCAACGTGGCGACCCTTTGCGCCGCGCCAAGAAGTCCGAAAAGTCCCAGCGAACCGAAGGCGACAGCCAGCCCAGTCTCTTCAACCCGATCCGCGACATTACACCTCCCATCACCCCGACCGAAGACGCTGTCCCGAAAGACCCCTTCACGAACGAGGACGGTTTCCGTATATTCCCCGAGGAGGAGCGCAAGCGCGGTGCGCCCATCGACAAAGGTTCTCCCAAGTGGGGTGCTAGAGCCACCCAGCCCAAGTCCCGCGCGAGCTCGCCCCCGCCAGCATTCATCGCCGAACACAGTCGCACCCTCGAGAAGGCCAGGGAACTTGGTCGTCAGGGCATCACCCAGCCTCGGCCGCTCGTTAGAAGCGATAGCCATGACCGGGTCTTTTCCCACGCCAACTGGCGCGTCATGAACGCTGACCAGGGCAATGGTGGATTGCGCAATGCCGCAGAGGCCGCTGCCCGCGATGGCAAGCTTGGAGAATACACTTGGGTTGGCACTCTCGGCATGCCTACCGACGCTCTTGAGGGCACTCAGCAAAAGCAGGATATTGAGGACAGGCTTGCCACCGAGCACGACATGTTGACTGTCTTCTGCTCTGACAAGGACTTTGACGGCCACTACTCGCACTTTTGCAAGCAGATTCTCTGGCCCGTCTTCCACTACCAGATCCCCGATAACCCCAAGAGCAAGGCCTTTGAGGATCACTCATGGAAGTACTACGTCAACGTCAACCAGGCCTTTGCCGACAAGATTGTCAAGAATTGGAAGCGCGGCGACGTTATCTGGGTACACGACTACCACCTGCTACTCGTTCCCGGCATGGTGCGCAAGAAACTGCCTGATGCCAAGATTGGCTTCTTCCTGCACGTTGCCTTCCCCTCTTCTGAGGTTTTCAGATGCTTGGCCGTGCGCAAGCAGCTTCTCGAGGGCATGCTAGGCGCCAATCTGATCGGTTTCCAGATTCACGAGTACACACGTCACTTTTTGCAGACATGCAGCAGATTGCTGAGTGTTGAAGCAACCACTGACGGCCTGCAGTTAGAGGACCGTTTTGTCGACGTGGTTAACTTGCCCATCGGCATTGATCCTGTCAACCTCAGCGAACACCGCGGCGACAATGACGTGAAGAGATGGGTGGAGATCATGAAGGAGCGCTACCAGGGCAAGAAGCTCATTGTAGCTCGCGACAAGCTCGACCACGTTCGCGGCGTTCGTCAGAAGCTACTTTCCTATGAACTGTTCCTCAACAAGAATCCCGAATGGCGCGACAAGATTGTTCTTATCCAGGTGGCCCTCTCCGGCAGCGAAAAGTCTGACTTGGATGCGACTGTTAGCGACATTGTTACCCGAGTCAACTCCTCCTGGGCTAACCTGGCCTACCAACCCGTCGTCTACCTCAAGCAGGATATCGACTACCCCCAGTACCTTGCCCTGCTGACCATGGCCGATGCGCTTATGATAACGAGCCAGCGCGAGGGCATGAACCTGACATCGCACGAGTATCTCTTCTGCCAAGACGGCGAGGTCTTCTCCGAGAAGAAGCACGGCTCGCTGATCCTATCCGAATTCACTGGTACGTCGTCGCTGTTTGGCGGCAACGAGCTCTCGGTCAACCCATGGGACTACCGCCAATGCGCCGACGCAATCAAGACGGCGCTGGAGATGGGCGACGAAGAAAAGGAACGCCGCTGGACTGCGCTCTACTCGGCCGTCATGCACCACACCGGCTCACACTGGTTCAGCGAGTTCCTTTCCCGCCTCGACCGCGTCTACGACGAGCAACACAAGCACGACCAAACCTCGGTTCCGCGTCTCAACATCAACACTCTAGCTCAGCGATACGCGCGCAGCAATCGACGACTGTTCATCCTCGACTACGAGGGCACTTTGGTTAGTTGGGGCCCGATGAACCAGATCATCCCTGTCAGCCCTCAGGTAAGAATCATTTCAAGAACCTCTGCTTTATTAACAAGTCTAATTGGAGCAGCGTACCCTGGATGTCTTGAACGAGCTTCTGCTCGACGAGCGCAACACCGTCTACATCATGTCCGGCCGCCGACCCGAAGAGCTCGACCGATTGTTCCGCCGCGTACCCAACCTCGGCCTCATTGCCGAGAACGGCTGCTTCCTCAAGGATTGCGGCAAAAACACCTGGCAAGAGATGGCCGACAGAGAGCAAATTTCCAGCTGGAAGGAGTCCGTCAAGTCCATCATGACTTACTACCTTGAGCGTACCCCCGGCGCCGAAATCGAGGAGCGACGCTGCAGTCTGATCTTCCACTACAAGAGCGCCGAGGACTACGAGTCCGCGGCCCGCCAAGCGGGAGACTGTGCCAGTCACGTCAATGATGCATGCGAGGAACAGCGTGTCCATGCCATTCCTCTTGATGGCTCCATTGTTGTCGAGCCCATTGACTGGACCAAAAGCACGGCAGCAGAGAAGATCTTTGACGACCTCCGTGTCCACATGGCCCCTGACTCGGAACATAAGAGCCCCGTTGACTTCCTCATGGTTGTCGGTGACGGGCGTGAGGACGAGAAGGTATTCAAGTGGGCCAACGCCCTTGGTGAAGACAAGGTTGTCGAGGACGTCGTGACTGTCAGCTTGCACAGCCGCAACACTGAGGCTGGTGCGACATTGACACAGGGCGTGAGCGGTAAGTCGAAAAGTTCTCCGTACAGTTTCTGTACCAAATACTAATTGGGACTAGGTGTCTTGCTGGCTCTCCAGAAACTTGCTACCACTCCGTAGAGCAAGCTCATATCGGGGCTTTTCTGAAGTCGAGCATACAGCGCTACACTGTGAAACTCGTGCTGCCAATGATTTGGCGCACAACATTTGATTGTGATTGTCCTGGCCATGCCACCAGGCGAATGATACCACAGTGGGATAGCATGGAGAGACGGAGTGCAAAGGCGTATAAAACAGGAAGCTAGGATTTCTTTTTCTTTTTCTCTTTTTAACTCTTTCCTATCGGCGAAGGAAGGATCACGAACATGGCATTTGGGAAACGATGACGACTGCATTGGCATGCATCATACGCATACGAGGGGCGACTCTCGCAAAGGAATATTTCCTAATGTCTTTTTTCCTATTTTTACTCGACTCTTCGCCAGTTCTTGTTGGCTCTTGGCTTTCTTCAGTATCACACACACCTCACGAGTTAACGCTTAGTTATATTCGCTCTATGCGGATCTTAACGTGAAGCTTGTGACGATGCCGATGACTGAACTCGAAACGTTCAATCTGTTTTCCGAGATTCCGAGTATACAACCCCCTACTCTGCTGTATTATCAAATTTCTGTTTTGCGTACCGTCTGTAATCAGGGATTGAGGCTGAAGATGACCCTCCCAGGTACCATTAGGGTACCTATCTATGTATTTGTACGAGGTTGGATGAGGGAAGACGCATCAAGACTAGAAGGGATGCTGAGATTTAGATGAGAGTGTGGGTAGCATCATACCGACTATCATGACACGCGCACACAAACAGATGATAAACTATTCCTTCCTAAGCTACATTAACGTATTCTGACTGACGTGTATCAAGTGCATCACAAGGGATAGATTCTTGTGCGTTTCACGGATCTCGTTTGCCCTCTTTTACAGTTTCGCCAGCACGTTTCGATGCCAAAGCCTCATTAGCGGTCCGTCCACTCCATAGACCGGATCCCGTTCCGGCATGCCTACGTCTCTGATGACAGGACTGAAAGTGCCGGCTGGCTTTTTGCCCATTTCATTTACCCATCTTGGACACCCCTGAATTGTGTGTCGTTGTGTAAGCCGGAAGCCTTGTCCTTTTGTGGTTCAAGGCTCGTTGGGAACGATGGCCTATAGCTCGTGGTACATGTAGAGGCGGACGGAGATAAGAGGAAAGTGGAGAGAAAGAGGTTAAAGAAGAGAGGGAAGGATAGATGTGCCGTGTACTATTGGAAAGTGGACTGACCTCGGGGTACACGCCGATATAACGATAATCTTCCGAACTCTCCAGACAAGAATGTGCTGTGCCCGCGGGGAGGACGATGACGTCGCCCGTCGATACGGAGATTTCTTGGCCTGTGCCTTCGTTGATCTTGCCGATTAGGAGGGTTGAGTAGCCGCTGAAGATGCCTACGTGATGATCAGAGACTTTCAGAGACTCGTTTCTTGCTTGCTTCTTCACGGGCTGAGATCAAGTAGAAGTGGCGTAGGAGGGAAGCACAGGATGCTGCTCTGGATGCTGGGCTTGGTGGACGTACCGTAGCACTCGTGGCTGTTTGGATGGAAGTGGCGGATGGGAATGTGGCCCCAGGTACCCTTTTCCGAGAGCGCGGAAGTGTTAGTTGAGGATGGAGGTAACAGGTTTACTTCATCACTATTTGAAGCATGGAAAGTGACGGCGACGAGAGGTCTTTAAGAGTGCACGGAGAGAAGGGGTTGAGGTTTAGGGCCTGGTCGATGACCGCAGCGGACTCACCCTCTTCTCCCACCGATTCCGGGTCAGGAACTCGGTCACCGACTCCTCATTCCGGGGCTCCGGGAGGACATTTCTGTAGTGTATGACGGGGAGGGGGCTATTTGGCGCATCTGGGTTGGAGGAGAGGAGGTAGCATTCTACTTCCATTGATGAAGCCATATTCTCGATTTCGCGAGTCTCGGGTCTTGAGCGTGTTAGTCAAGGCAGAAGGGAATGGCACTTTGAACGATGAACCGGTGGTTTGGGGACTAGGAGGGGAGAAGAGGGATCGAGCTTCTATTCTTGACAAGGAGTGTCTATCTTGGAGAGTCTATGTACATGGGTATGCCGAATGATATTGGTCTGAACTCTGGGGCGAATGAGCAGGGAAGAATTACTCTATTCGGCAAGTATCTGTGTTTACCATTTCTTCGACAGCTAGGTATCGGTGGGAGCAAAACCCAAAAGCTAGACCCGACCGTCAACAAGAGGCGGGGGAATGGAGGGGCTTGGAGGGGCTTGGAGGGGTTGGACTGTAGTGGAGGGGGGGACACCTAGACAGGCGGTTCGCGGTTCCTGGTCCCCGTGGATCACGGAGATACCGGTCCGTCCCCACTTTCGCCTTGGTCCTACACAACAACACACGTCCGGTCCGTGTTCCGGTCCAGACTATGAGATTTGATTTGAATGTGAGACTCCTTTGCCATGTTGGCTACGTGGGACTTTGTCATTCATCTCGTTCTGGTCTTGGTCAAACAGGGAGGTGATAGGCTGCACGCGGGAGAGGTGCTGGAACAAGATTGGCGAATCTGGGGTAAGACTAGGGTGATTAGTCAAGGTGAGGGGGATGCAAACTTCGAAAGGGTGGCTTCTTGAGGTTCTTGACGAGGGTATTGATGGTTTTGGGCGTGTAAGGCGCGGTTTGGTTACTTGTACGTGGAAGATACTAACACCGCGGGCTTGGTAGTATATTAATGTCACCGTTAACATGACCGTACCGAGTTGTAGTTGAGGCATAATCAGAGATTTGAAGCTTCCATTCGAGAGATTGTTCCTCAAACCTTGAGACTTTTGCGCGGCGTTTCGTTGTTGCAATACACTTTTTTGTCACTACCAAGCCCAAGGAGACAACAAGACCTTTTGCAAGCAACTCAGAGAGTCGACAAGTGTATCATACATCTTTACCAACATGGACGAGCATGCGACCCCTCAAATCGATAAGTTCATCACCAAGGATGACTTTGGAAACGCCATTGCCCCTATCCCGAGCAACACGCGCGGCTCAACGGCAGAGTTCAGGACTGGAGGGCTCAGCGATGTCGAGCAAAACTTGAAAGTCATCGAAGAGGCCGTCGAGGCTATTAGATTTGGAAAGTTCCACTGGCAACTGGCAATGTCCTGCGGTTTCGGCTTCCTTGCAGATCAGGTTCGTTGACTCCTTTTCCGCCCTTACTAAGGTAATAATCAAAGACATATGGAATAGAATGGCGGCCTTGAATCAAGGGCTCATGTTGACTAACTGTGTCTCTAGATGCTTCTCGTTTCAATCTCCCTCGTCGGTCCTCAACTTACACCTGAATTTGCACCTACCTACCCGATCCTCCTCCCGGCTTCGAATTACGCGGGTCTTCTCGTCGGCGCCATAGCTATGGGCTTGTTGGCGGATAACATTGGTCGCCGGCTCGTGTGGCAGCTCTCCATCTTCGGGATATCCATTAGCACAATGGTCGCAGCGTCGGCGCCCAATTGTGCGGCAATCAATGCTTGGGTTGCGCTTTGTGGGTTCTTTGGTGGTGGAAATCGTACGTCAAGACGATGAAAGGTTCAGCTTTTGGAGCTTTCGAAAAGGCTTTGTCTCCTGAGGGAAATGAGGCTGACGAAATATTGCTGTAGTTGCTATCGACTTGACTATTGTTGCCGAGAACATTCCACAGCGGTGGTCCTTCATGCTAGCCGGCCTCGCATGCGTCTGGGGTCTAGGAAATTCTATTACCGGATTCCTTGGTACGTAGACATCTAATCCCTTACCTCTCGATATACATACTGACACATCTCACCATTAGGATGGGGCCTCCTTGTCAACTTTGGCTGTCCCCAGGACGCAACCACGTCCACCTGCCCCAAATCAACAAATATGGGCTAGCGATACCTCTACATTACCCTTGGCGGCCTCTGCCTCATCATGTCCATCATTCGCGCCGTGGTAATCCGCACTCACGAGTCACCCCGCTGGCTTGTTTCTTGCGGGCGTGTGGACGAAGCGGTCGAGGTTGTGAATCGGATTAGTTCAATGAACAGATCTGAGTATACGGTCACTGCGGCGCAGTTTGTCAGGACGACGAGGCAGCAAGAGACTGAAGAGGAAGAGGCTGTTGCAAAGACACAGTCTCTGGGGGAGAACCTGCGTCGTGCGGCGAGGCTGTTTGAGGGTTGGGCTCAGGTGCGATTGATGATCTGCCTGACTTTGCTATGGATGCTTGTCGGCATAGCGTAAGTAACCATCCTTCTTTCCAGCTACAGATATCCAGAAAATACCCAAGTCAGTATGGATGTCGAGACTAACATGACCTCTATCCAGATACCCCCTATTCACCCTCTTCCTCCCCTACTACCTCCGAGCCCACGGCGCAGACCTAGGCGACTCAAGCAGCTACACCACCTACCGCGACTGGGCCATCACCTCGGTCGTCGGCATCTTCGGTCCCGCCCTCAGCATGTGGATGGTCTCCAACAGCTGGCTCCGGAGCCGTAAGTCCCTCGTCCTGACGGGAGCCGCGTGCGCGGCCTTTTCGGCTGCATTTACGTCCGTGAAGAACCAGTCACAGAACCGAGCATTTTCATGCATGATTAGCTTTTGGCTCAATGCCATGTATGCTATAAATTATGCGTGAGTTCCCGTCTCCTGAAAATGAGGTGAAACCTTTTGGGCAGAGAAGCTGACTTCGTCTCTTTTGCAGCTACACCGCAGGCGTTAAGTGTGGAGAACCGCGGGTTGGGCAATGGTTTGCTCATGGCGGTTGGACGGCTTGCATCTCTATCTTCGCCATTTATTGCAACCTTTGCTGACGTCAGTACCCCGGCTCCTATCTGGGTAGCTTGCGGTTGCTTTGCAATGATTGGGATAGTGGGCTTGGTGCTGCCGGTTGACACTGTTGCGTACAACTAGGCCAAATAGCAGAGATGGTGATAACACTCTGAGGTTTTTGATGATAGATTAGCTCGAGAAATCGTTGCTTCTGCGAAATGTCAGGCTAGTTTTGCCTGCGCAATATGGGGTAACCCTGGCTGATTGCATTACAGCCGATGGTTTTTGTGTGGCAGCCCTCGACGTCCTAGACTGAGTCAATATTCAAAGTCATAACGAATGAGATAAGACGCACTTAAAATCATTCCTCTACTATTTAATACTCCAGCCATATATTTTTCTAGTATCGGAGAATGACGGCTGCCGCTACGGGGTACACTGCACATGTAAGGAGCAGCCTAGACCCGCCCTCCTCTCAGACCGGGACCATGACACTCGGCCTAATCGCCTCCATGTTCTGGATACCCTCAGCAGAAGCACAGGTCTGGTCTTTGACAACTTCCAATGCCTCATTCTTTCCAAAGTCTTCCGCCTTGCTCGTTTTGATCACCTCCCCTTCAACATACTGCCTCTGCTCATGAGCCTGAGGCACGAACGCAACCGCGCCTGGCGGAAGAGACTCAGCCTTTTGCAGGTAGAAGCTGAGATCAGAGGACCTATTTGCAATGGTGGTCATGGACGTCGCATACTCCCGCTGCTCGATGCCCAGCGGATCTTTTTCGGGCTGCTCGATCCAGGAGAAGCCCTCACGCCAGTACGAGTACCTCTCTCTGTCGTAGCGCCACTCGTAGTCTTCCCACCGGTCCTCGGCCAAGCATTGCATGTAGTGAAGGGAGCTTCCTGGCCAGAGGGCGCTGACTTTTCCTGTGATCCCCTTCTTGACTATATGGTACACGCCGTCAGTAATTGCAATCTTCTCGACTTGAGGATTGGGTTGTTTACTCACACCAACTGCGGCATGTGCCCGTCCACACCATGTGTTTCATGAACTCTTGGGTATGCTTATCAAAGTCGCTTTGTGCCTCTGGTCTCACGTCAAAGGATTTGACGCGTTGTCTGACGACCTTTGAGAGGATTCTGACAAAGTAGTCGCCCGTCGCTTCGATGGGGCCTGAAAACGAATTTCTTAGTTTTCGTCCAATGACATTAATTATCCCTCACAAGATGACTTACCCATAAGACTTCCGTTGGAAATGGGTGTATTGGGTCCTAGGAAAACCATGTAATTAGGGAACCCAGAGACACCTGTCCCACAGTATGACGTCGGCTCATCGGCCCAGAGGTCTTGCAAATTGACGCCGTTGCGGCCGAGGATGGGAAAACGTGGTCGGAACGAAGTGTTGAAGCCTGTAGCGGCAATCAAAACATCGGCTGGGTATTCGACGCCACCCGCGACAATACCGCTCGACGTGATTCTCTCAATACCGTCAAACACCGGCTCGACATTTGGCTCCTGTAATGTAAGTAGATACCTCTCGCCGGGATTGATCCGTCGACAGCCTGCTTCGAATTTAGGAACGAGCTGGTCCTGCAAGGCTTTGTCTTGAATCAGACTTCTCATTCGTGTCTCGAATCGCTGACGCATATCTCTCTGTTCTGGGTTCGCCTTGAAGAAGGCCTGGAACATCCCATTAAACTGCGACTCTAGACCTTTCCTGATTTCGAGATACTCCCTTTCGTCATCTCTAAACGCTTTCTTTTCGTCTGTGCCATAGGTGTGCCCGGGACGATTGGCATCCGGCAAGGCACACGGCGGAGATATCCACGAGGGTGTCCGGATGAAGACGCTGATCTTGCTAGCTTCTGTTTGGATTTCAGGGAGAAGTTGAACGGAACTCGCGCCCGCTCCGACGACGCCGACTCGTCGACCGCTGAGATTGACGGATGAGTCCCAGTTGGCAGTGTGGAGCACAGGCCCGGCGAAATTCTCGAATCCTTCAATGTTTGGCATTTGGAAGTTGTTGAGAATGCCACTAGCGTTGACGAGAATCTCGGATACGAGTGTTGACCCATCCGCGGTGTCTACGGACCAGGTACCGGAACGTTCTGACCACTCTGCTTTGGTTACGACTGTGTTGAACTTGATGAATTTACGCAGATCAAAATGGCGTGCTACACCGTCGAGATAGGCTTGAATCTCTTGGGATGAAGCATAACTGTACGACAAAGTTAGTTTTACTTGAGAAACTTGCTTGAAGGAACTGGGTACTTACAACCGTGACCAATCGGGATTTGGCGCGAAGCTGAACTGATAGCAGTGACTAGGGACGTCGCATGCGCAGCCTAATGGGAGGGATGAGTGAGCAAAGTTGCCCTTACGGGTCACATCAAGAGAATACCAACCTGGGTATTTATTCTCGAACCATGTACCGCCAAGTTCTGGTGACTTTTCGAGAATTTGTATCTCGACATAGTCTTTGAGATGCTTCTGAAGCTTGTAGGCTGTAGTTCAAACTGGTCAGCCGTGAAATCTGCAGTATTAGCCAATAAGAATGATGGGTTCTCACCCATCGAGATCCCGGATACTCTGCCGCAATTCTATCAGTCAAGACTCTCTCTAATAATTCATAGCCATGTCTAGGTACTCACCCGGCACCTATGATAGTTACACGAAGCCGTTGGCGATCTTTGACAGATGTGTCATCGGTAATTTGATTCAAATGGTTGCCATTGACAGCATTCGAGGTGCCGTTGGTATGGGCATGTGATGAGGTCTCATTTGAGCTGTGTAGTGCCTCGGCCGGCGAAGAGCTGCCATTCATGTGGCCAGTGACACCGTTCACCAGGACATGTGTAATGTCGTTGGCAATCGAGTCTACTTTACCATTTACAGTCATTGTAAGGTCGTGAGCCCCCGAAAGGCGTTGCAAGGGCTTTGGTATTGCGTGGGCCAAAGAATGAAAGCTCCAGGGTTAAAATCAAGAGATGCAGAAAGAAATTTGATATGCCAATGATGTAGTGTCACAAGTCAAAGTTTACGTAGGCAAGATATTGTGATAAGTCCAGAGACCGTCATTGCATGGTATCGACAGGCATGGGGAGAGAAGCTGCGCGTGATTAGAGTGATCGGAAACGGCCCGTGTGATGCGCGGAGTGCAGATAAGAAGAAACCGAACGGGCGTCATTCCCATTGCAACATCAAACCTCCATATCCTCTAAGCAAATCGAATCTGAGACAAGAATAACAAACCGATAGGCGTAGACTTTCTCAATGGCCCAAGATAGGGACGCCACGGAGGCGGACAAGGACGTTTATCTCCTGGATCGGGGCAATCCACCCGATTGAATGGATCCGGAGGCCCGGTCCGTCCCCACTTTCTCGGTTCCGTACTCCGGCGTTCGAAAGGATGATCCCCATTGCATACTAGCATGGCGATGGAGCAGACTCCGGACTGCGGAGTCGTTATCGTGAACAGGGATGGGTGTGTGTTGTTACAAATAGTGAATATTGCAACATTTTCCGCAACCTCTATAATCGCTAGCTAAAGACGAAACTTCCTTCGTACTCTGTTAGTACAACCAACTATTACACTCAGTGCTCGTGGACCAAACTCCGTTGACAATAAATTATACCCCAAAACTCTCCCTCCATCTTGTGTTCCAGTGTATCTTTTGCCAACATGAGCTGGTTCGGCCTCAGCAAACCTTCTACCGCCGCGGAACCCGACGAGCCAAAGACCGTCCGTGCTCTGCCCGCGATATGGTACCGCTCTCCAGCCATGTACGAGCTGGAGAGGCGCGCCATCTTCTCCAAGCGGTGGATGCTCGTCTCGCACAAAGTGCGCTTCGTCGAGGCAGGCGACTTTGTGCAGGTCACCGAGGCGGGCTTCAACTTCTTCCTCGTTAAGGACCGCAAAGGCGAGATCAGGGGTCACCACAACATTTGCCGGCACCGCGCGTATCCTCTGGTGGAGAAGGATAGCGGGCATATGAATGTGCTTGCTTGCAATTACCACGGTGTGTTCTACGTATACAGCAAGATTCAGTTATCAGAGTGCGTAATGCTAACGCTGGTGTGCTAGCGTGGTCGTATGGTTTCGACGGGAAGCTGGCCAAGGCACCAAAGTACCAGGAGCTGCCTTCATTCGATAAGAGTAAGAACAATTTGTTCAGCGTCCACGTCCACGTGGACCAGCTAGGCTTCGTGTGGGTGAATCTGGATGGCGCGGAAAAGCCATCGGTGCCGTGGGAGGAGTTCTTCGCCGAGGTTGACACGCAGCCGCGGTTGGAGGGATTCAATCTGGATGACTACCACTTTGACCACACATGGGAGATGCTCGGTGATTATAACTGGAAGACGTTGGCAGATAACTACAACGAGGTAAGTTTGATTTGTCATTGGTTGAGACCGTATTGTTGTACTGGTGACAAGGTATTAGATGGCTGACTACGTGTTGGATACCGCAGTGCTATCATTGCCAGACTGGTCACCCTGCTGTGGCTGCTACTACAGACTTGACGAGGTATTGGGTCGAGACGCAAGGAAATTGGATCCAGCACTGGAACGTCGACAAGGAGACTGTCCCTGGTCTGGGAATTCACAGCTGCTACCTCTACCCTAACGCATCCATGACCGTAACGTGAGTATCAACCCTCCAGTATCACATCTTCAATGCAGTCAATTTTCATATAGCCGAACGGGGACCCAAACTGACAACTTTAACCACATAGACCAGACTTCATGTACATCCAACGCTGCGTCCCCGTCTCAGCAACCCAATCCAAAATGGAGTACGAGGTCTACCGCCACAAGACCGCCACCGACGAAGCCTTCAACTTCATCTCAGACTTCTTCAAACAGGTCCTCCGCGAGGACAAGGACCTCTGTAACGGTGCGCAAAAGAACCTGAACGCAGGCGTCTTTATGAACGGGGAGCTCCACCCGCGCGTGGAAAAGGGACCGCTTTTCTTCCAGGAGATTACGCGGGGCCTGGTGATGCGGCACAAGGAGCAAGAAGACAAGGAGGGAGGGGAGATTTGGCCGGCCACGCCGAAGCATGATGTTTCTGATAAGACGGGGGAGGATGTGTCGTTTTGTCGGAGTCTTGATTGTGGGGCTGGGTCGGGGCAGATTGAGGGGTTGGCTTGGTAGGTATCAGCATGGAGTAATGGTATAGAAGAGTTCGAGGTCAATTTGTAGACTAGCGTTTCTTTTGTTGAGTATGAGTTTGGTTGGAGCCCTGATTAAGGGTTCTTACGGGTACAAATTGACTAGCGACTTTTCTGATGTGTTGATTGATCCAATCCTTTTCGATACCTGGTGATGACTTCATGCTGGAGAGGCATTTCGTCTCTTGGCCTTCAGTGACATTGGTTGAACCTCGTGTCTGTGCAGGAGGCTAAGACTTCGGCATTCGAGCGGTCAAGGGTCTTCTGACTAAACATGAGAGCTGCCAAAGAACCAGGCTGACTTGTGCCATGTGAGAAGCACCAAGAAGAACTCGTCATGAACAAAAATGGAGTCATTATTGCTGTACGCCTTTTTATCACGATAAACATGCTAATTCTCAATATTCAACCAATCATCAATCGCTCTCCCATAATCATTCGCTTCAATAAATCGATTCGACTGGTCCCCAAACGGTCCAACGCCCTCAAAGAAAATATCCTCAAACGAAGGCCCCATATCCCCTAGCCCCTGCCCGACTAAATGATGCGGCGGTGGCGGTGGTTGCTCTGTGATCGCCACAGGTGCAATATCATCATTAGGAGCATACACACCCACGTCGTTGGGCACGGCCTTGTGGCCCGAGATGCCCGCTGAACCAACAAGGTCGAATTCGGCGGCGCCCGTTTCGGTGGAGAGCTCGCGGGCGTCAGAGCGGAGAGTGGCGCCGAACATGGACTGGTCCCAGCCGGCGTCGGGGCGGCATGCGCGGTCGTAGATGAGGAGGTCCCAGAGGAGTTGGGTGTTTATGGAGAAGGAGCGGTTTTGGGAGGTGTTATCGCCGCGGTCGGGAGGAGATTTCATCACGACGCTGTCTTGGAGGCGTCGGAGGTTGCTTGCCTTCACAATGGTTAGCTCGCGTTTCTGATGGGACATGGACGGGACGTACCATGTTGGCGACGCTTGGCCAGACGGCTCCTGTTTTTCGTAAAAAGTTCATACACTTTTCGAATCCGGATTTTGCTCTGCTCCTGAGTATCTGGTCGTGAACGAAACTGTGCTGAAGATGGATCGTTGCTACAATCACGACGCAGTGCGCCATAACCGGGTCCATGACCGGCAGCGACTTCTTCTCAATGACGTCCAAAAAGAAGATAATCCAGCCAGCAGTCCGGTTCATGCTCTCAAATGACTGCTGGATAAAGTGAACGGGTATGGTATGACGAAAATGCCGCAAGCGCATGGAAAGCAGGAATGGATGGTTCAAGAGACACGGGATAGTCTCGTGGACGAACTGACTGAAGAGAAAGGGAATCCAGTATTGCCGCTGCGCCTGTAGAGACTCGGGGCTCTGCTGGTCGATGCGGTTCGCGGCGAAGCGGAACCTCTGCGGCGCGCGGCAGTCGATGTCGTGGTGGCTTTGCAGGACCATGGAGTAGTCGGAGCGAGAGTCCCAGGGCGGCGGGGCGTCGGGGCTGACTCTAGAGGCAGCGTAGGCCCGGGCCATCCGCCAGACGACACAGAAGTCGGAGGCGACGGTGGATATGTTCTTGTCTGGGTTGTCGTCGAGGTGGTACTCTGGGACCCCGCAGTATGCTGTGAGACCGAGGACGTGAGAGCCGCTGTTGGTGGAGCCCGGGAGGGAGCTTATGAGTCGCGGGGCGGGCATTATGCAGCCCTGGAGATGCTGGAGGACGATTATTGTCCGGAGGCAGTAGTTCCTTTCTTGGGCGTTGTTGGGGTTGTTGGTTGGTGGGATGCTGTGTGCGAGATGGCTCGCGGTGGTGATGCTGAGTCCGGATTGTGTGATGTTACCAGCTAGAAGATGATATGTGAGCTAGGGGATGATGAGAGGAAACGCGTCATCGGAACACGTACTAGCGAAATCAAACATGCTCAGGAGACATAGCGACTGCAACGTGGACAGCTCGACCCGGCCTTCCGTGACCCGCTCCATGACCATCCGGCGGGCAGACCTCGCGAGGTCGTCAACCTGCTGTTTGATCTGGCTGGTAAGGGCCCCGGGCGGACATCGCAATACCAGGGCCTGGAGCGATAAGATCAGCTCTGGATCTCGCGAGGCAAGAGACTGCAGAAAGGTTTCCTCGGCGAATAGCGTGATGGGCTGGGCATGGAACCACAAGAGGTAGCGTCGCCCAGTGTCCATCAACTGCGCCTCGGCGGCACTTGATGGACTCCTAGATTCTCGAGTGTAAGGAGATGTTTGGGACGGGGATGACGATGATTGCATGACCGAGGTTGACATACCTGGGACTCCAGGCGGGAGGACCTGAATCTGCTTTCGGGCCTATTTCCTCTGCAGATACGCTCAGCCTTGGTGAGAGCACGTGGCGAGATGATATCGATGGTTGGGTATGATGTGACACGGGGCTAGTTTATGTTAGATACGCCAACTTAGGTTGTTCCTGCTTGACAGATGTTTGCGAACCTCAAATGTTGGATCAAGCGGTCCATCTTATCCTCCAGACTGTTAAGCCGGGTTTCCTAATCACATCGGCCTCGAATCAGCACTGTCGCATTCTCAAGTCAAAGGCCAGACTAGTGCTACGTACCATCTCTCTGTTGTGCTTTGTGACTTGCGAGTCTGGCACTTCTCCACCAGGCGCATTATATACACATTGCTGTCCTAGTCGCTCACAATATGAGCATGTCGGGCGCTCGCCTGGGCATTTTGACTTTTTGCGACTGCAGATATTGTTAGATTCATGCTTTTGACACTGTAATTGTAATGTTGATGTCCATACCGACATGGCTCACAGGCCTGGCGTGCTCGTTTGGCATATCGAGCATCGTCCATTACCACAAGGGAGTCGTCGTGAGGCCCCAGGTAGGTAGGAGGGGCTGGCGGTGCTGCGATAAGGTGGGTTCCGGAAGGGGAGGGTTCAGGCTCCGTAGTGAGGGACGATCAGAGGCGCGTCAGTGGGATCTATTATTCCCTTGGGATGAGTGAATCGCGAACTTGGATGAGTCTACTATCGGGAGGCATGTTCCATCTCGGGAATTCGAGTCGCTATCAATCGCAGTTAGAGCCCAGTCTATGCTCTGTCCGTAACCCGGGGTCCTCGGGCTGGGCTCGGATTCGAAGACAGCTCGTTAATGCTTGGGCGATAAGTGGTTGAGGAGTGAATCCCCCGTCTTATCGGCATGATATGGACTTGCATGGGTTTGGATACTCCCAGGTCGACTGCGTGTGGAAGGGTGGCAGATGGCAGATGGATGGAGACTGGAACGTCCCCGCACATTGCAGAGCACTGAGGACAGTGGAGGGAAATTGATAAACAGGCGGCCCGGGTGACACATCCCGGTCGTGGGGAAGACCCACCGCAGATAAGCACTCCCCTTTGACTTTCTCCTCCTTCTCCAAGTTCGTGAAGTCCGTCAAGAGTCCGATCACGAGACCCATCATTGGTAACTGTTGACTTAGTACATAGAGTACAGATACACCTTCACTGGGAAGCTGAAAGGTACTCCACGTAGACAGTTGAAACAACTTGAAGATGGGAACAGCTAGTCTTGCTTGATCCGGCCGTACGCTTATGGGGATCTCTACATCTTTTACCGTGAAATTCCGGGGTCTATTTGATTAGGATCAATGGACACCAACTAACAGAAAGCTTCAGTAGTATCCCCCGCTTGATATCGTAGACTCATCCCTGGGCCTGATACACTTGGCCACAAGGCATTCCCCTCTTCGCGGTCAGAGTTCATCTGATCTACACGTGCTCCTCGACCGTTTCTTCTGCAGCTGCCGCGTGGAAAACGACAGGAATGACATCACATTAACCGAATGGACTCGACTTAATTGCTAGGTACGGATAGTGTTCCTACCATGGAACTGTCAACTACGGCAGCGTCACCTCGGCCCCTCGCATCTGGCAGATGCGGCCCTCCGGCAGACGGAGGCTAGCTCAGGGGGTGACCCGCCATCTCAGTAAGCAATTAGCCAATCACAGCAGACCAAAAGGGGCAAACGCACGGCGGAGTCGGTCACCCCGCAGTCCCGAGATCGGCGCCCCTCCAAAAGTTTGAGTTCTGCCCAAGTAAATCGCGAAATATGACTCTGACCCAATTTCCCCCTCCACGATCAATCCTCCATTGTGTCGAAACTCGCTTTACGGAGGCTATTACGTGAGACCCCAAAAGGATCCATATCTAGTGACAAAGTGGACTTTTTCTGCCAGCATCGAACCACATCGAATTGCAACCCCAATCGACTTAAGAGTCACTCCCCGCCATCCACACCTCCGCGAGTCCCGAAAACACCAACGGATTCAACCCACGATCCACGAACCCAATATTCCCGATACAATAACAAACGATACTCACAATGGCTGCCTTCCCGCCCCCTCCAGTAAACACCATTGACTGGTCCAATGTCGGCTTCAAGATCCGCGAAGGTAGAAGCTTCCTCCAAACGCTGCCCCTCCTTCGGCCCCTCCTTCAACCATCTTCTCCATGAACCACCAAGAAAGAAAAGCCAAGCTAACATCCATCTACAGTCAACGGCCACATCGAGTCCACCTACTCCGTCACAACTGGCAAATGGACCCCTCTCAAGTTCGTCGCCGACCCCTTCATGCGCATCCACGGCATGGCACCCGCCCTCAACTACGGCCAACAAGCCTACGAGGGCCTCAAGGCCTTCCGCGCCCCCGGCGACAAGCAAATCAACATCTTCCGCGCCGACAAGAACGCAAAACGCCTCCAGCACTCCGCCGACGTCGCCTCCATGCCCCGCGTCCCCGAAGACCTCTTCATCGCCGCCGTCAAGGCCGCAGTCTCCCTCAACGCCGGCTACGTCCCGCCCCACGAGACCGGCGCGGCCATGTACATCCGCCCCCAGCTCTACGGCTCCTCCGCCCAGCTGGGCCTCAGCCCGCCCGAGGAGTACGTTTTCGCCGTGTTTGTGATCCCCACGGGCGTCTACCACGGTAGCCACCCTGTGAATGCGCTGATTCTCGACGACTTTGACCGTGCTGCGCCGAATGGTACTGGACACGCCAAGGTGGGAGGTAACTACGCGCCCGTGCTGCGCTTCAGCGACCGCGCGAGGAGCGAGGGATACGGGATCACGTTGCATTTGGACAGTGTCAAGCATGAGGAGATTGACGAGTTCAGCACCAGTGGTTTCATTGGTGCCAAGAAGGAGGGCGACAAGATTACCCTCGTCGTGCCGGATTCCAAGTGCGTTATCGACAGTGTGACGAGCGCCAGTATCCAGGATATTGCACGTAGCTTCGGCTGGGCGGTTGAGAAGCGAGTGGTGAGTCTTTGGAATCAACCCTCTTCCTCTTCAGGAAGTGCCATGATGATGATGATACTAATCAAGGGCGCACAACAGATCAAGTACAGCGAACTCCCCACCTTCTCCGAGGTCATGGCAGCCGGCACGGCAGCGGCCCTGGTGCCCATCCGCTCCATCACACGGCGCGTCGACGCTTCCTCCCCGCAGTCCCTCGCCGGTAGCTCGCAGGAGCGCGTCAGCAGCGCCAAGGCGGGCGAGGAGACGGTGACGTTCATTCCGGAGAGCCAGGAGGAGGCGGGCGATATCTGCCTCAAGCTGTTGTCGACGCTGCAGGCCATTCAGCTCGGCAAGCTCAAGGACGAGTTTGGGTGGAACTTTGTCGTCAGCGAGGCGGACGGCACGGCTGTTGTGGGGGAGGCCAAGACAAATGGGTCTGCGCAGACTGTTGATCAGATGGATTAGGGTGTTCATCAAGGGGTGAGGATGTTTGAAGGCTCAATCACGTCCCTGTGATACGGCATGGTCGTCGGCTGGACTTGTCTAGGCGTACATATGCTCGGGAAAGGCTTGATTGGAGCGGAGCAAATCAGTTAAAAGGCAAAAAAGCGTAAAATGAAAGAGAGCAATGATTGGATCCAGGTATACGGACTACGGGCCACGCGTAGGAATTACGCATCATGACACGCTTGTTTGGCTTGGGCGGTGTACCATGGTGTCGGCGCCATGCGAAGTACCTAGGCAAGACAGGCTCTCGACGGGCTACTCTGTTAGTGAACCCCGAGGAGAGATTGAGTTTTGGGTTGACAGATGCAATAGGCTTGTGGTTCAAGCACGATGTCGTGTGTCCCATGTAGCATCGGACATTGCCCTTGCCAGGTCACGGAGAGAAGAGAGATCAACTGAGGGTAAGCATCTCTCCTTCGGTCCATAGCTGGCATCACGGGTGACACAGACCGATATCTACCCTGCTGGTTCCAACAGTCTAGGACGGTCAAGCATGCGATGTAATCTCACCAGAGTCACCAGAGTCCGTGCCAGGCGCGGCACGCGAGTGGACTTTGGATTGGATCTGTCAGTTGTCCCCAACATGGGCAAAGCTAGCCCGGTGGTCAGTCTGTTGACCTGGATCAGTCTGTTGATGGGTTGGGGGAGAGGAAAACCTGGAAAAAAGTAACGGTAGCCGTATCCAGTATCCCGTGTGGCTATGCAAACCATCAAACATAAACAGACGAAAGTGTCAGTGAGAGACTGTTAGTGACAGAGAGTGGGATAGACGAAAAATCAAAAAAAAAAAAAAAAAAGGCTTGGCAAACACAAGTGAGCAATGTCTTGGCGGTCCAATGGGACCATGGTGAAGCAAAAAATCACTCACGCCAAAAAGTTTGACACTTTGAGGCTTTTTCCGTGAGATGAGATTGTCATGACCCAAGTCGCCTTTTCTTAGGGCGGATAGCCGACCTCTTGAAAATTGTTAAGGAAATGGATGCGGCGCGCTTGGCGGGCGCTAGCAGAAGCTTAGCAGCTCTAAACAAACCAAACACGGCCGGGTGGGTCCAGATACCCGTTCGTGCCTCCGAACATTGGGTCCACTTTTGGTCCCCAAATGGCCCCACTCGTCTCGCATGTCCCCGCAGAAACCCTCCGGGGATGGCAGGGGTAGCTACGGGCGTGTCGCTTGCATCCTCCCACCTCCCCCCCTTCTTTGTTTCCATCCTAGTAGTTGAGTAGGTACATAGTAGACTGCACCTGAGCCTGGGCTGCCTCCCGACGCCCATCTTCCCTCCATCCTGTTCGGCTTGCCCCCGATTCTCTCTTCTCTCTCGAGGTCCGTCATTCTGCCCATCGCCGTCTAGTCATGCCTGACTTCGTACACAGCCCGGGCCATCTACGGCAACGACCGGCAAAGTGGCCAGAGTTGGTGAGGCATTATTCTGTTGCAGCTTCAAAGTTGAAGAGCATTCCTCCTTTGGGTATTCACTTCCCTGGATGCCTGGATGGGCCCCCCATCCATCCACGGACCACATCGTCAACATCAATTTCCCCTACGCCCGCAATTTGGCTCTTTTTGGCACCGCCTTGGCAAGTTGGCTCTGCTCTGGTGTTCGGAGGGAAAAAAGTAATGGGCCAAGGAACTCATCCCACCTTTACTCTCACGTAGTCAGGGCTTGGCAGCATATCAGCACACTGGCACGTGCAGTGAGATCAGGTCAGACCATCAGAAAAGAGTCGAAAGACCAAGGCAGTCAGAAAGACCTAGCATCGCGAGAGGGTGTAGAAGTCGAGAGCTGAAAGTACGCTAGAGACTTTTAGCAAGAGACAACATGGCCAGCGGCAGCCCACCGTCAACAAGCTTCTTAACAGAAAACCTGAGACGCCGTCATCGTTCTGGTGAGTGTGACCCGTTTTCTGCCATGGAAAGTCAAACTTCGAGCCTCATCCTTTGGCGCTGTCTCGATGGGAGTCTCGATGGGAGTCTCCATAAGGACACCATCATTTCAGCCATGTATACGGGCCCCGCGAACACCGCATTCTTAGTCTCAAAAGAATTAAAGACTCAACTGCGCGTGCTCTCCCACCATCTCTTCACTGGAGGAGAGCCGCCTTTACCCCTACCTTTACTCAAGCTACCCCTGCCATGCATCCCCCTCTACTATGTAGTCATCGCACGCAGTCTTGCAGAGAAAACGTTCATCATCACCACTTTATGGATACAGGCTACAGCATGTCGGCACACTTACAGCGGGCGCTCGCTCCTTCACCTGCATCGTCCGGCCTTCCTTCCACCCGGCACACCATGCCGCGCTTTGCCTGAAGTACCGTACCTACACCGTACACGAGCCATCCAACACCAAGGAAGAAGGGCAATACCTACCTCACTAGCCGCTCCGCTTCCGAACCAACCCCCATGATTGAGAAGCTTGTGACAGTCTTGTTTCTGTCATCAAACTCTTTCCCATAGGCATCAGAGGGGGGAGGGGAATCCCCGTCTGTTCACAGATAAGCCCGTGCATATGTGCAGATGGAAAACCTGCACGCCACATGCCACATGGGATCTCACAAGTAGGCCCCGAGGTGGATAACGTCAAGAAGGGTGGTAGGGTACGAGTGGGCTGGGAACTTGAAAGCCGCCCCCGGGGATGGCCGTCGTCGTCGACCGCCCAGTCGTTTCTCGATGCTAACATGGGCCCGGTGGCTTTTGCTCTACCCGGGCTAATTGACAAAAAAGTAGGGGCCGCGTCTGTACTAGGGCCGCTTCATCAAGGATGCATCGAATTCCCGTTACACTAGCCGGGCTAGCCTTGACCGCCATGCTGGCCTGTTTCTCTGTAACTCTTCGAAGGGTCCCCGAGATGGGCAAGATGAACCAAGATCCCTCATGGCACCCCCACTCCGTCCCCTTCCTCCATCCAACTTTGCCGTCTTTGTCTTTTGAGACAAAGATTCAAATCGTGAGATTAGGGTAGGGAACCCCAAAAAAGATCGAGACCCTCCCATTCCAAATGCTCGGGACTTAAAGAAGTCGCGTCTGCCCTCCCAGTCCTCAGAAGTAAAGCTTCCTAGTCTGTTGGTTCTTGTGACGTCCCCCTTTTACCACTTTGCTACTCTCTGCCCCTCGGATCCTGCTATTTTGTTAGGTCTCATCTTCCACACGCTGTGCTTTAAGCCGGCGCTCTTTACCTCTCCTCCTTTCCTGCCTATCCTCACAGCTTTTCCCACCCCAAAACCTATTCCCGCCTGGCATGGACGCCCAGGGCACCCCAACAACCCCGAGCGCTCCCAGAATCACAATCGAAGACAAGCTCGAGAAGCACAAGTCCGGCTCGACCGTCGACGAGTGGTCGACATGGCCGCGCCCCGGTCCTGATGTCGGCTCCAGCTCTGGCATCGCTGGCGGTATCTACCACAGTCGTGACCTGAACCGTGTCTCTTCAAACCGCCTCTCGCGCGCTATTACAAGGGAATCGAATGCCGAGGCTGATGAAGGTGGTGATGATTGGCGTCGTGATGACGGGAGGAAGAAGCAGGTCTTTACTGGGACGACGTTGATGTGGTATGTGTTTGGCGATGACGCGCTCACCTGTTTAATTTGAGGGAATTATGTGCTGACGGGTTTTGAAGGCTTGCGTATCAATCTATTGGTGTCATCTACGGTGATATCGGAACCAGGTAAGTTTTGATCAGGAAACGTGTACAGAAACATCAAGTTTTGCTGACGACAGTATAGTCCTCTCTATGTGTACTCGTCCACCTTCTCGGATCTCCCGACCAAGAACGACCTCACTCAGGTTCTCTCACTTATCATCTGGTCCCTCACCCTCATGGTCACGGTCAAATATGTCTTCATCGTCTTGCACGCCGATAACGAGGGCGAGGGTGGTACATTCTCATGCTACTCCCTCTTGACTCGATTTGTAAGTCTACTTGCTCCAGCACATCAACAGGCTCTCCCCCCCCAATCCCTGTACAGTTACTAACACCACCAAGGCCAACATAACAAACTTCGATCCCCGTGAAGAAGCAACAGTCCGCATGGAACGGCACAACACCCAAGACGTGCGCCCCGTCACGCGCGGCATTCGCACCGCCATCGAAAAGTCCAAATTCACACGAGGCTTCCTCAAGACGATTGGTGTCCTCGCCGTCTCCATGGTCATCGCCGACGGCATCCTAACCCCCGCTCAATCCGTCCTCGGCGCCATCCAGGGTCTATCCGTCGTCAAGCCCGACATCAGCACCTCCACCATCGTCGGCACGACCTGCGGTATCCTGGTCCTGCTCTTCCTGATTCAGCCCTTGGGAACCACCAAACTCGCCACCACCTTTGCGCCCATTGTCATCATCTGGCTGGGCTTCAACGGCGCCTTTGGAATCTACAACCTTGTGAAATACGATTACACCGTTCTCAAGGCATTCAGCCCGTACTACGCCATCCACTTCTTCATGGACAAAAAGACTGAGGGCTGGAAGATGCTCGGCGGCGTTCTTCTCTGCTTCACCGGTGTCGAGGCCCTCTTCGCCGACCTGGGTGCCTTCAGCATGCGCGCTGTGCAAATGAGCTGGCTGCTCTGGACGTACCCGTGCCTGATCCTCGCCTACAGCGGACAGGCCGCCCATCTTGCCGTCATGCCGGAGAAGTACACCAACCCCTTCTTCAACACCGTACCGCCCGGCATGCTCTACCCCAGCTTGATCCTCGCCGTGCTCGCCGCCATCGTCGCCTCGCAAGCCATCATCACGGCAACCTTCCAGCTTTCCAGCCAAATCATGAAGCTCTCCTACTGCCCGCAAATGAAGGTCGTCCACACCTCCTCCACCTTCCACGGCCAAGTTTACGTGCCCCTCCTCAACTGGCTCCTCATGCTCGGCACCATCCTCGTCACCGCAGTCTACAACAACACCACCAGCCTGGGACACGCCTACGGCGTCTGCGTCATCTTCGTCACCTTCTTCGACACCCTCATGGTCACACTTGTCGCTATCCTCGTCTGGCGTCTGCCGGTTTGGCTCATTGTCCTCCCCTTCCTGGCCTTCGCCACCCTCGATGGCCTATACCTCTCCTCGGCGCTCAACAAGGTCCCCGACGGCGCGTGGTTCACACTGCTCATCTCGGCCCTCATGGCCGGCATGTTCCTCCTCTGGCGCTTCGGCAAGGAGAACCAGTGGCGCGCTGAGGCTGAGGATCGATTCCAGCCCAGCACGCTCGTGACCAAGAATAAGGAGGGCATGTTGGCGCTCACGCAGCGCTGGGGCGGGGATGTGCTTTCCCCTGTCAGCGGATTCGGCATTTTCTTTGACAAGACGGGTGTGCAGACGCCCTCCGTCTTTACACACTTTGCCTCCAAGCTCGGCGCGCTGCCCGACGTGGCGGTTTTCTTCCATCTTCACCCCGTCGAGGTCCCCACCGTCCCCGATGCGGAGCGCTTCCACATCTCGCGGTTCGCCAATCTGCCAGGTTGCTACCGCCTCGTCGTGCGACACGGTTTCATGGACGAAGTCGTTAGTCCCGATCTCGGCGCGTTGATCTACGAGCAGGTGCGCAAGTTCGTCGTGCGACAGGCGGCGGCCAAGGCGGCAACTGCGTGCGGGGAGACGACGACGGACGGTTCGTGGGAGGAGACTGAAGGCCCCGTTGAGCTGCGGGACGAAAAGGTCGCGGCGGAACTGGCGAAGCTGGATCGTGCTTATTCGCACAAGGTGTTGTATATCGTCGGCAAGGGGCAGATGCACATTCGGACGGGGACGAGTATTCTGAGGCGCTTCACCTTGGGTACGTTCTTGTGGATTCGGGATAATACCCGGGCCAAGATTGCGAATCTGCGGTTAGCAATGGACAGAGTCGTTGAGGTTGGGTTTGTCAAGGAGATTTAAGTGTTCACCCATAGCAGTATTATACATGATAGTATTATGTGGAGGGGTTTCGGGTGTTTGGAATTAGATGACGGTGCTGTGCTGGAATATGTTGGTTTCGAAGTTTAGTTCCAATTGAACCTTTTCCCCGATTCCTACTGTTGCAGCTGTGGCCGGTCTCGTCCTCCCTCCCGCCCCTTCTTGGCAACATGTACACATGGTCTAGGCGATTATTTGAGACTGTGCTTGGTTGACAATGGCCTTGACCGTATAGAATTCTAACATCTCCAGGAACAGATAGTGACCTTCCAGTGCTTTCTTCAAACGAAAAACGGGCATTGAAATTGGCTCGTACGATTTCAAGATTATGCCACTGTCTGCCAACAAACTTTTACAAATAGACCGATGTCAGCTACTAAAGCACCAGTTTTATGTTGGATTATAACAGCAAAATCAGGAAAGAAATGTTGGACATTATCACACCCAGAATAATGCTAAAGCAAGAGGGATTTTGATGGTGTTACTGGAGCGTCACAAGGTAGACTTCCAATTGAAGAATGAAATAGCTCTGTATTGAAGTATCAATATGGCATACTAAAGAAAGTAAATCTCCTCTGACCTCTGTAGTCAGTCGCCGTTGCCGCTCAGGCAGGAATCAACTTGCTCAGGCCGTTGTTATTCAAGATACCCTTGAAGATGTCAATTGTGTCCTCAAACTTGTCAATTTTCTTGTCGGCAATCTTGAGTTTGTCCTCAAGCGCGTGCGCCTTGTCGCGCTCCTTGATCAGCAAATCCTGCGAGATGTTACGCTCATCCTGTGCGCCATCTCTCGCGGTTTCAAGGGCTTGAATCTTCGAGTTGAGACGTGCTTGTGTCTGCCCAAATGACGAGGCTGTTCCCTCGAGTTTTTCGATATCACCTTTGAGCTTCCTTACCAGGTCCTCAAGGTCGACGTTCGTGGTCGTAAGTTTTCCGTTCTGCTCGACAAGCTTCTCGTTGCGCTTCTTTTGCACATCCAGAGTAGTCTGAAGGATACTGAGCTTGTCCACCAATTTCTTGACATTGTCCAACTCAGTCTCGAGACGGGCCTTAGTAGCTGCAAGATCAGGCACGACCTCATTCAGCTTGGTCAGAAGCAGATCCCGTTCAGCTCTGGCATCTTCAAGTGAGAGTTCCAGTTTCATGATTCTCTTATGGTCCTCGTCATCGTGGTCGATGTCCTTCTGGAGCCGCTCTTGAAGTTCTTTCACCTCAGCCTCAAGTTTCTTCACCTTCTCTTGAGCTGTCTTGACGCTGCCTTGAAGACTTGCAGCTCTAGCCTTCTCGACTTTGAGATCGTCAATCAAGCGATCCCTGTCCGCGGCGAGTTCCTTGAGGTTTTTCTGAGCAGCTTGGAGCTGGTGGTCGCGAGCGTGGAGATCGGCATCAAGAGCTTGGAATCGCTGCTTTCTATTAGTAAAAGTACCTTTCTTGACGGACCTCCCGCGATTACGTACCTCTTCGGCATACTTGGCCAGGTAGCCAGCTTGGTCGATGAAAGCCTGAGCATGAGTCAAGGTGTCAACCAGTCCGCGAGGGAAAGGCATCGGGGTGGTGATGCGAGCAAGAGATGGTTGAGTCTGAGGAAGACGATGGTCGACTTCGACCTTGTTGGGGGTGGACTCGGGCGGGCCGAAGTCACTGTTTTGGATATGTGGTCAGCACTGTTTGCTTGAGAGGTAATGATAATAGGCTGCTTACTGAGAGTGGCGATCATAAAGAACGGCAAGAGCGTATTCGCCGAGCTCCTGGCTGACATGGGCTTCGCTATCGCGTCCCTTCATGTGGACAGAGAGTCTCTCCGTCTGTTCCTGCCAGGTGCAGTTCAAGTGATAGAAGGAGTCATACTCGAACTTCACACCCTTCCCGGAACTGGAAAAAGTGTTCTGCTTGGCGACATGGAGGTTAGGGTTCTTGGGCTTTCCCTCGCCGTTCTGAGTCCACTGCCAGACAGCCAAAACAGGCTTGTCCTTGCCGAAACCCTCAGGGACGATAAAAGTAGCCATCTCGTTAGTGGCATAATTGGGCCAGTTGATCTTGCCAGTCCAGATGCGCAGGGCACCCTTGGGAACCTCGGTCTCGGACTTCCAGACTTGCTTGAGAGTCATGGTTCTTTTCTCCTTGTTAGGGTTCGACATGGCAACCTTGAGCTCACCATACACCTTCTGGGTGGTGATCTCCCACGAGTAGTAGTGCGAGTTCTTGAGCGTAAAGACATCGTCGCCGCTGGCCGTCTTAGAGACCTTGTCGACGACAAGGTTGAGGAACCAGTTTGCCTTTTGCGCGCCGCGGGCGTCCTTAGTCCATTGCGAGAAGAGGTAGGCCGGGTCGCCGGCGCGGGCGGGACCGTTGGGCAGGGTGATGACAAAGGTCTCGTCCTGGCCGTATGGCTTCCAGTCGAGCTTTCCGAGGTAGACGTACATGGCGGTGGATTTGAGCAGCGGAGCAGGAGGAGAACCTGGAGAGGTGGAGGAGGAAGGCTTGTTGTTGTCCTTAGGAGGAAGCGGTTTCTTGGGTTGAGGTATTGGAGATGGTGGAGAGGGTGGTAGATATCTTCTAAATGGGATGAGAGGAAGTGAGAGGATTCGAAGGATGAGACCGAACATCTTATAGTTTGTGAGATGAAGAAGAAAAATCTAGAGCGATGTCCTTCTTCCTGCAATTTATGCGAGTTGCCAAAGCTGGGAACACAACGTGAGAGGGACTTTGCCACCAGCTTCCTCTTCTTGGGATGTGCTATTGCAATTGTTGCTACGAACGGTTTCGTTCGATAACTGTCAGCTGAAAGAGGTCCCTGTGGCTACTTGAAAGCTGGAGCTGGCAAGACAGAGCTGATGAAAATTCAATCCCTGAAGTTCTGTTGGCCAGAAGCCGAGATGTTGCAAGAGGGACCTAGACATTCTATGGGCATTCAGGCGCATTCGAGTCTCGGATGGAGCATCCCGCTTCTGGATGATCTTTTGAGGCTTGCCTAGCGCCGGCTGATAGCTGTGCCCTGCAAGCATTAAGAATGCGCGAGTCTGTTGCGAATGAGACATTCGGGAGCTCGAAGGGGCACTGCGATTGGCCTAATACCGCAGATCCCTAGAGCTCAAGAAGAAGCTCTCCTTGTGTCCGTTGACCGTTAGTTCGGTACTGTATATGTTTCGGCCTAAGTAAACATACGGCCCCAAAGCTCGACCGAGGAGCAGATCCTCCTTTGCCTAGGTAAAGGATCTAGATCTTACATTGCTTATCGAGTATCTCACAAATGTCATGTACGAGGATCGAAACTGTGGAAGAGAACTTTTACGAACAATTAAGAGCAAATAATTCTGAAATGCTAGACGATCTCTCGTCGGTAGTTATGTGTCAACGATAGCTGCAGCCCGCCCATTCCCGCCCGTTAGTGATCAATGCCGCTTTCGGGTCATTATCCAAGACATGGGAGAAGCGAGAGTTCCTAGATCTTTCAGCTTGGCGTCCAGAATCTCCAGATCAAGTGCGGGGGAACTCGCCAAGAACTTCACCGACTGACATACGCAAGCCACAGAACAACAAGTAAAAGCATTTCGTTGGAGTTCCTAGATGAAGCTGAGGCCATGAAATGATATGGACCCCCTTCATGCAAGCAACAACAAACATGGCGATTGATCATGTAACAGCGAGGGACGGCACGCGACAGCTGAACCGCTAGCGCTAAAGGGCATTTCTAAACACTGCAATTTGTATGCTTGGCCGAGACAAAGGTCTCGGCTGCGAAATAACCCTGGATGAATGCGACGAGACAGACCCTAGGTCTCAAATGTTCGCCCCCCAAAGGACTACCCAAAGAGGGTTGATCACGATGCGGGGGTTAATAGTGGTTGAGAAGGTGGCAAAGTGAGTGCAGAACTACTGGAATCGAGAATTCCTTCTTTTACTCATCTGCTCCTAATGATTACAGTCAATGTTCATTGAGTTGATCACACACCAAACGAACATCGAAAGGCCGCAGTGAGATTCGTGGACCGTTTAGAATTTCTCGCCATATATGAGGTCTTGGGCCATGATCAGCAAGCCTCCATTCTCGGGCGAAAACCTTTCCTCTGTACCCATGTCAACGGGCTCTCCGCCGGCCTTGCCTAAAGTACCCCTCTTTCGAAATGGGTAGCAAAATCCATGACGAGACTCGTGTGGTTCCGTATGGTTGGTTGTGTCTGCTTTGTGTCTGCTCTAATAGCAACATTATCAATGATAGCTGAATAGGATCCAGACTAACAGAGAGCTGACATTGCTCAGACTCGTCGCTCGACTATTTTTGCAATCCGATGCTGGTCGTCAAGTATGTCGATCATGCTGGATGTGGCATTGAGCGAGACATCATGGCGCGCCCCTGGGTGAGACTGCTAGAATGAGCGTTCGTGTTTCGCACACCCAGTTCTTGCGCACTCATCGTCATCGCGTTTGTATTGCCAAGGGGTGATCTCGACGTCACCAACGCTGGTGATGAGGTGTTCGGCGATCTCGGCCAAGCGCCCTGCGGGACCTCAGAGGTCACTCATTGAGCAGCTCGACGGTACGAGGTGTCGCCGAGAGAAGTCGCTTCGAGTGCGGAGCTTGATGAGCTGGGGAGCGACCACTATGGTTGCCGTTTCAAGGTATAATTTGGAACGTAGTAGCATGATCAATGACCAAGCTATCAGGTTCAGATTCAGCATCTACAGAGATCAGAATGTCAGTCATGGTTACGCCGAATCGGGAGGGGCATTCTCACAGTTCCCAAATGCCGTCAACCTTGGTGGCGCTTGGAAGGATGGTGACCATTTCATCGTCTGACTCGGCGGGCGACTCCGGAGTGCAACCGTAGAGGTTGACTTTGATAGCAACGTCGCGGACGGAGACAACACGAGTCGACGGGTCCAGGCCTTGAAATTCAACCACACGAAGGGAGTGGAACATGTCGCTCGGAATTTCCTTATGGACTGATGAGATTGTCAGCGATGCGATCTGAAAACAGACAGTCATGAGAGACCCACAGACTGGCTCCTTCAAGAGGTCGGCCTCGAGTGAGATGACGGTGTCGTCCTTGAGTTTGGGCGCGCTCCATTCTCTTTCAAGCTTGGAGAGAAGCTGAGGCAAGTTAGAAGATGGATAATGAGGCCAAAGAGGCTCATATTGAAGACTGGAACATACCAGTTGACATCCCTTGTCAGTGTGCGCAAGCTGATCTTATTGTAAGCAATTGTCCGGCAAGTTTGGGGAAAAGCTCCTGAAAATGAGCATTGTGGGGCAGAACGTACACCTTTGCCATCCTTGAAACGGGCCTCAACGTAAGCGATGCCCTTTTTGGGCTTGGAGATGAAGATGTAGTCGTCAGTCCGACCAAAGGTCAGTTGCGTTTCGCTCATCTTGAGTGTATCGAGCATTTCCCTGCTTCTCAATTGCACTTGAAGGTCGTTGTCGATGTCGGCGGGCAGTTTGTGGAGGAGAGAGGGGCATGGAGGGGTTCGTGAAATGGGGCAGAAAAGATTGGAAATTGCCGAAATTTTCGTGGTCGATTGGCGAATCCGGGAGGAGTGGAACGACCGGGGAAGCAGTTTCCCTTTTTTTTTCCTCCTTCCTTCCTTTTTTTTTTTCGATGTACTTTGTACCGATTGTGGGCCGATAAAAGCCGTGGAGGCAGGTGCATGCAGGTCGGTCTATCCGTGGAGGAAGGTGAGGTCCAATTGGATGGGAAGGCAAGAGCAGATCCCAATCCCACAGCGTCGGGAAGGAGGGCACTCGGGAGTCGGGAGGGATATGATGCAGCGGTGGGCTGGAATTTACTGGACGGGAAGGGACGGGACTGGACTGGGGAAAGAGGAGGGTGGGAAATGCCTAAATGGAGGGGAAGGGGCGGGAAGACGAGCGCTAATAACCACGGCGGCAGGGACCGGTCATCTTAAGGAACCTTGGGAACGTCTCCAAATGTCGCCGGACGCAGTTTTCATCACTTCACCTCAATTTAGGTACCTTACGGATAAAGACCCAAATACAGGGAACCTCAGATCTGAGACTTTGACATGAGCGCAAGGTGACACTAGGAGAGCCAATCCAGACCCGTCGATAACAAAGGCAATGGCCACCGCTCCCTTCCCTTCGACGAAGTTTGCTGAAGTCCCAGTTATCAAAAAGGAGGGCGGCCGGCCAGAACCAGAACAAGCAAATAATAAGATGGTTCTTCGACCGTCTTTGCATCAGAGCCATCCGCGCTGGACTCGTCCCCGGCCGGGCCGCACCTTGGCACTCGAGTGGCCCTGCAGACTGTTTCGCCCGAGTCTCAATTGTAGCAAGACGTTTTATTCCCTTTGCTGCCTGCTCTTTGCTCTTCTCATGCCGTTGCTTTCTACCTCAATAGCTACCTTAGTCATTACGCTTCACATCAGCAACAGTATTCCTACCTGCGCCAGTTCCAGAGTTGTTCTCTGCAGAAGCTACATCTGGGCATGCGCAGATGGGCGCATCAGTCTTCTTCGTCTGCGTCCATGGGCGTCATGCCTGTCCAAACTCTGTGATGCAAACGGTGCTATTTGAGGCGCCCAGTAGACGCCAAGTTTCTGCAGCCACTGGCGCCGATGATCTTCGTCTTTGTCGCCGACTGCAGATGACCAGACTGTTACCCAAAGAGTCGAAGAAGAGGTGCATCACCGCATTGCACTGCGTTTACAGTAGTCAAACGACGCACGACGCTGGAACATGGTCCCAATGTATGGCCACACTGCAAACATTACGTGTCAGTGCGCGGCTTACCCAGATGGCACTCTCACCAAGCAGGCATTAAAACACTCTGGAATTTTGAGGCGGAATTTCCCATTCGTCTCAACTTTGGTCGTCCAAGCACTTTGCTCCCAAATAACTCTGTCAGCGGGCCAGAGGGCCATAGAATTGAACTGTCCACAACCGCCTGCCCCGCCAAACGGCTTCTTCGTTGAGGCTGTGCTGTCTCACGGTGAAGCTTTTCGGCGCGCTCGTTCGACGTGCAGCTCGCCTGCAGCACCGGGCATAAGAAGCAGCTGGACAGAGCGCCGCGTGGCTGTGTTAGCCCTGCAGCTTCACTTCACGTCCGCTGATTTCTTGACTTGCAAGAATGCTGTACCGTCGTAAGTACATCTCTCTCCAACCATCGGCGGTGAGCATAGTGGAGGGGCCAACATGATCCGGGGGAACGCCGGTCCTGGTCCCACACCACGGCAGTGGGGCCGATGATTGACAACCTTTTGAAGGAGCTACCGAGCAGCCATCCGTCTTGGCTGTCGATAATTGTCTTGCAATCAGGTATAAACTTGGTAAGGTACCTTAGCTTACGTGGTATGTAGGTGATCTAAAGCACAGCTTATCCAAGACAAAATGGTTTGCAAAAATATAAGCTGTGCTGTAGGACCCCTCATTCGGCATTTGCAATCAGCCATGCTGACCAGGTCGCAGGCTTGCTTGCTCTCTCTCCCATTGATCAATTGAAACCACAGTCGGACAGCGACAGACCAACTTCATAGAGCTGCGGGAAGATCACTGATGCATCATTCTTCTCATGTTCCATGTTACACACAATGCAGCCACAGGATGCGCACTTGCACCCCCTTCGATCCTTCTTGTGGCTGGAGCGCCAGTTCATCCCAGCCACCTCATTTAAACTGTGGCGTTTGCTTATCTAACACCGCCAGAACCACAATCACCCGACGCATCATCACGTCACAGGTTCGGATGAAAGTGGAGACCTCCCTCGCGCCTGGAGCTCCCAGCATTCGCTTCAACCCACTGCGAACCTCTCCAACACATCACCGGTTCCGCCCAACGATTCGCGACTCGACTGCTCTATTAGTCGCTCCTACGAAGGGGGGAATGCCTCGCGCAAGATGGACTCGATAACATTTGAAGACAAAACCCCAAACTGTAACGGGAAAGAGGCGATTAAACCGAGCGATCGTGACGTTTGGGTCCAGCTTGGTTTGTCTCTGGTCCTTGGCCTCACAGCATTCATCACATTCTGCATCTTGCGCCCACGATGGCCGACCCTTTACGCCGCGCGCAAGCGCAGATTGGATCCCAAGATCGGTTTGCCCGCCCTGCCGGATACATTTTTTGGATGGATTCCGGGCCTCTACCGCGTCACTGAGGAGCAAGTCCTCGCCTCTGCTGGCCTCGACGCCTTTGTCGTAAGTGCGAAACTATTCCTCGCGACCGGGCATACTGAACTGATGGGATTAGTTCCTTACCTTCTTTAAGATGGCTATACGTATTCTGGCTATACTCGCCTTCTTCGCGTATGCAGTTATGCTACCCATCAACACTGTGTACGCACCTGGAGAGACTTTCCCTACACCAAAACCAAAGCCGAGCAGCACTGCCACGGCCTCCATCGCGATGGCGACTAGCGCTCCGGAAGATTACACCCACGACAGATATTCTATTTGGGCTGCGATGGACGACGACGACGATGACAAGAGTTTCAAGTCGGAAAAGAGCTACTTCTGGGCGTGGCTGGCGTTTGGCTACTTCTTTACGGGCTTGACCCTCTACGTCTTGAACAAGGCAACCTTCAGAGTCATTCATGTTCGTCAGGAGTACCTCGGCACGCAATCGACCATCACCGACAGAACTTTTCGCCTTACTGGCATACCCCGAAACCTTCGCGACGAGAAGAAAATCAAGAAGCTTATCGAAAAGCTTGAAATCGGCGAGGTGGAGCACGTCAACCTATGTTGCGACTGGAGGGAGCTCGACTCGCTTATTGCGCAAAGAGCGCAGGCTTTGGCTCAGCTTGAAGAAACTTGGAGCGTCTACCTCGGAAAACAAGCCGCGCTCCCCAAGTCTGTCCAGCGCCTTCGCGATCCACAGGCCGAGCCTTCAGTCCTGGAGCCTCGAGAAGACGAAATCGACCAAGAGGCCGGGGAAAACGGTGGATTATTGGGACACGAGAACATTAACCCCGATCTTGTCGAGAGACCGCGCCCGAAAGTGAGACTTTGGTACGGAATTCTCAAACTCCAGAGTCGCAAGATAGACGCCCTTGACTACTACGAGGAGAAGCTGCGACGCCTCGACGATAGAATCCGCGAGGCGAGAAAGAAAGACTTCACCCCGACCGACCTGGCCTTCGTCACGATGGACTCGATCGCCGCTTGTCAAATGGCAATCCAGGCTCGCATCGACCCTCGACCTGGACAGCTTCTTACGAAGCCCGCACCCGCCCCGTCCGATGTAATGTGGCCCAACACATACGCGCCCCGTGGGATTCGTCGTATCCGCTCTTGGATCATTACCATCTTTGTCGCCGTGCTCTCCGTTTTGTGGCTGGCAGTCGTTGCGTCGATTGCCAGTCTACTAAGTGTTTGCAACTTTCAGACATGGTTCCCTGGGATTGTTGGATTCTTCGACCAATATCCGACCTTGCGCGCCTTGATCGAGACCGGCCTACCGACGCTTCTCGTTTCGTTACTGAACGTGGCCGTGCCGTATCTCTACGAATACCTTTCATACGAGCAAGGAATGATCTCCAAGGGCGACGTGGAGCTCTCCATCATTTCCAAGAACTTCTTCTTCACGTTCTTCAACATTTTTGTTGTCTTTGCCACTTCCAATGCAGCTTTCACCATTACCAACTTGGTCCGTCAGATTCAGGATGTGTGGAAGAGTCCTGCTACCCTGACATTGCAGGTCGCCAACCAAATCCAGGGCCTCGGAATATTCTACATCAACTTCATTATGCTTCAAGGCGTTGGCCTGTTCCCCTTTAGACTGCTTCAAGTTGGCAGCGTCTTCCTCTATCCGATCTATCGAATGGGCGCCAAGACACCCAGGGACTTTGCCGAAATCATGCAACCGACTGTGTTCAGCTACGGCTTCTACCTTCCGACGGCAATGCTCATCTTCATGCTGTGCCTGTTGTACAGCACACTTTATTTTGGCTGGCTTATTTTGACTGTGGGGCTTCTTTACTTCGTCCTTGGCTACTTCACCTACAAGTACCAGCTCCTCTATGCGATGGATCAGCCTCAGCATGCGACCGGCGGCGCCTGGAGAATCATCAGCTACCGCGTCGTTCTCGGTCTTTTCGTATCGCAGTTGATTCTTTCCAGTATTATGGCACTTTCGTATGCCTTCTTCCAGTCTATTGCCGTCTTGCCGTTGATTGCATTCACGATTTGGTACAGCTTCTACTTCAAGCGTCGTTTTGAGCCTCTTACGCGATACATATCCCTGCGAAGCATTCGCATCGATATTGACCCCGAGGATGCTGCTGTACTTGACGAAGACTTTGAGGGGCCGAGACCTTCGCAAGGGTTGCTGAGACGCGGAAGCACCATTGACGAAGACAAAGAAAAGGGCTTGACGTTTGCGAATCCCAGCCTGACCTCTCGGTACGTTGAAACATCTTGGTTCGTCTTCTTAAACTAACTCTCTCCAGCCTTGAAGAGCCGTGGATCTACCAGGATCCGCCCCCAGTTCACAACAACGCGGAAGACGAAGAGAGCGGTCCGGATACGGAGACACCAAACGCCCCCGAGAACACGGCCTCAGCCGCCTCGGACAGCACAATGAGCCTGGGCGACACGCACATCTGGCGGCAGCAGAGTGACGGCAACAATCGCTAGTGCGTAGTCGCTTCGCCTAGCTGCTCGCAGTTGCGTTTGTAGATATTCTCACGTGTGCATACGGGAACATTATTTCAATGATCAGGAGACGTTGGGGTGGGTAGCGGGGGTAACAGCACTATACCACTTTGGAGTTTTGGAGTGATTGAGTATTTTATCGAGATAATGAGAAATCATGAACGATGCAGACATGCAGAGTTGGTGCAGAATCAGGTGATGCTGTCGCGTCGTAAGATGGTTATTCCCCTCTGGCTTTGTGGAAGTCATGCCAAGAGCCCGCGGCATTTCGCCAATACGAGCCGGGAGAACGGATCGCAAGAATTGCAGTGCTTGCGATTGCAGGTTCATGTTCTAATAGGACTGGGCACCTCGACAGACGTCTTTCATTTGAAATAATCATTCGTCGGTGCCTTGCGATGCGCATCACACCGGACCTCAAAACCTGTCTTGAATAGGCGACTAAGCAACGGGATCCACTACAACAAAAGCGCCATCATCGAGTGCAGCGTAGCTGTCTCTGAGCTCGCGACGAACGGAGGCTGGCCGCCCCGGATGCTGCGAATTGTTGATTGTACTACTTCGAGTCGCGGCCGGAGGTAGGGCAGTCGGCGGAGATGAGATGGGAGCGAGTGTAACTAGAGTGACGGTATGTCTTTGGCTGCGTGTCAGATGAACGGTACTACGGTCTACTTGCTGGCTCAGCAGCGCGGAGAGTAAAATTCCCGTGAGATCTGGGTAGGTATCTCCAGCTCCGGTATCTGACACCGGCAACGGGAACGGGTAGGCAGTCAAGATTTGGCTGTTTGAGCTCGAGATCCGAGTGGCCGATAGACCGGTGCCGTTTCCCCCAAAGGGCCTAAAGGTAGATTAGTACTTGACAAGCCAATTCTCAGAATGCGTCACTATCTACCTGGAGGCGATCGCAAGGGAGAAGCTTTCCTTAAAGGCTTGGCGGCTTGGTGAACGGGGGCTAGAGGGTTGGAAACGCCGACCACGAGATGTGCCGGGGCGGAGGGGCGCGGGAACCGTAGACGCGAGCTCCGACTTTTTTTTTTTGAATTGGGTCCACTTTTGTTTTGGTCTTGAAGGTACGCGATAGCGCGGTGATGATGGTTTAACGGTTCGTCAATACCCGTTTCTTTAGATCTTTATCGTCCTTAAGGTAGGATACAGAAATAGGTGATCATGGGATCTAATCTACGATACCGGATGGTAGTCTATTGGGCATCAATCCTGGATTGCAACCCACGTCAACAATCAAAGGTCTCAGGACCACGAAAGACCTGAGCAACATCCCGTATTATCCACACCGTAGCCTATTTGCGTCACAAGAAATAGAAAAACAGCCTCTCTAAGAATGAAACCTAGCTGCCCCTATTTCCACTCCCACTATCCCGGGCTCATCTCGCAGGTTGGCATCCGAGAAAATTTACCCCTTGGCAAATCGTAAGATGCTCTGTCATCGCGGGCCTCTCATTCTTACACCCTCACCCTTGACATGTGCAGTGCAGTCTCCCCTTATCCACCTGCAGCCTGCTCAAGAACTCTGGAACCGTTGGAGCTGTTGGAGTCTCTTCTTGTATCACGATGTTGATCTCTGCGACATCGGTGCATCTGCCACCCAACCGTGCCAACTGAACGGTCTCGAACCGCTCAAGACACGCCCGCTGTCTCCTCTTATTAACCTCTTGGCTCGCCTCGTGGGGTTCCCTCAAGGGAAGGGGACGAGAATCGGGGGTACCACCATGTGGGAACAATTGAACTGGAGTCACTGGACTCCAGTCTGTCGCAGCGTGGCTTCGGAACTTCCTAGTCCCCTATCAGGGGAATGGTGATACGCCCAAACACCGAGGTGACTTGGTGTCCTCGCTGATAACGCCGCGGGGGGCCAAGACTGTGGTGAGTAAGGTACGCATGGCTTCTTCTCTCTGAGAGGCTGAGAGTGAGAGTCGAGACGTGAGTTCCTGCCCGTGGCCCCCCATTTGGGTCCGGCGGGAATAAGCACAATCTTGCAAGCGTAATCAAATGCACGCACTAAGAGTCTTGAGATCCTTGGATTCCGAAAAGCCTTTTTTGCAGCGGTATCCACCTGCGCGAGTCTGGCTGGTCTCGTGTTTTCAGAGTCCAGACTAGTTAGGGACTCCAGCATCTTCAACGTTGGCCGGGTGTCTAGGATGAGCATCGCCAGCTAAGGTAAGGAAACACCCGATCTTCAAGACTTCCAGAAGCAAACAGAGAGAGAAACCCCAAGCAGAATAGTTACTCTGTGGCGACTAGATCAAATCCTGAGTTCAAGTGGTTTCGACGGAAAGTTCCACGGCAACGCAAATCTCTTCAAAGTTGGAGCCGGTCCCATTGCGGGAACCCATCTGCGTGACTGACTGTGCGTCCGGCCGGAGGACCCATTTTTCGAACCCGCCGGTCTTCTACATGGTCCGTGCGTCCCGGACGAAAGGGGGCCCAGCTCGGCTCTGGCTCTTGGAGTCGTAAATTCGCAATGTGCTTCGGTAAACATCAACGCGCCAACCGATGCATACAGCTGCATCCCAGGCTTTGTTGACCTGGATTACCAGCTTCATCAAGCACTGTGAGGAAGGGGAAGTAAGCTCATCGAGGTTCGAATGAAGACGAAATCTTCTAGCTGATAGGGGAAGCGTGAGAGAAAAGACTAGCTCGTGCGGATAGATGGCAAAGCAGCATCAAGAAATCAGAGCCTCAGATTGTATTCAAACCCTCGGCTATGGTGAGAAAACAGAGAGAAAATTCTGGTTCCTCTGTTTTGATTTTAGTATGACGACACTCCGAGCTGGTCCCGAGATTTCTCCCCCCTGTTCCTCAGCCCTGGGAGACACACAATCGCGGACCGGGACTGCCCCTGCTCTCTCTCGACCCAAGCCGGCCAAGACGTCCTAGTGCCGCCCAAAAGTCATTCCCTCTTATTCCCAGACCCGTCCCGCTTTTGCGTCACCAGGCAGAGCCGCGAGAGGTACAGAGGTAACCTTTCAGGAGAACGAGAAGCGCGTCGAGGTTTCCATTCTAGCTGACTGAGATTTCAGAACTAGAATAAGCACCAACTTCTCCTTCCAAGATTCTCAAACCCGGGGATGCCGTCAACATGAACCATGGGAGATCCGGACAGAGTTGCCATGACGAGTTGCTAGGCCTGTCCTCTTCCTGTTGCACGGGTACCTCGAAAGGCTCGAATGAAGCTTTTTTCCAAACAAGGCCTGTCGACCAGACCAACACTCTGGCTCTATACCAATCTGGGGATAGCTTCACCCTGATTCAGTCCAGACAAACCCATGTGCCCCAGGCCCTGCACGCGCGCCAAAACCAGTACCGCCCTCCGTAGCAGCAAAAGCCAAAAAAGCAACAGTCGGCGCTCGTGTCAAACGCGCCGCCGACATTTTTGTGAGGCTCTACCTACTTTGCCCAGGCCACACAATGTCGCAAAGCTGTTACCTTCCCTTCCCCCCACTCCCAAACCCGAATTCTTGGCTCTCGCCTCCCCGTGATGGCCGTCCATCTGCGAGCTTACCTTAGTCAAACCCAGAGCCGCCAAACCCAAAGCTGCAAGCCTGCACGGTAAGGTAGGTAGCTTGCCATTGCATCTGCTAGGACGGGCAGCACGTTATCTCGACCTCTCACATGTTGTTTTCTTCTTAGCTTGGAATGTCACTCCCTCCGTTCTCGCAGTTTTGCTGATTGACACACGCCCCCCTTCGCCTTTCCGCGGTGGGGAACATCCCCATCACGAATGGCAGAGAGAAAATCAGAGAAAGTGGTCCACGAAAACTTGACGCGTGTGTACGTATCATCAAACGCAAGAAGAGGGAAATTCTCACATGAACGACTCACGGACCATGCTGTTATCGCTGTGTCTAGAATTCTACTCTGCTGCAAATTTTGAGAGAAAACAGGGGGAAAATACACGACGATAAACCGGGTTGGGCGATTCGGACGGGAAAAGCGGGTCTCCGTCCATCCAGTTAAGTGGGCCCACCCCGAATGCCGCCGCCGAAGTATCCCATTCCCAACCCATAGCCCGAATTGCGACCGGTTCCCAGGCCCTGCACTAGGTTGTTTACCCATTCAATGGTTACATGGGAGGGGCGTGCGTATCTTTCTGATGCAAGGCACCTTGCCCATCTTACACCAGCAGTGACTCAGTTTCCCCATGTGTGGTTCTTCCCAAAGAATGAGGCCGAGTATAAAGTCAGGGTGATGCCCCCCCTTTCATCCGTGGAGGAAGTCCTATTATTTGATCATCGTGTGTTTATACCGGGCTATACCCCCTAGCCCTCTCCTCTTCAGACTTCCTCATAAGATTCCCCCTTCCCACCAGGGACCCCCTGAACACAACCACATCGACCAAACACAACCGCAAAGATGGATCAACCATCACGAACATCATCACATACCCTCCCGCCAGGCTCCTCCTCAGACTCAGACGGCGCCGCAGCACCCCAATATGCCCCGGTATCCTCCCACACCCGGACACCATCCGGCAACGCGAACGCCCGCCCAACCCGCCGCTCCTCCATTGCCTCAAACGTCCTCCACCCCGTCAAGACAAAGGAAGAGATCGACCCAGAGCTGGACGTAAACCTCCCCTACCGAACCCTCTCCCCCAACGCAAACCTCGACGAGTACCGCGTAGAAACCCACAATGGCGAGATCCCCGCCGTCACCGACGCTTCTTCCGCCCCAGCAGGCCGGGGAGACTACAAACTCGTCACTTTCGTCCCCAACGACCCCCAAAACCCAAAGAACTGGAGCAAAGCCTATAAATGGTACTGCACAATGGTCGTCGCCCTAACCTGCTTCGTCGTCGCCTTCTGCTCCTCCGTCATCACAGCAGACATTGAAGGCGTCGCCGCAGAATTCCACTGCTCAGAGGAAGCCGCCCTCGTCTCCATCACAGTCTTCGTCATCGGCTTCGGCATCGGTCCCATGGCCTTCGCGCCCCTGTCCGAGATCTATGGCCGCCAGGTGATTTACGCATCTACCCTCCTCATCGCCGTAATCTTCATCATCCCCTGCGCCGTGGCCAAAAACCTCGGAACCTTGCTCGTCTGCCGCGCCATCGACGGCATCGCCTTCTCCGCGCCCATGACCCTCGTAGGCGGTACCCTCGCAGACCTCTGGCGCAACGAGGAGCGCGGCGTCCCCATGGCAGCCTTCTCCGCCGCGCCCTTCATCGGCCCGGCCATCGGTCCCCTCGTAGGCGGCTTCCTCTCCGACGCGGCGGGCTGGCGCTGGCTCTATTGGATCCAGCTCATCATGGCCTTCGTCGTCTGGGTCCTCATCTCCTTCACCGTCCCGGAAACCTATGCGCCGACAATCCTCGCCCGCCGCGCCCAAAAAATGCGCAAGGAGACCGGCGACGCAACCCACGTCACGGAACAAGACATCGACATGCGCCCCTTCAGCGAGCGCCTCGGCATCTTCCTCATCCGCCCCTTCCAGCTCCTCTTCGGCGAGCTCATCGTCTTCCTCATCTCAATCTACATGTCCGTCCTCTACGGCCTGCTCTACATGTTCTTCGTCGCCTTCCCCATCATCTACCAGAAACGCAAGGGCTACTCCGCCTCCTCGACAGGCCTCATGTTCATCCCCCTCGCCGTTGGCGTCCTCCTCTCGGCAGCATGCTCTCCCTGGGTGAACAAGCACTACCTCACCCTCGTCGCAAAGCACAACGGCCACCCGCCCGCCGAGGCCCGCCTCATCCCCATGATGCTCAGCTGCTGGTTCATCCCCATTGGCCTATTCATCTTCGCCTGGACGTCCTACCCGGACCTCCACTGGGCCGGCCCGGCGTTCGGTGGTTTCCCCGTCGGCTTCGGCTTCATCTTCTTGTACAACTCGGCCAACAACTACCTTGTCGACTCCTACCAACACCAGGCCGCCTCTGCCCTCGCCGCAAAGACATGTATCCGTTCCTTCTGGGGTGCCGCCGTCGTCCTCTTCACGGAGCAAATGTACGACCGCCTCGGCGACCAGTGGGCCTCTTCCCTCCTCGCTTTCCTCGGTCTCGCGTGCTGTGCGATTCCCTTCCTCTTCTGGGTCTACGGAGCCCGCATTCGTGCCAGGAGTAAGTACGCCTACTCCGGCGATGAAGAGGAGACGTCAGGATCCGACATCGAAAAGGCCAAGCCTGTCAAGAACGCTCTGGCTCCCACCCGCACCTTTGAGCCCGCGTAAGCGACTCGCATACTTCGACATGTATACATGTACCTCGACACATATCAAAACACCCAACAAGTTGCTGTATTTCAGCTATTTGTTCTTGGCGCCTTGGCTATCAGCCCTGGATTCGTTGGTCATCTTTGTTTATTCGGCGTAAAGAGGAGGCTGGCGTTGGATAGAGGAATCCAGGAGCGAGGGGCATTTTAGACTATAGACGCATGTAAATCTCAATGGTCGGCGCCGTTAATAATCCTAAATAAGATTGAAATCAAATCAGTCGGGTTCAATTGCATGCATGTGTGGATAATGCAACCACTTGAACACAACAGTCCTTTTCTTGTAACGAACTTTTCGTCTACACACGAGGAGTGATGGAAAAGTGGGTATAGAGAATCGTCTATTCGTAAGTCATTATTTGTAACCATCTATTTGCTCGATAATCGAAGAGGAGGGTATTCATCAATCTACAGGCCTTTGCTCCATACTTGCCAGTCACCAGCATGCCCTACGTTGCCTCTCAGACAATACGCACCGGAAGGGATTCTCTGCGAGACATTACAAACTCTTCCTTGACCAGGGAGTTGTTGCACTTGCGTCCCAGCATAAAGTCCTCGAGGTTACGGAATGTGCACTCGGAGATCTCCTGCAACGCTTCCTCGGTGAAAAAACCTTGGTGGCCGCAGATGAGGACGTTGGGGAAAGTCATCAACCGAGTAAGGAGGTCGTCGTCGATAATATGGCCCGAATGGTCATTGTAGAACAGATCACCCTCGCCTTCGTATACATCCAGGGCCAGGCCACCGAGATGCTTAGTCTTGAGAGCGTGAACGACAGACTTGGTATCGACGAGACCGCCACGAGATGTGTTGATGAGCATGGCGCCGGGCTTCATCTGCTTCAGGGTCTTTTCGTTGATTATGTGCTTCGTCTTGTCCATCAGAGGGCAGTGCAAGCTGATGAAGTCGCACTTAGGGAGAAGCTCCTCAAGAGAAAGGTACTCGCCGACTTCCTTGAAGGCGTCCGACTCGTAGGGGTCAAAGGCGTACAAGGTACAGCCGAAGCCCTTCATGATGCGGGCCATGGAGACGCCAATCCTGCCGGTACCAATGATACCCACCGTCTTGCCATGTACAGTCTTGCCAAGAAGACCATCGAGGTTAAAGTTACCCTCGCGGGTTCGGTTATAGGCTCGGTGGGTGCGTCGGTTGAGGGATTGGAGCAGGGCGACAGCGAACTCGGCCACAGCCTCAGGGGAGTAGGAGGGAACGTTGGCAACGAAGATGCCCAACTTTTCGGCGGTCTTAAGGTCGACGTTGTTGAAGCCTGCGCAGCGAAGGAGGATGGCTCTGCAGCCGGCCTTGTGGAGCGCCTCGACAACGTCGGCGGTGAGGGAGTCGTTTACGAAGACGCAAACGGCATCGACATCTTTGACAAGCGAGACGGTCTCGGTGGAGAGGGAGAAGTCGTGGTAGATGATGCCAAAGTCGCTGTTGTCGTCGACAAGCTTCGCGTTGTGCTTCTTGAACTCTTCCTTCCTGACTTCGTGGGCGGCGTTGATGTATTTCTTGTCGTACGCCTTGGCGCTGAAAACGGCGAGCTTCATGATGGCAGTTGGACACGATTGAGGGGTAGTTCGAGTGATGCTGTGGAAGACAGTAGCTGATGGGTCAGGTATCCGGGGATTGTCGTCTGCAGAAGTGTGTACGAAGAGGGTGTACGAAAAGATGGAAGGTCAATCGGAACTGGTGGCACGGATTGAGGGGATTTTGTACAAAAACGAGAAAAGGAACAGGAAGAAGAGGAGGAGGAGGGTCGGAAGCTACAAGCCAAGCAATGGCGCGCGTCAGCTTCCCCTTCTCCTTCTTGGCTGCCCTTCCTCGCTTCTCGCTCCTACCTCACCTACCTCGCCGGTACAATATCTCAGTGCCTCATGCCGCATTCGGAGCATCGGGAGCATCGGGAGCATCGAGTGCGTACTTTCCCTCGCCATGTCAGAGTCAATGCCAGAATCTGCGTCAGCATCTTTCCGTTGCCCCCAAATCCGGCACTTGGAAATACTCTCTAGCTAGACTCTGTCGAATGACGTGGATGAGCCCTAGCTACAGCTGCCGCTCCCTTTTTTTAAGCTTGACTGACGCTGCATTGCACCTTGAGGTGGTGAATGCCATTCGCCTGCGGCCCAGAGCTACCCCGCCATCGATGGATGCTTTTCTGCCAGGTCGGGAGCTCTGGGCAGCTCGCTAACCGGATGCAGAACGCAACTGGATCCTGTCAGAAGAGCTGTCAGGCGGCATGCCCTGGATTTTCAGGGGAGCCCCAGTAAATCATAGTCACTTCTGACCGTTTTCATCAACGTCGAAGGGTTCACGGTTGCGAACGCGATGAGGAAGATGATTTCGAATCGTTGTGACCTTTAGTTCCTCCCCATCTGGGAAATGAATGTTACCATCAATCGTTCTCTTCTCGCTACTGGAGATTCTTATCTTACCTGGTTCCCTCCCCTACAGCATGCTGGCAGGCAAGGCACTCTCAAGCTTGGTGAATGAATGAGTCAGCAAGTGAGTGCAGCTTTGAGAGGCGCACAAAGCAGCTGCCACAACATCATTGTCGCACAAGAAACTCACAAAAAATGTCATAGAAACAAATTGCAGCACATGAAGGGCAATTTGGTCAAGTCATATTGGCAAAAAGGCAAAAACATGATCAGTGGGAGGCTTGAACTCCCGGCCTTGGCATTACACAACATTCCGGGTGAAATATTAGTACTTACATGAAGGGCTACCCAAGGTGGTTCACGCAATCTTGTCAATCTTCCCTCCTTGCTCCTTACTTGTCCTCAATTATCGTCTTCTCTAACTCTTTGTAATGAACAGAGTCTTGGGTAGGAGCAATCTGGTGTTGGCATCCAAAAATGTCACTCTATAAGTTATTTTTGACATCATTGGCTCCTGCTTTCCTGCATGAGATTCTTGCAGCGGCTGTGGTTCACCTTCTCACTGCAACGTACAGCACAGTCATCGCAGTAGTTGGGTGCTAAGCTAACCGAAGGCAAGAGGTATGTATGTATCGTTGGTCTTGCCGATATACTGGCGAGATCTCGTGTCCCTGTGGCGAACATCTCCTTCTTGCGCACACCCTCGTCTTTACTTCTCCCGAATCCCATCAGCCTCGACTTCGCCCCACATTGACACATGCATCACTAGAAGTGCTAGAGACTTCTGTCCATCCGACGGACGCACTTTGTTATAATACAGACCTCCGCTTCAGAGTTCTCTTTAGATATCCTTCCTTTGGCAATGTTCTCGTCCTTCGATCCGTGGCTCGACTCTAGCCAGGCGAACCAGCCCGGCCAGCGTCTGCTGTTGTACGGCCACGGCCATGGCTATCATGCGTTTCAACAGCTGCCGGCTGCTCATAGGCTCCCGGTCGAGACCTTGCATAACATCTACTTGCTGTTGGATCCCTGCGACTTCAATTCATCACGGCACGCATGCCGCTCCTAGTTCTTAGCCGGCATGAACGAGGCTGTCCTTGACTGCATGATATCGAGAGGCGGGTGGAACTCAAGCATCAACATCATCCTCGGCGATCAAAGCTCCGGCAATACGGTGAGCTCGTCCTCAACTCGAGCGACTACTATGTCCAAATGGATCGCGAGAGAATGTGCTCTCGGCTCACGTCGCCACAGAAGCGAGCTTGCCTTTGTTGAAATCGCTCAGACGCAGTTCGTCAGCGGCTGTCCGATTTCTACGAGCGACTGTCGAAAGTTTGACTACACGGCGAGTATATGTGGTCGATTCTTGATGGTCACCTACGGATCAGTCATACTTGTCTTCGAGCTGCATCACCAGTGCGAAGAGAGTTTTTCGCGCCCATGGCCCAGGTCTTCTTAGAAGGAGCTTTCGAGTCACCGTAAAGGTCAACTTCGACTCATCACTACCATTACCTGCGAATCTCCTATTCTCGCCTGTGCCATGGACACGACATTGGGGCGCAACAATGTTGCTGTGCTCCTCCAAGGCCGCGTTGGCCTTGTCTTTGAGATCCCATGGTTATCCTGCTTCCCCGTCAAATACTCAACGCAACCGCGTCCGCGATCCAGACAATGCGACTGTAGCACATGGGAGGTTTCGCACCCCCTGCCTCTGCAGGCAAAGTTACAAGTCGTCCGTTACAACGTGTGCACGCCCGACTGTCCTCCTCGCTCCGTCGCCACTTGCCCGCATGGCTTATACTTCGCCTTTGGCTCCTCCTCAGGCATCGAGATACACTGTAACGATACGCGTGCGCAGCAAAAGGTCCGCCGCTTTGCGTTATCCACACCCAGCGACTACATCTACTTTCTCCCTCCGGGGGACGAAAACGATCCAAGACGCAAGCTTCGTCTGATCAGCTCCGCGTCAATCTCGGACTGCCACGCCGGCTGTCTGCAAGACGTAGTTGGTGTTCGAGGATATAATGAAAACGACTTTACTCCCCAGGTCCCGGCTATCATCTCACAACTTGAGATGTCTGGCCTCGAAGAAGACGCGTCGAGTGTCTATACCATCATGGAGCAACAGTTGTCTGCCTCTCTTGGTCCTTTCGCCAATCGACGGCGCAATTGGACAAGGAGGGAGCGAATACTCCCGAGGCCTAGGTTAGCCATCGCCGATAACTATCGAGCTGTGCCCTTGAGCGACGGGTCTCACATACTTTTCACAGACCCCGAGACTGGGCATTTGTGCCTTGCTTCTGATGATCTTCACCAGTCAACGGCTGGGTTGCAGAAGAAAGTGAACTTTTTGCCACCTGCAGCAGCATGCGCGACCGCTCCACTCATATATGCCGCCGGAAGAGACCTGACACATGGCGTGAGAATTGCTGCCGTTTTCCCAACGACACGATGGAAGGAAGGAACAGGCTTTCGAGCTGGGGAGCAGATCCTCGCTTTCTACACTATCCCACCAGATATGTTCCGGGACATTTCAAATTTTGAAAAACTCCCGAAGTTAATGGACAGCGAAGAAAAGCACCAATGGGCGCAATGGTGGCCGACACTGCAGCATACAGTTCAACCATATCTGAAAGCCAAGAACAGCGGATTGATCGACAGAGGCAACCCGAATGAAAGGCCAACGTATCCAGTTGATGTCCACGGCCAGGTCGTTGCCGTTTGCTCCGGAATTGTGGACCTCTCAATGGGCCTGGGCCCCGATATGATGATCTGGGCCTTTGACAGAGACGGCTTGACTCGTTGCTGGGCCTTGAACATCGGAGACGATAGGCCGATGCAAAGGCATACGATCTTGAGTGATGGAAGCATGCGGAAGGTGGACGGGGATGGGGACTTAACGATGTTATAGGCGGACTGGAATTCGCCACAGACCCAGGACATGACCTAGGGCAGCACAGGACAGCATGTCCTGAACGCTGATATCGAGAGAGGCTGGTACATCTCTAGTGCCGCGGACCAAACATTCCATATATAAGGGCCTTGTTGAGCCTCTACGTGGAATAGCGAGATTGCTTACTGAGCTTCGCTGGATTCAGCCATGCTAGCAGACAGCGAATGACACACGAATGCAGGAAATAGAAAAGTAGAAAATACAGAAGTGCTTAGACGTACCAAAATCATGCTGACTACTGAGGTACACTTTAACATCTGCTTCGCTCATCAAATGCGGTGAACTGGCTTCAAGATCGCCCGTAAAACTTAAGATCCCGCTTTATTCATCTTCTGCCCATTGGAATTTCTATCGTCTATAGATGCCATGTATCGTGTAATCTTTCTGCGGCCCGTTGACAGTATACTGGATATTCCACTCCTTGAGGTTCACAGCCTTGAACGCGAAATCGTACTTGACATCATAATAATCGTCAATGCAGAGGTGCCCAGCCTTTGCCTGCCAAGGCTTCCGGTCGTCTTGCGGTGGGCCCTCAAACTCGATCTCGTGGAAGAGGTAATCTGCCTTCTTCGGCTTGTTGACTTTTGCGAACCAGACGCTGATCATGTCTTTCTTCTCGTCGTAGCGCCAGACGTAGCGGCGGGTTGCGCGGAAGACGAGGCCGTTGGAGGCGCGGAACTCGCCGTCTTCGATGTAGAGGTATTCCGTTGCCAGGGCGTCATCGTCGGTATCTGTGGAGTTTTCCTCTGGGGTGGAAGTGCTGGCGGCGCACTTGAGGCCGTCGGCGGTCTTGTTGCGGAGGAGGAATTGTGCTGTGCCGCTGAAGTGGCCGCTTGGGTGGCTTGGTAGTCTACTTGTGAGATCGCGTTCTAGCTTCCATGTTCCGAGTAAGCTGCGGAAGACGGCGCGGGGGACGAAGCGGGATGTCGTTAGGCCTGCGATCGCAGTCTTATTTGTTTGTGCTAGGGAGGTTTCGGCTTCTGCTTTGGCGGATTCGGAGGCGAGGGGGGAGAGGTAGCGTGCTGGGGTGAGGATGTCCATTGGTTTGTTGTTGTGTGGGAGGGCTGGGGTTAGGGGTGAGGCGGGCGGAGAGATGGGTATGGAGAGGGCGAGGGAGAATTGGGACATTAGGTAGGCGTAGTCGCCCATTGGGAATTGGGAGGCGCGAGGGTCGTCACGGAGGGAGACGGTGCGCCAGTCGGAGGCGTCGTCTAGGAGGGCTTCGGTGAGGGATGGTGGGCGCGGGCTGATGGAGGTTGGTGTCCAGAGGGCGGAGAGGAAGCGGGCTTGCATTTCCATTACGCCCCAGTAGGGAGATCTGTAGAAGCCTACGAAACCGAGGGTCGGGAGGTCTTTGACTTGGGTTCCGTGAAAGGAGAGGGCAAGGGGGAGGGAGGGATGAGAGGGGGAGTGTTTCAGGGTCGTGAGAACGGAGGAGGGAAGGAAGGAGAGGCAGGGGGAGGGATCGAAGCCTGTTGCGAGGATGACGGCTGCGATGTTTTCGATGTCGGAGGCGGTGGAGGAGGAGGAGAAAGGGTTTGTGATCTTTGCGGTTGTGCCGGTGATGGAGTCGAGTTTGCCGGTCGTGATGTTGATGAGGCCGGCGCGGACGAATTCCATGTAGTTCTCCGAAACGGCGAGGTAGGCTGGGTCCGAGTGGTGTTTGGGGGTTACGGCGACGGACGGGGAGAAGTCGGATTGGTCTTGGCCAAGGGAGATTGTGTAGATGCCGTGGGTTAGGCGTGCGGCGTCTGGGGTGATGTGGCCTTGGCTGTTATCAAGGGGTTGGGGGCGGTTGCTGAGGTTGTAGGATGGGAAGTCTAGGGGTAGGAAGGGGGCTGCTGTTGCGACGGGCTGGAGTTCGTGTCAGCAGGTTAAGCCTCTCTCTTGATGTCAAGGATGTGAAGGGCAACTTACCTTTGGTGTGGTGTGGAGGGGAAACACCCACGTCGGACGCTGCGTGAGATGCTCAACCGTGAGCTTCTCCGCGTTCGGCACAGGGCTCGGGTCCGGCGCGTTTACGGCGCAGGAAATGTGCGTGGCAATGGTCCCAGCGATCTCGACGCCAGACATCTGCCCTCCCACAACCAGGATCTTGCCGCCGTTCTTCACGCCGCCCGGGAACAGGGTCTGAAGATCGCGGTATTTGCTGCTGTGAACCACGGGAATCTCCGTGCCGGTACCGCCAGAGACGACGTCCGGCACGATGGGCTTGCCAAAGTAGCCGGAGGATACGAGCAGGTAGTCAAACACGCTCGTCTCCCTCCCGCCGGCGTCGCTCTCGACGGTGACGGTCCATGAGCCGTCGTCGTCAGAGAGTTCTGTCTCGATGACGCGGTGACCAAGCTTCACATTGGCGGCGGCGGCGGCTTCGGCGCCCTTAAGGTAGTGCTCGAGGTATCGTTCCAGGTACCGGCCAATCATCCAGGCGCGCGGGAAGTCCGGGTCCTCGGGGGCCCAGGCGAGATCGCTGAACTGCACGGTGTGCTTACTCTGGTTGGCGAGCATGAGGGGGTGGACGAGGCCGTCGACATCTTCGCGGCGCGTGGGCCATAGTCCGCCGATGCGTCGTTGGGTGTCGAAGATTGTCACGTCAAATGCGCCCTTTGGTGCGTTGTGAAGGAGGGTCTTTGCGGCGACGAGGCCGGAGGGGCCGGCGCCTGGGAATATGATGTTAGCTACGGTTAACTCATGGAGAGTTGATAGTCCTTACCGATGATGCATACACGTTTGGCCATGATGATGGGCGTTGATGGAGGGGATGGTGGGGTGAGTGAGTGAGTGAATTGCCCCTCACTGAGAGAATCAGACCCCTGTTATGAGGGCCGAGAGATGGAATTCAAGATAATTTGGGGTACGGCTGTAGTTTATAACCTCCCTTGTAGACGAGGACATGTGAAGGTGAGCGCCGCAGCTTCTCAGCAAGTTTGAGATGAAGTTCTCACGTCAGAAGCCACCGCCGAAAGCGCCATTCTCGCGGTCGGGGATTAGCGGCCATGGTGGGGCTTGTCGCCGATCGAGACCGGCGCTATCCGTGATGAGTCAGCCTGTACTCTGATGTGGGGTGCCAGCCGGCGGGACCTTTCGCCGGCTGGCTGCCAGCCTCCTTTGCCCGAGGTCGGGTGGCTCGCGTCTTCAGCATCTCCCGAGTCTCATCCTCCATCCTCCGTCGGGGCATAAACTGCTGCTTGCGTTCTCTATTCTTCGTACGACAGTACGTTAACGACAGGTTCGGGTCACTCAATGGTTACACAGAGTTGCATAGTCGTTCGGCATTCATGCATTGCAGCTGAAGCCAGACCATTCAATCGAAATCCCCTCGACGACAGAACGTTCACGCTCGACTAGCGACCAACCGGGCACACATCTCCAGCTTCCGTAACGTGAGGCTTACCGGAGGTGCTTCTCCTGACTGACGCCGAGCGACTTGCCGATTCCCCAAGTCAGCGCATCGACCACGGCTGAGATATCTAGCTTGAACGTCCAGCTATCCGCAAGGTCCCGAAGTCTGAGAAAACCACTACACCATCTATCCAGTGGGTTCTTAGAGGCAAGTTCCCGCCCCGAGAGCCTGGGACCTAAACGCAGGGGCTATTCGACGTGGCCGATGGTTGGCACGGCCCAACAACGGCCAGTCGGCTTGCGACAGAGAATTATCGACGGCTCTCTGCCATGTCCCTAGCGACGGGCCCTTCTTACCGCCAGCCTGGCCCCGGACGCGGATTGCCAAGCCAGGGTGTCGGGACCCGTTACGGCCGGTTCGGGACCAGGCACCGCACCGACATGGATATATCTTCGGCTTCGTGCAGTCAGTGGGCCTACCTAGTTATGTCCAGAACTTTAGATGGCACCCGATGCCCAAAGTCCATCCGCTCATTCTCGGATGAATGTTCAGCACCGACTAATACTTGATTCGTCCAACGGTCCAGCACGCTGCACGATCACCAGCTTTCTCTTCTGGAGACCAAGGTGCTGCAGCACGCCAAGCCGGGACAAGACCTACCATCCCGGAGCTATTCAGCGGCGAAAATCCGACCAGTACCATTGGCCCGGTCTACTGACGAAGCCCAAGCAACGTCGTTCTTCGAACCAGCTGCATGCTTGTTTCATACTCGCGGTCGCACGCCAGTCTGTTGTAGTCATGAACCTGCCTATTCTAACGTCAAATACTTATCTGCGGGGCGGCCATCCGCAGCATATCTCAGTCGCACAGCAAGACCAGGCCAGCCGAGCAGGCCGCATCATTGGCCATCCAACCTCGCCATACGGTGTTTCTTGTGCCACTCTGCAGTGTTCGTGCGACTACTGCACAGATCTCGAGCAACGGCGTCACCCTTGTCCTCACGTGGGTGTATTTGAAATTCGTGCACAACGACCCAGCCCGTTCCGTCCTACTACGACTAGCTGGAAGGGCGGAGTGGTTGGCATCATTCCGGGGGCCGTCAACCAGTTGACATTCACCGAGCTTACTGCAGATCGAACGGTACTTTTTTCCCGTCCGAAGTGTCGGCCGTCAATTCAAGCTTGCCCGGCGTCAGCCCGTCCAAAACTAGAGAGCTTGAGACGCAGATCAATGCTTGTTGTGGTTGAGTGACTGGGACTTGCAACCGCGGGGTCACGCCGGAGATAAGCTATTTCTCGCTTTCCCACGCGGACCGATGACCGTTGGATTCCCCCTCTCTTGTTAGTCTCGACGGGTAGATTCCCCCTCCCCAGACTCTCCCCACGGGCAAATGGAGTCTCGGATGGAGCCCCCGGCCCATGCCATGTCGTAGACGTGTCCCGTTGACAAGCTATTCATCTTGCTGCGAGGAATAGTCGATTGGAATCGGATACTCGTCCTCGGCAGTGTCTCTGCTGCCACACGTACGAAATCAGAATATGCTGTGAGCGGAGCTATTCTACATAGGTGCCAGCCATGGGCCTTGGAATCCTAGTCAATGGTGTGTAGTCATGAACTGGACCTCGCAAGGCTAAGACATGTCAAAAAAACAGCCGATGCACGCATGTCTCCGATGCCTTCCCTTGGCTTCCTTCGCACCCTTTGAGATACAAAGCATGCTGCCGAGGTTCATCCCTTTATTATTGATGTCGCCGCCCGTATTTCAAGTCTTGGTCCTGCAGGTCAACACAAGTTCATGGACTCTACCTTCCTTGGCCATAGAGTCTAACATAGTAACGCCTTTCATCCACAACACTGTGAAAAGTGCAAAGCACAGCAGCGATTCAACTTCCCTCAACCGAGTCCTCTGTTCCACGTCGAACGTGGGGCCCCCAATGGCTACTAACGATAAGCCACTTGTTCCGCTGCAGCGGTTTGGCTACCAGTCACAAAGCAGGTTCCATTGCCGAGTGTATCCCGAAGATCGTCTGCCGGCGATCGGGAGGGTTGCTCTTGCGTTCCCCACCTCCCGCCATCGCGGCCAAGGTCTCCTAGGTTATATTTGACGGGTCTCCCGCTGATCTGGTTTGGCTTCCGTCAATGACCCATGGTTACCGCCCAAACCCATTCGTCCGCCACCCGAGCCAACGTTTACTCAAACTTTCCTCCACACCTAGCTACATCTCTTTGAAAAGTCCCAGCCTTCCACTGCGAGGCTTTTGTCTTCTTCATCTCTCGCTTGAATGTTAGCTGAGACCAAAAGTTGAGATCGGCGCCAGATACATCCCGCCACCATGAGCGACACGGAGAAGGCTGCGGCCTCGCATACATCAGACCCAGGCACGCAGGATATTCCGCGCGACCCTGATGCGCATCTCAGTGAGGAGGGGAGACTTGAAATCGTATGTCTTGACGCGCTCAGCCATTCGAACGCCCAGCAAACTAATACGCGCATCGCAGGAACGAAAGCTAGTCAGGCGGCTCGACTGGATCCTGATTCCATGGGTATGTAATATATCCTCCGGATGTAAGCGCACTTGACTGACGCCAACACAGCTCTGTATCCTTTACCTCTTGGCATTTCTCGACAGAACCAATATTGGAAATGCGAAAATCGCCGGCTTAAACAAGGACTTGGGCTTGACGAGCTCCATGTACAACTCGTCGCTCACAATCTTCTTCGTCTCGTATGCGGTGTTCGAGCCCTTGACGAACATCCTGCTCAAGAAGTTGCGACCGTCTATTTTCATTCCGATCATCATGTAAGTAGAGGACAGCCCGTGATTGGTCTTTACCTGGCACAGTGTGCTGACCCCGTACAGGATCCTCTGGGGTGCATCGATGACAGGCATGGGATTCGTACACAACTGGAGTGGGTTGATGGCCGCACGCTGGTTCCTAGGTCTTACCGAGGCTGGACTTTTCCCTGGTGTCAACTACTATCTGTCATGCTGGTACAAGAGATCAGAATTTGGCATTCGTGCTGTAAGTTCTCAATCCCAACAAGAAACATCATCCAGCTAATGCGTTCAGGCCATCTTCTTCTCAGCAGCAGCCATCTCGGGCTCATTTGGCGGCGCCCTCGCAGCAGGCATCGAGCAAATGGCCGGCGTCGGCGGCCGCCCAGGCTGGGCATGGATCTTCATCCTCGAAGGCCTCCTCACCGTACTCTTCGGCGTCGCATCCTTCTGGATGGTACACGACTTCCCCGACGAGGCCAAGTTCCTTTCCGAAGACGACCGGGCCCGCGTCATTCGCCGCCTCAAGATGGACCAGCAAGCCTCTGCCAACCACGAGGAGTTCAAGATGACATTCTTCTGGCAGGCTGTCAAGGATTGGAAGATGTGGCTGGGCATGGTCATCTACATGGGCTGCGACATGCCTTTGTACGCCTTTAGTCTGTTCCTACCTACTATCGTCAACGAACTTGGATGGAATACGAGTATTGTAAGATCGCAGCTGATGACGGTGCCGCCTTATGCTGTGGCGGCGATCTTCACAGTCTTTATCGGATATGTTGCGGACAGAACCCAGCAACGCGGTCTATGTAACATAGGAGTCAGTCTCATTGGCATCGTCGGCTTCTGCATGCTCATCGCCACCGAGAGCGCACCAGTCAAATATGCAGGCACCTTCCTCGGAGCTCTCGGCATCTACCCGTGCATCGCCAATACCATCACGTGGGTCGCGAACAACAACGAGGGCGTCTACAAGCGCGGCGTGGTGCTGGGGTTCGTGATTGGCTGGGGAAATTTGAACGGCATCGTCAGTTCAAACATTTACTTCCACGGCCCGCGGTTCCCGGAGGGTCATGGTGTCGTGTTGGCGTACATGTCTATCTTCTTGTGCGGCGGCAGCGCTCTCATGACGACGTTGCTAAGGATCGAGAACAAGAAGAGGAGGCAGGGCAAGAGAGATCACTGGGTTGAAAATAAGTCTGAGAAGGAAATTGAGGCACTTGGGGATAAGAGGCCGGACTTCCAGTACACATTGTGATGGGCAATATTGAAATCCTAGCGACAGCTTCTCTAGTTATGGAGGATGAGTGTTATAGACAGTTTCTTAAGAGAAAGGCCAATGTTCTCAACTGGGGAAGATCACACGGCCAAAGAGATGTACCAATGCTGTGGCCGGCGTGTCTCTATCGGTGCAAAATTTGATATTTCCGGGTCAACTGAGACTTGACGTCTGCCGTGACAGTCACAGAAGCTCAAATTAATCGAGTCAATATCTCCCTGCGACGGAGATAAACGGTTGACCGAGGTGAGGGAGATTCTCCTGGCCGAGAGGAGATCATGATACCAGAACCGGGGCCAGCAAACCACGAATCAGATCTCGCATCTGCTCAACCGCCCTGATGGTCTAGCGGTATGATTCTCCCTTAGGGTCTTCACGACACGCCTGGGAGAGGTCCCAGGTTCGAATCCTGGTTAGGGCCCTATTCTTTTGCACTTTGCATGGAATCTCATTTTTAATGATCCTTATCTCTACTCTTTCTCTCCCCATGACGTTTTTGAAGTCGTCCAACCAAAGACGCGATCACGGTGGCTGACCGTTGATGCCCCACCGAAACTGACAGCGTTTGAGACATTACAGCACATCGCCACAACCCCTCCAACACGGCGGCGTGTCGTGCATCCTACCACGATCGCTCAACCGTTCCGAATCTGGAAAAGAATTCTTTGGGTCTGTGACGCCGCTACACACTACGTACTTGAGTGGTCCATTCCGGTTCCTACGCGCGCCGGGGTTGTCCGAAACCTCGGTGGCGCGGCTACACGACGGATCTTGTTTTGCCGCCCAAAAGGTATGGTATCTTGGTAGGATGGGGAGAGGGAGATTGGTGACACGATACCGAGGAGTCTGTGAAGCTGTTCCGTCTGATTTCTCTGGACGATAGATCCGAGATCGAGTCCTGTGCGAGTGTTGCAGCCGAGTTTTTGGGGTCCACCACCCACTATCCACCACCTGTGGCGACCGCTGATTGTATAACGTTTACTTTGCTGTTTTTCCTTAGAGACTACAGATCTTGGGACTGGAATGTACTACTTGATCTATCAGTCTCGTTCTAATCATTTGTTGCTGTGTTGTTGTTCGGGCCGAATGTTGAGACGGGAGTTTGCGGTCCTGTGAGTGTCGTTGCGGCCCTTTAACTGTACATTGGCTTGGTTCCACCCGAAGTGCACCAAGCTCGGAATGTTGTATGCTTCAATCCTCCAAGTAAAATGAGCATTCAGCTAAGAAGAAGTTAGTCAAGCTTTGAAATGGAAATTTAGAGCTACTTAGCGCAGAAACCCACAGTACGATACCGCACAACTATCAGCATGGAATATTGTGTCATCCTATTGTCTCGACGAAATACAAGGAGTAAGACTCAGACCACGGCTAGCTCTACTCTCCACTGCCTAAACCCGGAATCGGATAGCTGCGCAGAACATATTTTTAAAGTAGACTATGAGTAAGCTAGGTAGGGAAGAGTTCGTATTGGTCGGTTGCCTTTGAATCATGAGCTTGTTCGTTTTGAGAATGTCAGTAGTAGACACGTCGAGCGAAGTTACCCTGCCCACGAAGGAGGCTCACCTGCATCAGCGGCTCCACACAACTTACAACTTTTCAGGGTTGTATTTCTGGGCTCCGAACATGCACACAGCCACAAAACCTTCCGACGGTTATGGCAGACAAAAACACCCCGCTTAACAAAAGGGACTCGAGAATGTTGCTTGATTCGGCTCTACCGTGGTTGAGAAACGCTTTTCGTGAAGCTTGGCACTCGATTTCTCTCCGTCGATGTTACGCTCTGCTTACTCGCGCTCTGGAGCATTCTTAAAGTACTCTAGAGTCGGGCTGACAATTACGGAAAAGGCATGGTTCATCGAGCTGCGTTCTCGTCTCAGTGTCTCAAATCCTGAATAATAAACATCTCATGTAATTACAGTTCACAAATAAATACCTGTTCTATTGATCTCGAATGGAGTTCGGATGCTTGAGGAGTTGAGACGATCAGAGAACCGTACTACACAACGATCTTTACCGCTTGCAGTTTTGTCACAGAGCAACAACGGTGGTGCCTTCAGGACACGAGAAAGCAAGATTTAAAGAGGAGTTTCGGATGTAAAGGAATAATGCGCAAGGTAGTTGGTAGCTACTGCAAACGCCACACAGTCGTAGATGCACTCTACGGTTCGTCTGATTGACTTTGATTCCGCTACCCGCATCCTTGAATTGCCTTCAACCTAACATAGCCCTGGAGGATTCTGTGGAGTTCGTCTGACTGCTTCCGCGGCGGGTAGTATCCGCCTCAGCTCAATCTCGCAACCTAAAAAATGAACAGGGATAAACGCGATCTCACCTATCAGCGCTGCCAGACTGTTCAACCGTCCCCTGAAAGGCATCCCATTTCTCATCTTCCTCCGGATGCGCCAAGCGTTCCTTTGCAACGGCCCGTCGTCGCCGCCTGATATTCTAGCCTTGTAGTCAAGATCGACAGGGCAGACTTCTGAATAACCGCTCGCACTCATACCGCAGAGGTAGAATCCTACCCGTTCCCTAGTTCACGAGCGAACGTTCTAGGCGCTTATGCTCGCTTTCCAGTCCAACTGCTTAGCAACATCGTTCAGAGCCTGGGGAAGATGGGGTCCAAGTCAACGTAGCATGCATGCCTAGGCAGCAACGATCCCAGGAAACTTCCCCAGCTTCGGCACGACTTAGTAGAGATGGTATTAATCTTGATACGATTTGATCTCAGCATTCAATTTGTAGAAGTATAAAACCTCCATGGCTCTCAGACTTGTCACCGTTTAGAACCAGTTCAACTCACTCTCACATCCCAGTCACTGCCAACTAGTCTCTCCTCAAGCCCTCACTTCACAATGGCTCGCTTTATTCCTTTGGCCGTCACCGCGGCTCTCTCTTTGGGATCATGCGCGTTCGCTGCCCCCACAGTCGAAGGTGCCAACCTGCCCGATCCATCAACTTTGATAAAGCCCATCGGCTTCGACCCTACCATTGTCTCCTCGCTCAAGGAGCGCAAGGTCGCCGGAGTTGTCCCCGAGGTTATCACTCTTAGTCTCACGGGCCAAGATGCGAACTTTACGGACTTCCCCCCCTCAAACCCCGGCTCTTCCCAGCCCTCCAAGCGTGGCATCATTGGGGGTGTTGACAACCGCGTTCTCTGGACCAACAAGGACTACCCTTACCGTGCTATGGGCAGAATCGCACTCTCCAACGGCGCAATCTGCAGTGGTGCCTTGATCGGTTCCCGCCACGTTGTCACAGCTCGCCACTGCATCCCAGAGAATGGCGCGACTGCCCGCTTCCAGCCCGCCTACGACAACGGCGAGGCCCTCGGCGGCTATGATGTTATCCGCGTCTTCCGTCCCGACTACGGCCAAGAAGGCTGGTGCGCTAACGCCTACGACTGGGCCATCTTCGTCCTCGGCGAGAAGGCTGGATCTACCAACGGCTGGCTTGGTCTGAAGACGGTGAACCCTGACACTCAGCTTAACCGCGCCATGTTCTTCCACTACGGATACCCTGGTGACAAGGGCGGCCAGCAGGCTTACCGTCAAGAGGCTATCACGGCTTCGTCCGCAACGCTTTGCGACAGGGGCTCCCCTGTTGTGACAGACGCCGATGCCCAGGGCGGACAGTCTGGAGGTCCTTTCTGGATCAATGAGAATGGAGATCGGTATCTCTATGGTGTTGTCGTCGGAACCACTGACCAGATCACGGTTGTTGCTGGAGGCCCGTCCCTGCTTGAGGGCTACGGAATCTTGCTGAAGGACTACCCTAACTAAGGATTAGTTGAAGAATTGTGATGACTGGAGTTGGTGGTGGATTTTTTGACGTACGAGCTATGGGAACATTAATTGTCTGGTGCAAGTTGGTTCATCGCGTACATATTTTAACGAGCAAATATGCAAGCAAATAGGCATGGGTATTCTCATCAGCGCATTGAACAAACTATTTCAGGTTATGAGGAGACTTTGTACATGATATATCAAGTACTTATCAGATTCGTAAATACATTAGGAAAGTATGTCCAGGGATGAAAGACGGTTGTCACTGCATTGGTGATACCATTCTGGCAAGCATTTGTCCAAGATAACTATGATCCAATGTATTCGAAGATCTCATTCAAAAAGATGAAACCGAGATTACTGCAGTTGACAAAGTAGTCGGCGCCGCTGTTATTTCCGTGACAGTCACAGACGTCGTCGTAGCTGCGCAATTCGGGTTCTCTCTCGGCCCAACTTTCAGAGTGACAGTTTGGCATCCGTCAAGAGGCTGGGTTCCGTGACGTAGGAGACCAATGGTGCTGTCGCAAACGTAAAGCGCGGACTTGCCATTCGATTCACACTCCAAAACACCATCTGTGACGGTGCACCCAAGGAACGAGAAGGCCCCAGTCACACGGCCCGACGCGTATACGTAAATCAAGCTGTTAGTGTTGGTGTGCACGGATAGGAATCTCCAAGACGAGTTAAACCAGGTCTGAACTTGAGTACCGTTGGTGGTAGAGAAGTTTAATGGAGTTTGCGTTCCGGCCAGATCGATTGAAGCAAAGTCGGCGTAGAGATATAAGTTGTAAGGACCTTCGCCGGAAGCAAGGGTTGCTTCGATGCTGACAGGCGTCGAAGTTGCGGCGCATGGTTCTGGCAAACTGACGGAAGATGTCGTTGGAGCCGCAGTAGCTTCCGCCGTTGTGGGAGTCGCAGTGACAGGAGGCTTTTCCCTGGTGATGCGGAACCATGGTGAGACCTTGTACTGCCAGTCGTCCAAGTTGCTGGGATCGCCGAAAGTGCGTAGGGCACGGCAGAGAATGCGGTACTCGCCAGCCGGGATATCACCCCCATGCGCGAAAACATTCTGCGGAGTGGCATAGACACCGCCGCTGTTTCGTGGGTAGTTCCTCAGAGGAAACGAAGTGATCGAATCCGACAGACCTTGAGGGACTGTGATGAAGGAACCAAGATATTTGGCCTGCCCGGGAACTACTGGGTAGGCCCAGTCTGTCTCATTCCAGTCGCGCGCGACATACTAGTAGTACACCGTTAGAGTCATGTGGCAATAGATGAGAGGCTCGGTCTTACATCGAAGCTGATTTCTTGAGTTGACCAAAGGACATTAAAGTACGGCTGCGGAACATCGCCGCCATCCTCGAATGTGTAGTTGTGGCCCTCCTCAATGAGGCCGCCATATCCGCTGAGTAGAAGGGGAACGCCTCGCTCCATCTCCCAAATATCACTATCATATAGAGAGCCCTTGATCCCTGGAACTTGGTTAGCTAACTCGAGATGGTTCTCAAAATGTAAATGACTTACCCATGTAGGACACCCGGACCGCTTCTCCCTGTGAGCCAGCCACTACAATTGACCCACCATACACTGGAAGGGTGATAGCATCAGGCGCGGACGGCTCAGTGAAAGTAATAGAGACAGAGACGCTTTCACCGGGTCCCAAGGTCAGCTCAGCGGGCGAAAATTCGACCGTGGCGGTGTTCCCATCCCCGGAGACGTAGGGAGGAGAGACAGATACCCACGCAGTCCCGGCGCTCTTAGTGAGGGCAGTGATGCCAGCTTCGTGGGAGAACTGATACGTCACTGACTCATCACCAGAGTTGGTGATTTGTACACTTTGAGTACCCTGGAAATGCTCCGTATCGTTGAGGTTGAGGACTGCTGGGCTGACGAGGGTCGAGTAGCCCACGACTTTGAATGCATCTACCAGACCTGCTCCCTGATGAATCACGGATCTAGCCGAAGAGGTCTTACGTCAGCTCTGCTACTCAAATCGAAGTGTGTTTAGAATACTTACGCGAGGTTATCAGTGCCATCGTAATGACGAATGGGTTTGCCGCTGGCAACAATCACTTCGTGAGCCAGCTTAGCACCACCACCTCCGAGGGCGGCTCGTCCGCCGCGGGATGAGAAGAACAAGGCAGCAACACCGGAGATCTAGCGAGAATCAGTCAAAGCATGAACTCAAATCACATCTTATCGCTGTACTACTCACGTAAGGAGTGGCCATGCTGGTTCCCGAAAGTGTCGCCCAACTGCCTGAGCCGATCGGGAAGGTAGAGAAGATCGAGCCACCTTATAACTGTCAACCACAGGGTCTCTATGGTTGATCAAGGAACTTACCAGGCGCAGAAATCTGTGGTACCATTCGCGCATCTAGAGTCGGACCCCAAGATGTGAACTGGTCGATTCTTCCACCTGCGAAAGATGGACGGTCAATTGCAGCAGGTTTGTTATCATTGACAAACTCAAAAGTCACGGTGTAGTTCCTCTCGTGCTGGCTGACAAGCCAGTCTCCGTCTTCGTAGGTGATCAAGCTATCTGATAGTTGTCAGACTTGATCTTGTACATCACGCGAGAGATGTCAAACTTACACCCTTTGGCTTGCCGCTCAGCATCATATCGAACACGATCAGGGATCTCCCAATCAGAGCCATTGTAATTGTAAATCAGGACCCAGTCCACCTTGCCAATCAAGCCGCTGTCGATTCTTTGCCATCCACAATCCGCTCGACTGAAGGCCAAGGTCAAGAGAAATTCCCACAATAAGGAGCCAGGGCAACTTACGGAAGTACCAAAACATTGGTGTCGGGGATAGTGAAGTCGATACCACACTGGTCAACGTGGTCCCGAGGATCGGGGGCCCATGAAGCTGAGGCCGTTCCGTTGAGTGACCATTGCACTCCGTTGTCCGCAAGGTAGACCTAGAATTGCACGTCAGTTATCCGAGATCCCGGTGATTCCAGCATTCGTGCTGGGACTGTCGAATACGTACAAAATCACGAGTTTCGCCACTGCTTGAGCGTGCTGTTGCCGTCCATGCAACGAGCTCATCATGCTCTACACTTCCGACCGCAGTGCTCCCGATGCCATTGCCTCCGCTGCTAGTATACCAAGGGCCATCTACCGATCCCAGTCAGCTTTAGTCTACTTCTCATGGCTTGACATGGACTCACTGCTTTCGCCGGCGTTTCCAGCGGCGATGGAGACAAAGGTGCCGGCAGCTTGGATGGCTGTTGCCACCACTGCGAGAGGGGTATCAACGAAGCCTCTGTTGGAACCAAGCGAGGCACTGACAATATCTGCACCCTCTTCGTGAGCTCGGAGGAAGCCAGCGACAATCACATCCTCGTAAGTGCTGCCTCCACACCCAAAGACCTTGTAGGCACGGAGACGAGCCGACGGTGCAACACCAGGCACGAACTCATTACTGCTGGCGATGATGCCAGCAACGTGCGTACCATGACCATTGCAGTCGATGGGATCTTCATCGGGAAGGTAGACATCCCCAGGTTCATAGTTGTCGCCGACAAAATCGTAACCACTCTCGACCTTGAAACCGGAGCCGAAGCCGCCACCAAGGGCGGGGTGATTGTAATCAATGCCAGAGTCAACAATAGCAACCACCACACCTTCGCCCAAATGGCCGTTGGCATGCGCAAGAGCGACGTTGGTGTCGTTGTGAGGGTTCCACGTAGGGAACTCGGTCTGCACAACAGCTTCTGTGGTGATGGGAAGTGAGAAAAGGGCAGCAGACCATATCTTCTCAACTTCTGGCAGAGCTTCAATGTCGGCCACCGTTTCAGAGGTATCGTTCTTCAGATCGAAGGAAGCTCCATGGAAGAGCTCTGAATCGAAGCTTACTGCTGGCGAAGCATCCTTCCCGGCGTCCTGGAGGGTGCTAAAGAAGCCGGCAGTATCCTGTTCTTGTGTCAGACTAGGTAAATTTCTGTCGTAGAACGGATCTAGGGACTGATCATACAAGACCTCCATCACGCTTTCTGAATCTTGCCGAACCAGATGGTGAAAACTTGACAATGTACCGGCCACTTTCAAGGGAAATTGGAGAAATTGGTCCAAGAATTGTTTCAGGATCATTGGAAGACGTCTGACAAAGAACTGTCTGACAGAAGATGAAGGAGGCCAAGGCCAAGAGAGACTTGATTGCCATGATGAAGCGTAACGTCTAACAACGATTACTCAGGGCTCATGACAAGTCTAAGAGATAAGACAGTATTGAACCTTGACCGGTGGGATACTGCAACGTGAGTGACCGACGGGGCAAGCTCTTATGTACTACGAAAGCCACTTTGGAATATGCACTCAAGTAGGTAGGCAATATCTTCAAAGTCCCCAATAACTCTCATCTCGCCTGGCGCGGAGGATCTTGTCAATGGGTCCATGTGAAATACAGGGATTCAATTATGCGCAATGGCTTAGTTACATTCAAGTGGATCGAACAAGATGGGAACGATTAGATTAGATGCCAGCTTCCTCCTCGGTGATAGTCGGTGGTCACTTTGTTTCTACCGAGGTGACATCCGCGGCCGGATCTTGGCATTTCATCGCCAATCGAATTCTTGGAAACAGGTCACGGAACAGGCGCAGTAGAAGACGAGATTTTCCAAGCTCGGATATCACGCCGAGGAAAATGGCGGTAATGACTTCCTACCTTCCTACCCTGGCCAACAAACTGGTATAACGGCCATGATGAACTGACTTTAGAGACATTGCACTACCACTATGCGTTCCAATACGGATTCTGCCCCGGCATCTCATGCAGGTCCCAGCCTGTTTCTTAGAGACAACGTGGAGGGCTCGGAACGAAGCCTAATTGGGATCCTGGTCGAAAATCCGAAGTCGGCCGCCCATTGAGTTGGGATCAGTTGCAAGATAGAAGGCACTTGACAGAGTCCAATCAGGCACAGATGGTTGACTACCATTGATTAGAAGTGAACTCTGTAAGAAAGGTCGCAGAACTGACTGAAGTCTGACACATTGCTCACCTTAGAAGGTCCACAACGAAAAGTCGAGCTTTCAAACATGGCGACGCGCAGAACCCGTCCTTGATTCGACGTCTTGACATGCCTGTCCTGTCGTATAGGGTTATTCCCGAGCGGTGCCAAGCATGTAATATTGGGCGAAGACCCTGCATGGCATGGTGGGTGAGGTGATGAGGGGTAAATACCTCGCTAGGAACAAAGTTCGGTGGCCAAGACACTTCGTCTGCGTGATTGCAACGGGACCGGGGACTAAATCAGTCCGCGCATCTTCATCCCTGGGGACGAAGGATAACGACTTCCAACGCACCTTCCTGAAAGAACCCATAGCGTATTGAAAGTTGGAACTGGGGTTGGACGCTCATCGTCCTCCAATTAACACCACTGCACTACCGTGTATCACAAGACATATCTTCACAGCATGTAGGCCTGTAGTCAAGTAAATGTAACATGTAGTGCCGGTACAATATTATTGAGTCGCTAGCAACAGTTAAACAAGCGGCGGATTCCTTCTAAGTCCATGATGTTACATTGCTTCTCAACATCGCCATCAGCTGCTAAGTTACCTTGGATGTTGAATATTCATTGCGACTGCAGTTTGGGAAGCTAATGACCCAAGATCTTATCATAATATGAGGACCAGAGCCCGCCATAGAGCTTTAAGATGGCATGAGTCAATCTCGCTTGGTTTTGCAAGAAGTCAATACGCTTGGATGGATCTCACTAAGGCTCGGTGATGATGGCTTTCTGCAGTTGTGTAAATAGTGTACAGCTAAAGCTCAATATGGTAAGGACGAAGAAAGTGTTACTATCAGGGTGTGGGTCGTGGAAAGATCGGAAACTTGAGTGTTTGATGCTGGAAGTCTGCCTCAACGCCATTTATTTCGGCTCAGATGGAGGCTTGGAGGCAAGACAGAAGTATGCCAAGAAGCCAGAGCAAGTACTTCCAGTATATCCATGATCAGCATGGTTGAATATTCCTGCCTCCGGTTGCGAACTTTGAGAAATAACGGAGTGTTTGATGACTACGCCCCCGGCCATCTGACTGACGTTCTATACAAGTAAGGAATCAGGCTGAGTGCCAAGTCACATCCACTGCATATTACCAACTAGAACATTGGTTCGTAGGACTTGACTGCCCGACCCATCTGTTGTTGAGTTGTTCGCCCAGCTTCAAGCCTGGTCACTTTTCCAGTTTCCCCGCTCCAGACAATCAAGCAGTGAAGATGTTTACTGCGTTAATTTCCGGCAAAAATGGCGTTTGGCACTGCGCTTTGCGAACACTGTTCGCTGATCGACTTTGAATACCTCCGTCATCCTACTGCAGCCGAGATCGAGTCTCTTAACACTGGTCAAAGGCCTACTGAAGACCGATTCCCGCTAAAATTTGGCCGACCCATCGATGGCGACCCCAGTTGGACTTTGGGTCGCACGAGCCGGATGAACGCTTCAGCGGCCACCTGTGAGTTTTGCAAAGCTGTCAAAGACGTTCTTATTCAGTAGAAGATGAGCTCAAAAAGCTAGCCGATGCTGGCTTGATGGATCCCTTGTGCTATGCCACATGTGACATTGCTGGGGCTTTGCAACCTCGAAAAGGCACTACATGGGAGTGGGCCCAGCACGGGGAGACAAATCCGGAGTTCATCATGAGACAATTGGCAATTTATTTCATACCTTTCGACAAGAACAGCTCAAACGGATTGAAGCCTGTATGTGTCGGTTTCAAAGAGGCGTCTTGGAAGGGAATGTTTCACTGCTTCCAGACATATGATGCGGAAAGACCACAGGGTTCATCCAACGTGCAGAACTTCTTCGAAAAGACTATCGATCCAGGCGATATCTTATTCACAGGAAGAAAGCGACCTTCCAAATTGGATGTAAGTCTTCCTATCCAATGAGTTAAACACTGCAAAGAGAACCACAAGTCATCGTGTGGTTCTGTTCAAGACGACCCTTGAGACAAACGGTCCCGGTTAGTCACTTCCCATGCTCGCGCGATTTTTCAATGAGAACTGACATCAAGCCCAAGCCTTGCGTCTCTCTTTTTTCTCATGATCGCGAAATTAGGGCTCGGCGCACCGCAAGTTCAACCAGTTCGCGGGTTCATGCCTGTCTTTCGTCTCATAGATGTCAATACGATGGCGATTGTGGAACACAAAGACGTGCACCTCAGAGACATAGACTACATGAATCTGAGCTATGTGTGGGGTACAACGCCTCAGGAAGTGACATGACTGGAGACTCATCGAATCAAGCTACGAAGAAAAGGCTCATTACGAGGCTAACTTTCTCAGACCATCGAAGACGCCTGCGAATTCACGAGATCCATGGGGGCTCGGCACACATGGGTGGATGCAGTTTGTATCATTCAGGATAGCAATGCCGACAAAGCATTACAAATCGGAAAATGGTCGACAAATACGCGAATTCTTGACTTACCATCATTGCCGCCAGCGGTGAAGATGCTCAAGCCGGCTTGCCTGGCTTTTCGACTTCCCGAGGCCGCCTACAGAAAGAAATAACGATCAAATCGCCCGGCTCTCAGTGTAGCATATCTCTTCTCTCCACAATGAGCCACACATCAAGCCGGTTTACGAATTTTATCTCAGACACAAAATGGTTCACAAGAGGGTGGACGCTACAACAACGACCTGTGGCGTGCAGGAGTATTACTCTTCTGCGGGACCAAATTACCTAGGCATGTTGCGAGTCACACTGGAGTGAAGAGGCCAACTCGGAGGCATCCGCAGTTGTTTTATGGTTCAACTTGACAGGTTCCGAATCCTATCTCAACTCAGCATACAGAGATCGGTACGCGCCTGAGATGGAAACTGAACAGATGTGGCACAAACTGCATCGTCTCACACGTGATTATTCAAACAGGGATATCACTGGGGACGGGGACGCCTACGACGCTTTCTCGGCTATCATTTAGCAGACACAAGATATTTCAGGAGAGCCCTTGTTGTGGGGGGATTCCCACCTCCAGATTTTAACTCGGCTTATGCTGGGAGCCAAGTTTGGAGGGGGTGGAACGGCGCACAAAGCTAACTACTCTGCCGATGACACCTCTTAACAGACAGATTCCATTCCCCAGCTGGTCTTGGATAGGCTGAAAGGGGCCTATTGGGCTGACAATCGAAGATCGGCATGTTGGAGCCGGATAAGCTGTCAGAATAATGCACGATTACAATTTACTGACGAAAAGAACAGCTTGGACCCCGTGATCTCTTGCTACGTTTTGAGATGCAACCGGATTTTGAGACTGGTTCAGGTTCGCCACTTATTTTGGATAATCCCAAAATTCCATGTGTCCCACGTGGAAGCTCTGCAGTTTCACTTGACATGATACAAGGCTTTTACTCTGACTTGACGACCGACGTACTGAAACCGATACCCGATGACCAGTTACTACTTCTTGGGCCGACGCGGCGCGCTTTCGGGTGACCGATCCCAGCAAGTCCGACCTGTGGCAACCTAATTGGAATCCACTTGAAAAGGGCCAGCATGCATATTATGTCCAGCATATCATCGATGCCGATGGCAGATATAGGCGAGACTGGCCGATGCAAAGGAAGCTGTGATGCGGGGGCGAATGAGAGTGGAGAGTATGAATTTGTGGTGATCGCAGAGAATACGGCACCTCCAGAGTTTGAGAAGAAGATAGTTGTACTCCAGGTTGCACGCAGGCATGACGGGGTCGCATACCGCATCAATATTGCGGAGATCAGTCAGGCTGGGTGAGAGAGGGCAAACACGACCCACGAGTTGATCGCACTGGGAAGCGAGGCGGACATTGCTTAGAGCCACAGAGAGCCTCATTCCTAAGAGACAGGCGTTCATCATTTTTCTCGTTGAGCATACAATCGAAATCGCGTATAATATATCGTCATTTGGAACGACGATCGGAATGAAACCAGTAGGCGTCGGCACCATCGAGAGCAGAATCAGAAAAATTACAAAGGTGAAAAGCTGGCTATCATTGCTATTTTCCAGAATACTATAGCTACCTATTCATTTCAAATCATAAGACTGTCTTCCCACTGCGGAAAGCACCAGTCAACTTGGACGTAACAGTACGCGATGTACAACCCTCATGTGCCATCAACTAATCAAAATGACTTCCTCCGACCCAAGGCCACACAGGCGACGTCGGCCACCACATTTACGAGCCAGCGCGTTCCCCTTTGCCCTTAGAAGACATTTCACACCTTCTGTGATGACCCTCTGCCAAGCAGAATCCCTCCCCAGAACCGGCTATCATATGTCCATCTGAATTCTAATGCTTCCTGTAGCCTAATGCATGGCTACTCGTCGGAGAAGTGATTAATCATCGCGTATTGCTCTCGGAGCTCCGAGTATCAGTGAAGAATCCTATTCCGTCGGGATATATCATGGGATCCCGCGGAAGATTCAGAAAATATCCAGCACGTGAGAATCTCTAAACACGGACCGGTGACTTTCCAGACTCTAGTCCAAATAAACTTGAAGCGCCAATGATCATCTAATCATTACAGGTTGACTCAGGTAGTCACCGCACGGTTGAGCTCATCCAGCCCCTCTTGCCGTTTCTGCTCGTGGAGAGAAGGATGGAAGCCTGCCATTCGATCTGACAGAACTCATCTCATCATAATGAGCACACTTTTTGATGTCTTCCTCAACATGCGGGCAGCTCGGATCGCGGCAGAGCATCATATCAGTTCCACGGTGGTTGGATGGATTATGAGCAGGGGTATACCTCGCTTGGAGAGGACGGCTCTTGAAGAGAGGCTCAACCCACCCGGTAAAACCTGCTCAACACTAAATTTACTCGAGACAACTTTAATCCCAGGTGATCGCTGGCATAGGCACGGCAACTACTTTCCGCGGCAAAAAGCTCCTAGCCCCTTAGGTAAATAGCTCGCGGATAATCGGACAGGTTGTAACGTCGAGATCAATTGCTCCAGAATCTGTGGCTCGGATGATAGTCTACCTAGTCAAACGCCCGGATCGGGCGTCTAAGCAAGTAAGGACGCGCAACACATCTTAGTCTGGATTGTTCAGCGTTCATGTCAGGGCCTGCGATTGACCGAGTTCGTGAAATCCAACGAGCAATGAACTGTTCAGCTCAACATTTTAACTCTAATCCGTCTCAAGCATGAGACTGAGAAGGATCGCCTGTCGATTGCCATCGAATAATCGCTGTTTCAGAAAGCCCAAAAAGGAATCCCACACGAGATAGCAGATTCTCACTCACTGGCTCCTGTCGTGTGGTGTCAGAGCTGTGCGGCACGAGCCAACCGACCTAGTCAGTTAGCCCAGGCCGCCTGTTCCTTTCACGTCTAATACTTCAACCGCTGGCCTCGGCCTCCGCAGATGCTTTCCCCGCGGCGACAATGATCTGCGACAAAAGCTTCGCACCAATCCAGTTTTCCATGGAAATTTGAAGCAATGGAGGCGGTGCTAAGTAAGTCGGCACAAACCTGCCGGTGGCCCAAGCAGAATACCAAATGCTTGGTTTGATGATCATACAACCTAGTCATATTGCTCGATACGTACTGGATTTTCAAGCGATATCTTCGTCTAAAGTGTTGCAGAAAATTCCGCTTACAGCCGAATCCGAACTTGAGGTGTCCGTACAGACTTTCCTAGTGAAGGGATGGCAGCACTTACATGACACCAGATGAACACAAATCCTCGATGGCTGTGCAACAGGCATACCATTTTCCCACGGACCTGAGAACATCATCTTAATTGTTTTGACGACGTTCGGTTACGCCGGCACGATGTGTAGAGGGTTGAGTTGACAGACCAGGGGGTGTCAGGCCAGCACAGCTCGCTGTTCAACATGTATTTCATCTCGTTGGTCACATTTGCCCATCAAATCTATGCCGGCTACATCTATAAAGCATAGAATATTCCCTTGAATAATTCGGGCCTTGAAACCAGCATTACACCAACAGCAGCCAGATTGTTTCATTGCGCCGGACGCTTTCCTTTCTTTTCTTACCCCCTTTCACCTTCAAGTCTATAGATACTTGATATCTCGCCTTTCCCTACACCCTCGGTATTTGACGTTCGGATTTCTATACGCCACAGGCTCTTACATCCACTCCAATAACAATGAAGCCCATTTCCGTTCTCTTCCTGGCCGGCCTCGCCGCGGCAGCTATCACAGACGCCGGGCTAGTCGCTACCCGCGACGAGATTGCCCGAGACCTTGAGGATATCACAGACAGTCCTACTCTTGTCGATAGAGACGAACAAGATTCGGCTCTGCATCCATTCTCGATTAAAGAAAGAGCCGAAGAGGATGATGAGAGTGATCTCACCGGCCGTGACATTGACGACGCTGCCACTTTTGGCGAGCTCATAGCACGCCAGGCCAACAACACTGCTGGTAGGAGATATGACAATGCGCTCTTGATTATTGGGCTAATTAGATTATAGGAGGTGGCAAGAAAAACAACGGAAAGAACAATGACGGCAAGAAGAATAACAACAACAACAACTGTCAGGGCTGCGCAAAGGGAAAGAAGAGGGGCAAAGACGCAAAGGGTAAAGCATGCAGATGTAAGAACGCCAAAAAGAACAACAATGCCGCGAAGAACAACGGGAAGAAGAATAACGGAAATGCCGGCGGAAACAAGAACAACGGCACGGCTGCGGACAATGGCAAGGGAAAGAACAAAAATGATGGCAAGAAGAACAACGGCAAGAACAATAACGACGGCAAGAAGAACAACAACAACAATGGTAAGGCAAATGGAAATGCCAACGCCGGCGCCAACAACAATAACAACAACAAGGATGGGAAGAAGAACAATGGAAACGCGAACGCCGACAAGAACAAGGGCAAGGATAACGGCAAGGGGAATCAGGCTGGAAATAAGAAGAACGGTACTGCGGTTGACGACGGAAAGAAGAAAAACGGGGGTAACGGCAAGGAGACTGGTAAGAAAGCCAACTTGTCTACGGGAGCTGGAGCTGCAGCTGCTGAAGCCGCCTAAGCGGTGGATGTCTTATATCGGGCTCCTAAGAAGGACAGGACCAATTGCTCAAGTGACGTGTCAGGCAGAGGGTGCTTGCAGATATTGATGCGACCAGACTAGAACATGGCAAAGGATTCATGTTTTCGGAAACCACGAAACAATCAATCGCTTCAGTGACCAAGTCTGCTTAATGATGATGGTTGAGATGACGGCCATATCTGTCTTGTATCGTAAAGTTTCTCGGGATTGAGACCAAACCCATTCAATACTCATGATGCATTTGGCGGCCATGGCCAAAACGTGACAATCTTCGAGATTACTCCCATCAAATAAATGCTCAAACGTAGAATGGAGACATTCACAACGCTCCCCATACAGAGAAAAGAGAGCATGAGTGTATCACGCGGACTCGTACTAAAATATCAGACTTTACATGATTTCCAGTGATCACTCAAGAGTTCGGATGATTGCGACGACTATTCTCGGCTTGGCGCGCTTTCTGAAGCAAGCCTTAAAGTTTATCAGGCGCCTTTATTGCGAGTACACTCGGCGAAAAAAGACCGTCCCTGGCGACTGGAAACGATCTTACGCCGCGAGTCGTGTTTCCAAAACAGACAGAAACGTTGCCTTGAACCTTGTGTCCATCAGTTATGCGGTTTTAGGGATTTAACACAAAACACCGAGGCCGATTGTCAGAAGAGGGAAGCACTATAAAGCCTCGGGATCGTCGCCTACGGCTGGGGAAGAGCTGTTTTTATCTCAAATAACCAATCTCTCTTAGACAAACAATAGTAATCATGAAGCTCCTCTCCGTACTCGTTGTTGCAGTATCGCTCTTCAAAGCTAGCGCTCTCCCCGTCGAGTCAACGTAAGTCTGGCAAGTGCTCTGTGGCAGAGCCTCTTAATTCTAACCGTGTGCCTAGGGGGGTTGAAAATGTTAGTCACGTCAAGAACGTAGCAAAAGCCCCACCATTCACCGGCGGAGTTGCGTTCCCCAAACGACAGAGCGACAAGGACACAATTATTAGAGAGAGAGGAAGGAAGGTACAAAATCAGGCGCAAGTGCCACCTTTTACTGGCGGTGTTGCGTTCCCGAAACGAGAGAGCGATAAAGATACGATAATTAGAGCGAGGGGCAGGAAGGTTCAGAACCCAGCAAGAGTACCTCCTTTCACAGGAAGCCCCGCATTCACTGGGAAGTAGTGGTGGAAGTGTACGACTGTACGCAGACTAGTGCACAAGCAAACACTGCTTCACTCAATATGTCATTTTCCCGAAGACTGAATCATCCACACTTTCGAGTCGAAAACAACACGACGCAGTACCTTTGAGATTCCACCAAGCCTGACTTTTCAGCACAGCCAAGCTCTCAATCAGTAAATCACTGTTGTTACTTCTTGTCAACATACTTGGTTGAGCTACCAGACATTATAAACAGGTTGGTAGACACATGTGGCCCACGCCGGTAATAGGTACCTGGTCCAACGCAACGTAATCACGGGTACTCTATGTAGCTTCTAGAGTCGAGGTTTTGACGTCAACAGTTCAAGTTGATGACGGTATAATCGACACACGCGTTAAAGCCGAGCTGTTCAAACCTAGAGAAGCTATTCAAGAGAACAAAATACTTTCCAGGCCTTCCGTTTGGGCTTTTGTGAGAGATATGGGAGTTGATTCGATATCAACAAGAGGACCCCAGTCGTATTCGATGCGATAGAGTGGTTGCCTCATTTATACCGGCTTTTAACGATTCCCAGACTGTTCGGCAGGCTGTGGACTATGACAAAATTCAAGCATTAATTATTTGCCACCACCAAAGCAGGGTTGCCCGATTGTCTGGTACGTTGATATAGCTCTCTCGATTCCAAGCCCAACAATATCAAACAATTGCGATGACCGTGTATATTTTGGTCAACAAATGTATCGACTTGTCGTCGGTTTCATCGTTCCTCTGTCATCGATGTTCTAGCTAGTAATCAATGAGTTCGAGGTACTGTATGACTGAGAAATAAGATGGTAACACATTCTGCCTCAGTTCGTGAATCACGATCATCTACTTCTTCACCGAACACACCGGTCGTAGCTGTGCTCCGTCCATTCCATGAACAGTCGTCTGAATCTGCATTGATAAATTCAATTGACAGAGCTCGATCTCGACCATACACACTTGACATGATATTGTCAGGGATGATAAGGTTTCCTTCGGCGAAACTGACCAAGCTTGTAGGAGATCCTGGTACTTGGAGATGATCCTGTAGACAATGCTTAATAATGAACGATCTCTATCAGAGCTTGGACAAAACTAACCTTGGAAGACTTTGGCTCCGGAGAATTGTAGGTTTTGATTGTAGTACCTGGGAATGGACTGAGGCTTTTGAATGTTTCCGCGAGGTTTGAGTGGGTAACAGCCCAGAAGAGATGCGACCAATAGAGTGTCTATCTTTAGGATCAATGATGAGCATTCCGCTCATGATCAATTCCAGCATCTGGCACACAAATCCTGCACAGGAGTTCAAACTCCTCAGTCTTTTAACCCACTGATTATATAGGTGTCAGATATGCCTAAATTGTAAGCCATGATGGGGTAGGGACTAATCAGACTCACTTTCTCCGCAGCTGGTTAAGCTGGGCTTGCTTACCCTTGCCTGGGACATGAGAAGTTACGAAGTAACTGTAATCAGGTTCTTCTATGTCATCCGTATCATCCAACCAGCGAATGGGATTGCGGTCTCTCTGGAAGTTCTCGATGTCTTCATACCCAAGTAGATAGCAGATGCAAAACTCGAGAAAAACTCTTTTGCTCGAATTTGCTCCACGGAAGCCGCACATTATGATAAAATACATATGAGCAGGGGCTTCTAGTTCCCATACTCGAAAATGGTGACGAAAATCATTTTTTGGTGAACATACAACAAACCAACGTGAAGGCGCTCCTAGTGTTGAAAGAGAGTCGTGTTGATGGGGTAATCGCCAAGAGTTCTGAACTCTTTCCTGCTCTTGATCTTGGGGCACAGTGGCAAGTGGTGATCGAAGATGTTTTCTTGGATGAAGTCTTCGATGCGGCTGGTTTGTTTCATTATTACCAGTGTAGCGACGATCCTTCGTCGGCTGCCAGTATCATTACCCCAGATTTGGCCAGCCTTTCGAGAGAAGTCTTCTTCAGTGATACCCTGATAGAGAGTTTTGACGACAGACATCATGGTTTTTGAGGTCAAAGATCCTTTCAAATGAATCGACTGGAAGATATTCCCCATGGTCCATCTCGCTCCGGTTAAGATTGCTCTCAATCTTTGTCGAATTTCATCTTCTATTTCCTCGATTGAAGGCATGCGATTGAAGACATCACCTTGACTGGGTTTGCGGCTGCATGAATGGTGTGCTGGCCAAGGCATCGCGCTGAAACCTAAATCACGAACAGAGACGACGGCATCTGTCTCGTCACAATCAGAGTGTTCAGGCTCCCCCCCATGATGACTTGACACTTTAATCTTATCGCAGTCTTGAGTGGATATACTTGCTCCGCCTGGCGATCCACCATGCCATACAAGTGGCGCAGCTGTTACAACCCTTAAGCTCTCAGAAGACACCCGGTGCGCTTTGCTCAAGCTCTGGGGCGTATTTAAACTGATATGAGCATCTTCCATGGCGCTGTACGATATCACATTTTCGTTTTCGACGTATACAGCTTTAGTATTGCTCGTGGATTGCCTCCTCTGCCTCGTCAATGTCGGTGGTGCTGTGGGGACGTCAGATCGTTGTGCGTCGGTGGGCCCACTTCTGTGCTATTGTTGTCGACTGTCGATGGGCGAGCTTGCTGAGTGCGGTCAGAGTAGCTTGTTGATTTGAAATCGATGCATCCGCCTTGTTGGCAATACGAAAGACATCTGGTGTCGGAGTGTAAGTAGACGGCAAAGACTCAAAGCTGTCAAGGGGTGCTCGAATCGTTGTCAGCGAGCCTTCTCACCCGTAACTCCCAGCTTGAGGTTGGGCGGTCTGCCCCAGTAATAGTATCTGCTAGGCAGGAAAGCCTCGTAAGGCGTTTGATTAGTACCTGATGTTGCCCAAGCATGTGCTTGAACCAATCGGCATGACGGTGGCAAATGAGATGCTGGGGTCGACGCTCGACTTTATTGGTGCTTCCTGCCCTCTCTCGGTCGAGTGCTCAGCTCCCTCTCTTGCTCGTCACACCTTGTATCTGCAGGCTGACCTGATCAGATGCGGGGGCCTACTAGAGTTGATTGAGGCCTCCCAGGTCAATTGCAGTTGAGAGCTGGAGTAGAAATCTCAAGATTCGGTCGAGTCAATAAGTCTTGATGGCAACACCCTCGTCTCGCCTTTCATCGAACATAAGTATCTGCAAACAGTAATACTCTATCTACAAAGCTCGACTAGAGTTCTTTGTCTGAATCAAGATGGCCACTTCTTTTAGCCCCCAGCCTTCTTTTCATCTGTGCCCCGACTTCAGCATCGCACCGCCGCCAAAGGGTCATCTTAAACTGGGCTCTGTACTGCGGGGTCTTGATCATAACAGCGTCTTCTCGCCACTTGACATTGGCGACACTGTCGAGGTCCCTGACTCGCAGCTGTTCCCACTCGACAAACCCTCCGAGAAGACCGGCTTCACTCGCAGTCTCAGAGAGCTCCGAGGCCTTGAGGGCAGCATTTGGGCAAAAGTCTTTGGCAGCGATGGGTTGGGTGCAATGTTCTCTTTTTTGCGCAACCGCGAGAACGACGAGATCCTGACAGTCAAGAAACTGTTTGTCCAATACTTTATCCCTACGTCCGAATACATGAAGAACGCTCTCCAGATTGATGGTGTAGCCTTCCACATCGATAATACGAAGCATAAAAAGCCAGTGTACTTGGTGACTGGGTTGATGTGGACTGCTGGAGCCAAGCTCTCCAAAGTTCAGTCCAAGAAGAACAAAGTCAGTGGACACGCTGCGGCAACGGACCCATACTCGGGCACCACGGCGGGCGCGAAGGGAGCGTACGAAAGTGAGGAGGTACTCGCCACGAGTTTTGACGGCTCAACGCCTTTCATTCTCGGGATTCGAGTTCGAAAGATCTGGTGGGACAAGAGCAGTGTGAGACACGACACTGAAGATATCGTTGGAGCAACACTTGGCGAGTGCAAATCGAAAGACGACGGCATCCTTGATGGGATCAAGTTCGTTGACGATGAAGATAGCAGCGCGATGAGACAATTTGTCACATATGAGACGGCAGAGGAACATTCCGTGACTTGGATTCTGACTTAAAGGACTCAAGGTCAGCAATTCTCACTGTGAATGCGGATTACGTACTGAGATTGCTGGTCAGTTCGCGTTGAAATGCAAGGCTGAGATAGGTAGTCTAAATCAGAATGCACCCTCAATTCTTTCTGTGGCTCAAGATGCAAATTATCGTTGTGCGCTATGATAGCTTACTATTGATGGTGTCCCAAACGAGTCGACGTTCAGTCTCGTTCATTTGCCAGCCACTCTTCCAATGATGCCATGGCGCCATATAGCACAGCCGATCTCGGACATCATTCTTGGGACTTGACATCATCTGCAGCATCTTCTCCATCATATCATGCCTCTTGAGTTTGTTCTTCGCTCGAGGTTTGATTTCTCTCACACGTGTTGCGAGGTCCAAGACTGTAGCAGCTATGCCGGCAGCGATGGGCGTCGCGAATGATGTTCCTGACTTAATCGCTTTCCGGTAGCCTGAAGGCCCGCCTGGCTTCTTCTCCAACAGCTTCAACCCCATACCAAGTGTCATAAAGTTAAACCCTGTTTCCAATTCTGGGTTAATACCACCATCTTCTCCGTTGCCTTCCGAGGCGTGAACGCAAAAGACCTGTGAGAACCTCGCTGGGAAAGCACACGGTTCATTCTTGCCGCTGTTAGAGGCCGCTGCAAACATAAGTCGGCGTGAGCGGATGGAGGCATCTACAATTGCATTTTCGATGTCGTCAACGATTTGTTCATACTCTTTCATAGCTCGTTCTTCTTCAACTTTGTCACCGTCTTCCCGGGCTGTGGGAGGCCGTAAGCCGAAAGACATCGAGATTATATCCACGTCCCAGGTATTTGCTGCGTGTTCGATGGCCTATTTCATGAAAAAAGGTCAGTGTTCGGTTAATGGACGGCTGTTTCGAAACCCAATCATCGTTAAATCATCTGAACATTTCGTACCTTGGCTATGTGTTTGGCTTCGTAATCTCTCACGGCGTTTTTTTGAAACACCTTCTCAACGTAAATGTCTGCTTCAGGAGCGGCCTTGTGCAGGAGAAACGCGCAGCTTGACCCGTGCAATTCATTGTCGTCATCTTTAGTCTCACTGCCGATCCAACTATGGCACCACTCCCTCTTCATGCGTCCTTTGTCCATGGCTTCTCGTATGCCTGGATGTGCGAAGTCAATTCCAGTGTCAAGCACTGCGATGCGGATCCGCCGTGGTGATTCCACCTCTGAATTCATGATGCGACTAGTGACAGAGTTTGAGTAGGAACTATGGAATTCATCGAGGAGTCTCCAGAAATCATCGGCACTAGTGGATCATTTATGTTCAGTAACTTCGTCATCAAATTCATAACAAGGGCAAGGTAAGAATGGGATGAGAGGTTACTTACGTTGAAGGCCTTGTGTCCTGTTTCGAGTCGAATAGCGCCACTTTAGGTTGACTTGGCCGCACTGTCAAGACACCAAACCGCGGAATCGAAGATTTCAATAAATCCTGCGCCAACGAAAGGCGTGAAACTGAGGGGGCTTGTGTATCAGTGAGGATGCCAAGGCTCGATCCCACTACACTTTTCAGCGTTAGGCTGTCGTCGATATTGACCAGGATCGTGTCGAAGACTACTTTCCGCGCAATATCAATCTTTTGGCTTGATTGCGTTTCCCTTAGACGGTTTCGGTACTCCAGATGGAATTCTAGGCAGCCTTGAGCTGCTATCAACAAGGGCAATATCTGTAGATCCACCTCTGTTCCGCAGGTCACGTTCTGGGTGTACCAATCCAATAATCTTCGGAGCTTTTTCCACTCATCCCGAAAGGCCGGCCCAGACGGCCTGGCTATCTTGACATTCTCGAGACGGTCTCCGCTGGCGATTTGTAGCAATGCCTTGGCCAGCAATGCGAACTGGGGCAGAGGTCTTGGGTCATCTTCGTCGCCACTGCAAGTACGTAGCTCGGACAGCAGAGGTCGGATTTGGTGGGTTTTCCTGCCCCCTTTTCTGGTGATTGACACAAATGGCGTGCGCTGGGTATCTACGGGCTCTAAGAAATAAATGTGCTTCGGGTCCCAGGACTCGAAGACGTCGTTGGAATCCAAACAGATCATCAAGCCGAGCACAAGCCTAGTTGCCAGAGCTTTACGCTGGCCGAACTCCAGCGTCTTGCCTGCATACTCGGTGTCATATAATAAGCTCAGACTGGTTTCCTTAGCAAAGTAGCCTTGCTTGATCATAGTCCAGAGGCTCTGCTTCTGATTTGGAAAGCTGGCACCAAACTTTCGCGTCCTGTTTGACCTATATGGAACGTGAATCGGTATTACTCTACCGCTAGCTTCTGCATCGTCTTTTGGGACGTAGAAATCTAGATCACAGTCCTGGTTGTAAGAATTGGTCAGGGCGGTGCAGAGCTCTTGCTGCTTGCAGCGTATGGTATGCTCAGGCCTGCGCTAGCAGTTTCAGTATTTGCATGTGCGTAAGTCAAAGGGAAGAGATGGTAGCATACAGCAGAGAATACATTCTTGCTGCCTGCCATTTGCTCTGTGAGCACATTCTGAAGAATAGCCGAATCGACGGGTCCTCAGTAGGGCCCCTCGAATCCCGGTTCGATACCTCTTCCCATCCCGGGAGCTGGAGTAACGTCTTGTGGTCTACCGTATTGCGGTCACAAGAACCGAATTGAGACGCCACAGCACGACAAGCAGTGGTTGCTTGCTGAGAGAACTTCCGGAAAAGCGTGAATGAAGCGTAAGATTGACTTGAGACGACCTTTTCATTCGGACGTGTAGCAAAGTCATCCAGAGAGGCTATCGATATCTTCAACCTGTCAACGAAACTGTTGAAAGAAAGAAAGAAACGGCCCAGAAGCTCGGTCTCTATGAGCATATTTTGTCGAACTTCTTTCGGCAACAGCTTGAGTGGCTTCTTATCCGGGCCGCTGAAAGCGAGGAAGGCATTTGCAGTCGTTAAATTATCTGAAATGTTGAACAAGAACTCCGTCGATGTGCATCTCCCCGTTGGGATTAACTCCAACTGTGTTAGCGAATTTGGGTCAGCAAGGTATTGGATAAGTCGCTTTAGCTGCGGGTAGCGCTGGCTTTGGGTGCCGTCTGCCAACTCAATGGGCACAAGAAGAGGGTTGACCCGTGCCTCGAGAAGGGAACACAGTTTCGAGAGATAATACTTTGCTTCGGATAAAGGAGGGCGGTAAACGTGCGAGTCATATAGTATGTCACGTTCATATGTTGGGTGTGAATCCGTGCTCGACTGTGAAGAGATATCATCAGAGTCAGAGTCAGAGGTAGCCTCCTCAGAATCTTGATCTGTTTCGGTTCCCGAGCTTGTTTGAGACGCATCGTCGTCTCCTTCAGACTCGAGGCAAAGCAACAATTCGAGCTTCAGAATAGTGAATGTGTTGCGAATTTGCACTTCTAGTATGCGCATGGCGTTGAAGATCCTTGAAGCTTGCTTGCTGCTGTACCTGAACGAGGGCCCAGACGGGGTCATTCTGGCCGAGCTGAAGCGACCATGGTTTTCGCGCAGCCCATTTACCAATTGCCACTCCTCAGTTCCATTAATTCCGCTGCTACGATCCGGATAATCCGGCGCCATGATGGCAGCAGGTGGGGTGTGGGGTTTCCCTTGTTCCAGCCTCGTCATGAACAACGACTGAGGTGTATCAAGCTCTTCGAAAGCTTAGCGTTGAGCGGGGTCGTATGTATCAGTTCGGTTGGGAGCGAGTCGGCGCGCAGGAAATATTCTAGACCTAGATCGAGAGGCTTTGATTAGGCTGTGGCCGAGATGGAGAGCGGAATCGAACCCAACAGAGCTTATGAGTGTCTCGTACGAGCGATCAAATGAATGTAAACAACAGAGTGCTCAAAGCGAAAAGTAAACGATCCATATCGGACAGGAAAGACTCTAGGAACTGCTACGCGAGATGTCAAGTTGATTCAAGGACGGGCAAGCTGAGAAACGACTCCTCTTCAGATCGCTGACCACTCAATGTGGGGACCTTGTCTGGGCAAGCTGAGGGGTCAAGAACCGAAAATTTTTTAGTCTTGGAGTCCCTCCCGATCTTGTTTGAAGACCTGTGTAATGATAATCAAGCTTTTTAGGGGGGGCAGAGTCATTGTAAAAAGATATCCAACCAAGGCCTCCATTAATTCCTTTGAGCAGACGAGACCAACAAGTTTCAATCGGGTTGACGAGCTTCAATTTCGTGAGCTACATGATTTGTATCAGACCATATAATCACTTTGCCTAATTAGCCATTGGTTGAGACGTCACCGTAAGCGAGGTTGAAGAAGATGTGAGAACATGTAATTGTTATCATCTTTCCCCGCTCAACGCGATGAACACTATTAGTCCACTACACCACCAACTAGCAGGTGGACGCTACAAGCAAATCAATGCGCACAACCTCATGAGCTCCTTCTTCGGCTAAGAGGCTTGAGTCAACCCTGATTCAACTGCAGCCAGAGATGACTGCCCTTGTGAATCAAAATGGCGAACGGCTTGGCTCGAGCGAGGGGGTGGAAGAGTACATCTCGACGATGGCTACCGAGTGCGAGTTAAACTTTGAAACATGCCTTCATATGTTGGAAACAAGCGCAGAGAATCAACTATCATCGAGTATAAGAAGATCGAAGAAGAGATTTCTCGACTGGGCGGCTTATCTCGGCGTTTTCGCTGAGGGGAACGGCAGCCTCGATCAACGCTTGAAACACTACCCACAGTATCGCGACCTTGTTCTTTTGGTACTGGACATGCTCAACACGAACCTTCTCCAAAGTAAAACTAGTGTTTCTTCCCTTTTTTAATATGGGCTGACCAAATGCTAGCTACAGTTGATTCCAGTCACTCAAGTTCAGACGAATCCTCGGATGACGAGAAGGACAAGTGGACAGTTGAACTTGATGGCATCCAAAAGTCGATAAACGAGCTTGATAGGCTCGCTATTCACATTCGACAGTCATCTGATTCATCCTTGGATACTCGAGTTAAAGCTTTTGGATCAAGAAAGGTCTCAAAAGTCTCTTCCTTTGAGGCAAAGGCGATGCTTGTAGTCAAAGGCCTTTATCCGGAAGCTAGTGAGAGCCTACATAGGCACTTGAGCAAGTCGATGACACAGAGATATATCAGGTTATTATACTGGAGGTCTCATGATAAGAAACTGCGCACAGACCATCGCCGCGACAAAAAGCCTCCAGATAAATCCAGGCAGATGCCACTAGAAAAGTCATCGCCACCTGAAGAACCAGCCCGGGATTCACGTCCGGCATCAGCACCAAAAACTTCGAGAAGTGGAGTCTCTGCTGGTACTTCCTTTCAATCCGGAACCCAGGCTTCGGACCCTGAACCCCGACTCAATAAATCAGCTTCTCCGGACGCTGAGACGCCGGCTCGAAGGCGGGCTGGAGCATCAACTGTTCTCGGGAGTAAGGCGAACTTCCCTAGCCCTCCTGATTTCGAAGATGGGGAAGACCGAAAACCTTGTCCTCTTTGCCGAAAGATGTTTCTCAAGACCGAATTTGGAAGCAATGTCTGGTGGAGGTAAGTCGTCCTGGAAAGATCTACATCTTGGCTGCTAACATTGTGAAAAAGATGCCATGTGAACGATGACCTCTTACCCTTCCCGTGTATTTCAAGTCAATGCTTAGGGTCCCCGAACTTTGCTAGTCTATCTGAATGGAGAGAACACAATGCAAGAGATCATGGTGTCTTGTGGTCGCAGGGCCCAAGTGGCCCAATTGGCGTTGCTGAACATCCAGAATCATCCGACGTTGGCCGTCTAGCGCATGACTGCCCCCTTTGCCACTTGCCGCTTGATCAGCAAGGAGATGAGCGGCCCGGAATTGATGACGAGAATATATCAGTTAAGCCCAAGTTTGCTCCTGAAAATGCGGCGAAGATTTCCAAAAGCGTACGATTCGATGTCCCACAGCAAGAGGAAGAGTTTGCAGAACAGGTTACGACTACTATGGGGGTTGTGACGTCAGCAATGACCGAGACGCCAACCAAACATCCCGAGATCAACCCTATGATGAATCACATTGCCAATCATCTTCAATTCCTGGCCTTGCTGACACCACGACTGTCAGTGGAAATGCTGTCGGATGGGGACAACATTACCGCCTCCAGCTCTAAGGCACCCGGCAGTAATCGAGGCTCCGGAGAAAGGAGTACGGTTCTGAACGAAGACCCCGGAACTGATATGGGGAACCAGTGGCACAATACAGACGATGATACATCCACTGCTCGCGTACCCCAAGTCAAAACAGGGTCAGAGGATGATTGGATTGAGCTCATGGAGCCAATGGATTGGGTTGGTCTTTCAGCACCGACACCGTCCAAGACAGGGGCTGGGGCTTTTAACAACCTCGGACAAGCAACGGAATCTCCTGATCCGATACTGCAGCACTATTATCGATGCCAGCTTCTCCGGCAGCTCTGGAGTCAGGCTTACCGTGGTCTCCAGAACGCGGAGCCGGAATTAATCGAAGCCTATGAGCAAATCCTATCGGTTCGGTTCCTTCAACACAGCTCTATGGACCCAGATTCAGGGAAACAATGGCGCCAGATGCAGCGGTTGGTCCAGGAAGGATTGGACGAGATGTCGAAGGAAGAGCCCACCACCACGCAAGGCATCTCAGAAGGCCAAAAAGCGGTCAGTAACGTGAGGAGACTAATGAGCGAAGCGGTTTGTGATGCTCCCGAAGCTTCAATCGCCTGGGTAGGCGTCTGTCTCGGAATTAAGGTGCGTAACTTTCTGAGCTAAGGAGAGAGTGCATCAGCTGACTGACTAATCGCTCACATTTCATAGATGCTTTCAGAACCCATCCCCAATGCCACTATGAGTCGCAAAGGCATCGCCTACGTCTTGTCGAGAATGGAATGGTACTGGAACTTGGTGTTGCCATTTCTCGGCAAAAATCAAGCTGAGAATTCTTCCGTGGCACTGCGAGCAGAACTTGAGCAGCACGTCCAACAGCTCTACGAGAAAGTTCTCATGTACCAAGTGAGAAGCATATGCCTTTACGATCGGGGCCAGTCTGCCGTTATGGGAAGAGATCTGCTCGAATATGTCAAATGGGCTGGCCTTATCCGACAGGTCAAAGATGCCGAGGATACCGTTCGAAGAGACATGGAACAATTTAATAACAACGAGAGTGGAATAAAGCTCCAAAATCTCGACGAAACCGCACCTGCGATGGAGACGAGTCTCTGGCAGTATTTTTCACTCATATCTGGTGACAACAATTCCCCAGACTACGAAAAAATCTCCAAATTCGGCCAAAAGATTACTGATAGCCTTTGCTCCAATCATGATGGCTTTGAATACTTACCGAATCACAAGTTCTCTCAATTCGTCAACCCAAATAGCGTGGCCGAAATCCTCAAAGCGGCAAACCTTGGCGCTGACTCTGACCTCGTCCATTTCGCGACGAATGATGCCACTTGTTTATTCCTGACCCTTGTGTCAATGTCAACGAGTAATGTTGAGAAGGTGTCCTTGTTGAGAGCCCTTAAATCTCATTCTTTCACCAACAACTCACTTCCCATCACCTTTCGAGTGATGCGAGATGCCGCCAGCAGCAATACGATATGGAATTGGCATGCTACCCCATCCCCAGGCAGCTCCGGCCCGCATGGCCCTCTCCACATCCCGGGTTGGGGTCACAACGAGAAAGCACTTTTCAACGTCTATCAGTGGAGATTCATCGCCCCGACATTCGGAGAAGGTCAACATTTTCGGTTTTGGTTCCCCAATGAGATGGTGCTTCCGTTCAAAGAAGTCAGCCGAAGAGCAGAAAGTAGGGGATTCTTTGGGGAGGTCTCCAAAGTCATCATTCATCGAGCACATATCAAGACCCAGACAATGGCTAGAGTGAGTACTCAACTCCAGGCATCGCATGATTACCCTCATTGATCACATACTGACGGGGCTCTGCAGAACAAAGACGGCTCCGTAGCGCTCGCATTGAAGAAGGCGAATGATGATCCCGGGCTTCGCGAATTCTTTGACAGGGAGGTAAAGAATCTTCAGATGCTCACTAAGTACAAGTCAATTCACCTCTTCAAGCCCATAGCAGCCTACGAACACCGTGGAGATCGCTGCCTCCTCTTCCCCTGGGCGGAAGGTGGAAATCTGGCCGAGTACTGGAGTCGAAACTCTGGGTTTTCTTTAACCAAAGTCGAGCTTGCCTGGATTTTCGGCCAGCTCACTGGTCTATTCGGTGCTCTCGAGGAACTCCATGCGGGTAACTGCAGACACGGGGACCTGAAGCCTGAAAACATTCTGTTGCTCATCGATTTGGACAAGAAGATGACATTGCAAATCGCCGACCTGGGGCACACTGCTTTCCATGATCTAGAAGCCGCGACCAATATTCGCAGAGCTCACGAGATATACACCAAGACGCCACCAGGAACATCTCGGTACGAACCTCCTGAGATGGAAATGGGCCGAGACAAGAACCGATCCACTTGCGAGGCTCGTTCAAGAGCGTACGACGTCTGGTCAATGGGCTGTGTTGTCTTGGAGTTGCTTATCTGGCTTTCCTACGGCTTTGACACCGTGAGTAAGTTCAGAGATGAAACCGCATACCTCTGGGAATGGGAGCGGGTCAACAAGAAGAAGCAATACCGTGTCCAAAGGGAGGCACAACGTTACATCAAAGCTCTCTACACAACATGGCAGGAGCCATCAGCATGGAAGGAGCTTTTGACACTTGTGGAAACAAGGCTTCTCCTCGTCGACGTGTCCGAGGACTGGAATATCAGCTCTATTGGTTATCGTGAAACGGCGGCTGCAGCTCACAGACAAATGAGGATAACCCAGAGAAAGTACTACTCTGTGTGAGTTTCCACGGGCTAGGGGCTCTTATGCCCAAACTTGATTAAGGGCCAACTCAAAATCAGCATCGCGGACATTAGATCTAAGTCGGCCTTAGGATAAAGCTAGAAACACGGTAGCTTCGAACATTTACTGCCCTTTATCAAAACTGACATAGTTCATTGCACAAAGTCTATAGTATTGGCTATATTATATAAGTAAATGGAATATGACTTTTGCAGCGCAAAATGAGCAAAGACAAAGGAAACGCTTGCATCTAGAGCAATGTGAGATTCCCGGGTGCTCGCATGTCACAGGCCGATTGTGACTTATTACGTCCCGATAGAACTGTTTATTTGTAACATGGATCGAATCGATGCCCGGATGCCGTTGGGCCCCTACTACTGCAAGTGCTACAATTCTCTTCGAGGAATCGGGAGGGTGGGCGTTTACAGCCTGGCGAGTGGTCGAACATGGTGACCGGCACTGGTGCCAACTCACGCTACCTTATCTGAGCTGTATGTTCAGACTTATTCACAAGACTTTTATCCAAAAGTCCTCGAATTCTATTGATGATTCAAGGTACTTATAACAAATATCCGAGACGACTCGGGCGTCTCCGCGATATTTAACATTAAGCAAATTATTGCGAAGTTGAAGTATTCGAGAGAATATTTCTAAAAATGATGGTTGAAGGACTACAGAATCATAAGCATGGCCGAGGTTCACTTTATACTGGATGAGAGCTAAGACATTCGGGCGGAACTCAAATGATTTGGAGTGGATAGGCCCTGAAAGGACGTACTCAGGTTGGAGCTCTCGATATAGTCGACACCCTCCTACAAACGCTTTTTCGTCGTCGTAGCTCATAGAATCGAGCCCTATCCCAACGCCTTCCGGGTTCGGGAAGCGGACAAAGTCTCAGCCAAGCCCCCAATCTCGATCCCGAGCTTGCAGGCCCACCCACGACCCCGAGTCCGAACCCGATCTATTGCGCTCCTCACATGATTCGGACAATGTGAAATCCCGGCGAAACCAGCTCGACATATTTAGTACATATCACTCTTCAACCATGGGCGTCTGCATTACTACATCTCACATGAGCTGGCCCGAACCCTCTCTCTTTCACCGGGCACGCATCTGGACAAAATCCCAGCTGTCAGACCTACCGAACTACCTTAGATCTCACGTCAGACGGTCAGATTTCCTTCCCGAACCGGGCGCCACGAACCCCCAACCACGATAATACACAGTCGACAATACTCTGAACCAGTGATATAGCATTTCATCGATTGAGCATCGTAAATCCGCGGGGTCGTGTTGCTGGGAAAATGTCTCACCTTCCAGTATCCAGCTTAGCTGCTCCAGTGCAACTTGTCCGGACGCTGACACATGAACGACGTGTGACAAAGGAACGCCACAAACCTCGTCGCTCACAACCTCATAAAACATGGAACGAACCCGTCTACATCGTGACATCCATCAACTAAACTCAAGCAACCCATCGCACCACCCGCAACCCAAATCCCCAACTCCAACCGCCCAAAATGCCCTACTTCTCCCGAAACCCCTCCTTCAACCTCTTCTACCTAGACGAAGGCCCCCGCACTGCAACCCACACAATCCTCCTCATCACAGGCCTCTCCTGCGAAATGCACGACTGGAGCTGGCAAGTCCCCTTCCTCCTATCCCATAGCCTCCGCGTCATCTCCATCGACAGCCGCGGCCAGGGCAAATCCTCCGCCCCGCCGCCCGACCCCACCATTCGCACCTGGCCCGGCCCCGAGAAATCCGCCGACCCGGAGGTGATAGACTACTACCCGCAATCCACAGCCGAAGACATGCTCGCCCTCCTATCCCACCTCAACATCACCAAAAACCTCATCGTCGTCTCTCACTCTCTAGGCGACGCAGCAGGGTACTACATCGCCACATCCCGTCCAGACCTCGTAAAGGCCTCCATCGGCGTAGACCCAATCCACGCCTTCTCCAACGCCGTCCGCGAACGCGACGCCTACCTCTTTGACGAGCCCGAAGCGAACGACAAGATCGTCCCGACGCTCGTCGAGTTCTTCAGCACGTACTGCTACTCCCCCGACTGCCCAGCCTGGCAAAAGACATGGCACCTCCGCCGCATGGCGCAGTTCGACGGGGCCGTCATGTACGCGCTCTGCTGGGGCGGCTGGGGCGACGCAGAGCACAGCTTGGGGAGGCAAGAGAACGCTGTCAAGGCCTTTGGAGGAAAGCTCAAGTGCCCGCGACTGACGCTGGGTTCGAACGATTGGTATGTCGCTACGGATCGTGAGCATCTGCCGAAGGGTGATGAGGCGCTGGATGAGATCGTGTTGATCGAGGGCAAGGGCCACTGGTTTCATCAGCTCGAGAGCGAGGAGTTTAATGGGCATTTGGAGAGGTGGTTTCAAAAGATCGGCGTGCTGCCGGCAGTAGAAGCAGGCGCGGCGTCATGAAAGCAAGGTCGTGTTCCAGTGTATGTGTGTGTGCGTGTGTGGTTTCGGGAGGTCAAGTTCAAGTGCCGGTAGCGTCTACGGTGTTCCGTCTGCCGGCGACGCGGGTGGTAAAGGCCCCATTTGCGGGATGGTGTGGGACGCACCGTGCCGGGGCTGTGAAAGGTACTACTGCCGGCTCCATTTTCGGCCTTGCTTTTTGTAACCTTAAACAACCTTGATCTCGCCTTAAACCAAGGCACAAAATAAAGGCGTTCGGTTCACCACGATTATGTTTCTGTGTTGCATCCTGGGATGTAGTTGGCTAGTTGTCCTGTGAACGAGTCGAACTCCCATCCATTGAGTTATCCGGCAATTGGGATCTCGAGCAACCAAGACTTGAGATGGAGGTCTGTCTTGTCAGCCCTGCCGACCGAAGCAGGTGTTAGGGTTTCACGGGATGGTGGTCGAGTCCGTCGCCGATGGAGTATGGAGCCAGTAGCCGGCGCTGGAAAACGATGGCGGGACGACTGACATCGGAAGCGCGATAAAGTTGAGCGTGTAAGAGCCGCTCATCGTGGGCAACGCCGAGGCCCCGCAGTTCCGGCCATCATTGCCGTCAAACGCCGGCAAGCCCTCACTGTTGCGGCGTCAAACAGCGGCAAAGGCGGGGTTGGAGGGGGGCAAGTCGGCTTCCAATGTGAACGAGGTGGCTGGAGCGTTGTATGTGTGTGTGAACGGATGACTGGGCCAGCAAAACGGCAACCCGCCGGCGGCGGTGCAGTGGCCGTGAGAATGCCGTCCGTCCAATTGGGTGTGTCATGTCGCATAAATTGCTTGCCGACTAAGTCCGTCGGCGATGTGGTCGGCCTGTTGCGGCCCTTGTCTGGGATCCCGTCGCAAACTCTAGACGAGTCCGCTGCCGTCCCTCTTCATCGTTGCGTTGCGAGGATCCGAGCTCTTCGCTCTCCTGAGATGTGCGTGCCGTGAATGTCGGGGAAAGTTGGGGAAAATTCATCTGTGCTGCTTCATCCACGGGGAGATCATCCTCATGGGTAAGGGGGGAAGCAAAACGAGGGGTTCAACAACAGACCCAAGCTCCTTTTCTGCCCTGCCCCCCTCCTCAGAATCCCAATGCAACGGCTTCTCCCCCACTCCACCATGGCTATGAGGGATCTTTGACGTCAGACTCCATGGCTCAGAACAGAGGTCTAGTAGCGGCATCGAGCGGAAGGTTGCTGACGACGCCAAAAGCCTGTGTCTCCTTGCTGCTACAAGTCTTTCAGGGGGCGCAAAGCTTTTCTTTCTTGAGTAAGTGAGACTGCTTAATCCTTGAATCACCGAATAAGGTACAGAAGAAATCTCGATGCTGGTTGTGAGCTCATGCTATCAGCTGCTTTTTTGCGTCCATGAATGATAGTTGGGTTGTACAGATTGTGTCATTAGCCAACTCTGGTAAACTTCGTACCTGATGTACAACGTGTTGGTTCGGCCGATTAGGAAATTCTAGCCTCTCTGTGCCTGGCAAGGTTCGACAAGCCTCGATCTCATATGAATTGCCGCGTTTTGGCATCCGAGACTTTGCCATACATCCAACTGATGAGACTTTGCCATGGCTGAGCGGCCTTAATGTTGAAAATAGTAGCAATAGTGTGTCTTGGCTCGTCGTGCCTTGTGGATCCAGCGGCATCGCATGCCGCAGATCATCTGGCCGCTGTCAGGGTCCAATATCCTGCAGCTCGATAGGGGCACGAGCCAACGGAACGAGACCCTTTTCACGCGCGTGAGTGATTCTCCAGCAGGCAGAGACCTTGATGCATGGAATAAAGGTGTCGTCTGTGCAACTTAAGCCTCATGTTCAAGTCTGAGCTCAGAGTTTTTCGGCCTTAGACTCGGCGTATCATGGGTTCCTTTGACACCTCGGTCTGCCTTCTGAATACGGCTAGAATTGCAGGTCTGGCACTGGAGCCAGCATCGTCTGCGCCTGCAAGGTCTTTCCTCAACGTTCGAATTGCTGACGACCATCTGTGGGACAAGACAGTCCACAGTTGGATCCCAACGAGAAAGAAGAGCCAACGAACAAAGACAACTAACCACCGGAATCTGCCCCGGTGGATTCTTCGAGGACGCCGCGTGTGAGACATTTGGCGCTCTAGTAACAAGCGCGGCGCGCTACTCGCACTCTTTTAGAGTTTGGCCGGTTCGGGGCAGGTCAAAGTGACGTCTCAGTCACGTCCGCCACCACCGGACGGACACCAATAAGCTTTGTCCTGGCCCAACTCACCGAGGTCGTTCGCCTGGCCTGGGGGCTACTGCACGCGCCGTGTTCGCCCGCGTTGCCAAGGGTGGATGGGTGGTCGACGACGACTACATGGGATATGCCGCTACGACTGCGAGCGATCTTAACCAGGATCAGCCAGATCAAACATTCTCCAAATTTCCACATTTATCGTGGGGAGCTTCCCCAACCTTACCAACTCGATCTGACCTCTTTACATAGCTTCAATGTTCTCCGTTTCCCTCCAGACGCGTTACCTTTGGTTCTGCTGGGACACTGCTGATGAGAGTCGCTCGAATGTCGAGCTCATATCACCGCTGGATTGACGAGACCTAGTCGCCATGGCCAGCTTGGCCAAACCGCAACAGGGCCACTCGAGAGTCGAGGAGAAGCGCACGACGGTAAGCTTCGGAGAACCCGGTATGAGATGTTAACTGACATGCTGATTTGTGAATCAAGCGCGACGGCCCCAAACCACGTAGGACGTTTCTCTCCGTCTCCCAACAACGACGATCTTCCGGGTACCCAGCATCATGGACGTCTAGATGGAAACACCGTCAGCAGCCTCCACCGACCAGACCTCATAGTCAACCGCAGGACAGCTCACCTTTGCCATTGATCCTTGCTCGAAGAGACTCCTCCCAGACATTGCTGGATTCGGAAGAGGAGCCCGAACTGGTTCTTTCCAAGTCTATCCAAATCGGCCCGGAAGTTTTGTCGGTGAGCCGGTTCCACGCCAACTATGCTGCGCAGGCCAGCATCTTAATATTCAGTCGATTGCCCGAGTACTACGACATTGACCTATCCGATGCCAGTCATGCGCGACACGCCACACACGCTGTGGCCTTGGCGAGTGCTTCTCGGTCACTTCGTCAGTCGGGGCTCATGGTTGAGGCCCGGCGACATTACGGGAAAGCGATTTCGACTCTGAACCAAGCCCTTCAAGATCCAGTTGCAGTTCGAGATGATGCTAACCTGGTCACGTTATTCTTGTTTGGCATGTTCGAGGTACGCCTGAGTTGGTCCTGCCGACGTTGACGCATGTTGTGTCTACCAGTTCGGGACCACACCTCGACTCCGAGGTGTAGTTAGTATTTCGGCTAACCCCAGCAGGTTATCAACGGCAAGCGAGGCACAAGCACAATCGACTTGCAAGAGAATGTATTCCCTCACGGTGCCGGAGGCTTGCAGCTGTTCAAGTTTCGCGCAGATCATGGCTTGACCAACGAAGTCGACAAAGCCTGCTTCACCTTCTTCTGCCATGCAGCGGTGAGTAGTCTGGACCTTATCTCCGATGAACACTCTAGCTGATATTCCCGGGGAAAAGTTGATGGAGATGTTTATACAGCGAGACCACTTGACGCCTCTATGGTCAATGCTGGAAGAAGTAGAAACCCCGTGGGGCAAGGGCCCTGTTCTCGAGCCGCTTGTTCGACAGGTAGTCGATTTCAAGAGAGCATTTGACTTCAAGGTGCAAGTACAGGGCAACTTGACCAAGCTAACCGATAGCCCACCGGAGGATTTGCTGGACCTCATCCGAGGCGGCATCGATCTGAGCAGCGATCTTGAGGCAGCCGTTGCATTCCTCGGCTTCTCTGGCGCTTCAACGTGTTCCGGACAGCAGCAAAAAGTGTTCAACGGTTTGTTCTCGCTGTCGTCTGAGTCATCAGTTGCTATCGCGCGAAGCCACTATCGTTCGCTTCGTGTATATCTTCTAGAGCGAATTATCGAGTTGCGAAATATTCTCAAGGAGAGCAGCGGCAAAGTCGCCACTAGCTTAGGTCCTATGCCGAGCTGGTCGGATGGTGTGTCAGTCGTTGAAGATGTTCTCGACGACATCCGGACGGTATTCGGGCTCGAAGGGAAGGAAGAGGCGCCGATCGAGGGCCTTGCTTACCGAACTATGACAATGTTTTGGCCAATGGTCATGGTGCGGACTTCATGTTTCGCAGGTCCTCATAATGGCAGATGGGTAGCAGAAAAGATGTTGGAGTTAACTACGGAATCGGGGTTTGGCCTTGGTGTGGAAGCTGCGAATGCTTGAAAGCATCGCTTCATAATCATTATCACTGAGGCGTGGCACTGTTGAAACGGTGCTGGTGGCCAAACAGGACTATCAGACTGATCTCAATAGCTTCGATGAGTGGCTTTCAGCTACACAGGCATGTGGAAACATGATCAGAGCGACTGGAACATTCACAGGGCCAGGAAATCGGGTACAAAAGGATGCATGTACACCTGGGTCACGGTCGGAAAATGGGACGGAAATTCTCCCATATTGATGGGGAACTTACGAATAAGATACCAATGACGTTTCAGGATAAGGAGAAAGGGATGCACATATCAGAAAACGACTTGTGAACCTTGATGGTTGTGAAAACTATGTCGAAGCGTGTTTTTGGGTGCCGTTGATGGCAGTAGTTCATGGCGAGCTGGATGACAATCATTTTCACATTCTGAAACTATTTTCTTCGGCCGAGCTTCAGGCGAGCTTCAGGCGAGACGAGAGCTCGAAATAGTTGGCAGGCTCAAGCTGCGGAGAATCAATTCGGCAGAGAATATCCGGAGGGTTCGTCGTGGTGGGTGGTGAGTCTTCGACCGGCGTTGCTACGACGAATAGTGTTTCGCCGGTTAACTGCAGCAAAGGAAGCAAACAAGCCGTACGAAAGCAGAGAATGGGTCGAGTGATTCTGGCAAATTGCGATGAGAACGACCAGACGACTGCTCAAAAAGGGAGGCAGCGACGCGCAGGGTTTGAAAGTGTGCCTCTTTCCACAGCAAACTGCAGACGCCACATCGAGGTCTGGCGGTCGAGGGAGACGAATGACATGATCTCCATTGCCAACCTAGGGAGACCTTGCTTGTGTATCTCGGCCGTCAGAGGGGTTTGGAGAGGTGTTGGGCTGGCGCAGAAAATTGAGGGTCTGCTATCGGTGCGAGTCCACAACAAGGACATTGCACGCTGGTTGGAGAGTAATAAGCGACAGCGCAGGATTGCCATTCTGCACCGCACGCGAAGATCACCTGCCTCCAGCGTTAGGTGCCCGGAAACCGAGAGATATTGGGATAGGTCCCGCTCGCAACCGCTTAGGCCGGTGATCGTTTCGCTGAGATGATCTTACGTGCGTTGGTTCTGGTCCGTCAGTCGTCGCTCGTTGGCCAAAAGAATACAATGCAGTCAGGCGGGATGCATTTGTGAGAGACAGAATGCGCTGGCGATTGGGTCGCTACCGAACTCTGCAACACCCATTGATAGTCAGCATTTCGCTTCTGTCCTTGCCCGAGAAACGAACACAGAAGACAAGAAGAAGTAGCAGCTCCAACGCAACCGTGGTAACGTAGCTGCGTGGGATCGTTTGCCGGATTTCTCGAGTCTGGTCTGAAAGTTTGGTGGCGGGTCTCAAGCTCGAGTGGGCAGTTCGTTCGGTTTACAAAGGCTATCCCGGCAAACCAAAGAGTAGATGAAAGAGCAGGTTGCGATCCGTGATTCGTGGAGACAAAATCAAGTCTAGCCCGCGACAGGCAGGCAAATAACAGTACAGTGCACTTTGAAGTCTGCTTGGAGTTCGTAATGAGGGGCTAGTCGTTTGCTCTTGCTGCGCCGTTAAACCTCATCCGCACGTCCACGCATCCACGTTGTATTCGCAGTTAGTCACATCAGTCGTGAGCGAGAGGGTATTCCCGATCACTGCGTCCCAGGTTGCTGGCACTTGTTGATGCAGGCGGGGTCCCTGTGGCATAGGTGTGTTTTGCCTCTATTTTGGGTATGTCTATTGCCAGCTCAGCCATCCATGGTATGAGCCCCAGCTGCGGCACAGAGGGATAGACAGTGCATGTCAGGCAAACGAACGCATACAAGATTGGGTGCACCGAGGCCAGGCTCCAGGGATGCAGGCGCCAAACTGGGTGACTTGGCTAGGCAATCTCGTCAGTTCTCATTTCGGGAGGAGTCTCGAGGGAAGAGAACAATGACTGAACCCTTGGATTTCAAAGCGGAAGATCGAACCATGAGCTGCCAGTGGACCTCTTGTCTCAATTCTTTTATCTCCAATCAATGGCTTTCTTGTATCTCGATAACGGGCCACGAGGTGGAGGATCAACAGCAGCGATTCGGATCCGTCGATTTTACCGTGGACTATGGGGGAGGCCGCACCGTGTGTTGTTGATGGCGAGGCCTCAGGGCCGCATGGTCCGGCCGATCTGACCGACAAAACGGCTGGCTGCGTAGAGAAATGCAAGATGTAAAGAAGCATGGCGAATGAAATTTCGATGTCTCGGCCGTTAACGTAGCCAAGTTCTCACGCCACGTCCACATCTGCCCGAGAAATAAAGTGCCTTAGGAAGTGCGGTCAGAGAATCGGAAGGCCAACAGGTTGAAGTGTTGGCCTTGCAGGAAAAGTAAAAGTAGGTGAGGTATGCGGTGAGCAGAAGACTCGATGCCTTCTCTCTTTCTTTGCCCTTTCCCTTGATCTTCCGTAGATATCTGAGGCTGATACACGGTGTTAAGGCACCCGAGTGAGGCAAGAAATGGGAGGTGGCAGGAGGCAGTAGACAAGAGGCAGGAGGCAGCAGGAGGCAAGAGGCAGTAAGTGGACCTGGGGATACTTAGGCAGGTCCAGCCAAACGCGACTTCCTTCTGGTTCCCTCCTTCCGGGGGGCCGAGTTACGTCAATGGAGGCAAGTACTTCCCGTCGTTTGCACTGTGGACTGAATGGAAAGATCGAATGCAGCGGCTCTCAGTCTCTTCCCTGGTCGTCTCATCTCTCATTTCATCCAGGATTTGGCGAATCGACATTTCATCCAAATTGAGATCCAGCCAAGTAGTCATCCGATCGACGTCTTGGGGCAACGCCCAACGGGTACACTGCCGCCATGGCGTGGAAGTGAGACACCAGGGCAGACAGACAATCGAGGGTGCAAGACATTCTATCCGTCTTACTCACTCATCGACAATATCCGTAAGGCGCATTCAGCCCCTTCACCTCGCTTCACTCCCTAAGGGAAGATATCCTCGGCCGCATCTTGACGATGCTAGTCACTGAGGTGGTCCCCATTGGGGCTCGGAAAAGATTGGCACTTTATCTCTCACTTATTCTTCTCGTTTCTGGAAACATCAGTGGCAAGCACCACTCGTGTTAATCTCGTTCCACTTGCCGAGCTTCCTCTGCCTCTCCCTCGTCAACCTTTCTCTTTGTTTGCCCAGACCACCTCCGTTTGACTGCCACCTTGCCCGGCCCTGCCCAGCCCTGTGTAGAATAGAGCCTTGCGTTGGCCTGCAGAGGCATGTTTGTGAGGTTGCATATCCGCACATCATGTCTGGCAAGGGCTCGTTGGCAACTTGGCGTCTGGCCTTACAGTGTGGCAGCCATGATGAAGCGGATGGATTGGGGCTTTGCATTTCACTCGCCCGACAGATACCTTGCCCGAGATGTTCTCACTGAACCGTCGTGCCGTCTTACTATTCTGCCGTCGTGCCTCTCTGCCTTCTTTCTCTAATGTAGATGCCATCCATCGACTTCATCCCCAGTCAGTCCTCATTCAGACTACTGCATCTCATCTTACATCCTATCTCACACTAGTACTCCAGCACCCCGCGTAGAGGCGGTTGCGAACAATCAGTATTCGGCCGCTCCCCCGGACAGCATTACCTTAGATCTCATCAGGACTTATTGAGGCAAGGTAAGCCATCTACACATCCTCGTTCGTTACTTTCCTCCGTCTCCGCCTCCACCTCCACCTCCACCTCCAAGAAGAGGGTACTTCCCCAGATTTAGGCAAGGTAGGTTCGTATGTTTTGTACCTGCTTCCTCGAGCAAGGCTGTGGCAGCTTCACACCTTCCCAGTTCTCATCCTACAAATCCACCTCCGCCGTGCCTTCCCTCCACAGTGCTCTGTTTTGACTTCATCTCTTGGCAACTGCCTCTGGATGGATGTATACGTTCCTTCCCTCGTCCCTCCCCCCCTTCCCTCCTTCCCTACTTTCCCTTCACCCCCTGTCCTTCATCGCGTTCATTCACCTCAACTCACACGCGCAACCACTACATCCTGCCCGGGTATTCCTCCCTCATGTCGACACTTACAACTCCCAAGCCACATCTCTTCTGATATTGCCGCCAGTTCCAATAAGAGAAGAATTCCGTCAAGTCTACCTTGGATCGGAAACAGTCGCCGCTTCCTTACCTCTCCTCGACCCCCGCATTCAATCGTCTTGGGCCCTTTCTCTCATTCAAGGCTCCCCCTGGCATCTCACAGAAGATCCTCTCTCGTACCCGTCGCCGCTCGCCATCGATCTTTTCACCCATGTCCCTTCTTCGTCTTCTTCTTCGCCCGTTCTCGTTCGTGTAACATCTCCTTGCGTCGGCCCTCTTCCCCGACCCAAGCCAGGAATTCCGCAGTCGGTCATGCACCTCAGTGTCTCGCCTATATGTAGCTAACAGTCTGGGCTGCTTGAGATTAATACATGATCTCGCCTGTCATTCTATTTCAACCTCTCGATTGCTACCTTCTCGAATACGCTCGAATCTTTCCATCCTGCTTCAACCCTCGCCTTCTCTGGTGCTGCAGAGGTCAGCAGCTCGTCACACAGAGCTGCCGTCCAGCAACACGGCATATCATTTTGGCCTTTGGGTCCTCGAGGCTTGTACTTCCTCCCGGCCAACCCTTTTCTTTCTTTTAGTCTCTGTCGGCTCTTATCAACTGCGCATTTCGGTTCTTCTTTGTGACACAGCCGCCATTTGTGCCACCTCTGCCGTCAGTTTGAGCCACGACCTACGCTTCATCTTTCGGTCCTTTCACACATACATCGAGGGGGCCACGTCTTGCAGCATTACAGACTGCATCTCAGCTACTAGGACACGGAGGCAGGTATGCTTGCAGCTCTTTCCCTAGAAGCAATTCCCTGCGCAGGCAACAAAGATGACTGACCTTATGACCCAGCCTGCCTTCGAGTCGCTGCTTCGTTCGATAGCTCGCTCACTTACTAAAGTTACTGAGTCACATCGAAGCGAAAACCTTGGCTCTCAAACATATCCATGGACGGTCCGGACGGTCCAATCGCCGACATGGGTGGGAAAGTGCAGTCCCTCAGCCAGTCTCAGATCGATATCATCATCGCCCTGGAGAGAGTTGGGGCTTCACTGTCGTTGGTCGGAGTTACACTAATATTCGTCACCTACTGGCAATTCAAACGCATTCGAAGTGTTCCAAATCTCTTCATCGTCTTCGCGTCAGTTGCCAATGTTGGTGCTAGCATTGCTTGCGCGATGGGCTACGACGGCATGCTAGCTGGAGCAGAATCCACTTTGTGTCAGGCACAAGCGTTTTTGCTCGAAATGTTCGATCTCCCCTTCTTTCCATCTTCTTTTGAGAAAACTGTGCTAATGGTCCGATGCAATAGGTTCATGCAATCTGATCCGTGGTGGTCTTTCGCCATGGCTATCAACGTCTACCTCGTCTTCTTCGCCGGTGCCAATCCTTCCTCCTTCCGACGCTACATTTGGGTCTACTGTGCTATCTGCTTTGGCTTCCCCATGATTCCGGCCGTTGTTTGTCTCCTAGTCCGACCTCGTGGTCCGGATGACCTTATCTATGGAGATGCTACAGTACGTAGGCGATCGTATTCCACTTCGCAAGGAATTATCGTGACTAACCTTCATAGATATGGTGCTGGATAAATCATGATTGGTCAAAACTTCGTATATTCACTTACTATATTCCCATTTGGACCTGCATCGTCGGGTCGTGCGTTATCTACTTTGCCGTCGGCTACCATGTCTTCCATCACCGCAATCAACTCCACAACCTCACCTTCAGCAATACTGGAAGAGACTGCAAAGACACATCTTGCTCAGATGAGCGAGACTCAGCGGAAAAGGTATGTCATTAGCAGGCATAGGTACTTGAGAAAATGACCTGAAGTTGACACTCTCCAGAATCTCACGAGCCGTGCCGAATTCTTCTATGGAACCGCCGTGACGGATATCCAGATTACAACTATGGTACCAAGGCCTTGGTCACCTCAAGTTCCGTCAATAGCCATTACAAAGGGGCTAGACGATCAACAACCTCGGCACCAGCAATCATGGCGTACGAGCGAAGAGGACGGACACGGTACACCAAGCCCTCGTTTCGAGACCACGTGCACATCAGACCCTCCGCCGCCAAAGCCGCAGCGATCTGTCTTCCAGCGAATTAGGCGTGTTGGGACAAAATTTTCAGCCAGGCTTGACCGTCTAGACCCTGTCAAGCTTGCATACCTCAGGACCAGTTTCATCTTTGCTATCTCTGTTTTGGTGACATGGACACCAAGTTCGATCAACAGGGTTGTCAACCTTCTCAAGCCTGAAGTAGTCAGCTTCGGCCTGAATGTTGCCAGCGCCACGGTTCTCCCACTTCAAGGTGTCTGGAATGCCGTCATCTTCTTTATGACTAGTTGGACGACATTCAAAGAAGAATGGAAGGACATGCGCTGTTGTCAACAGGGCCGACTTGGAAGTTGCGCCACTGAAAGTCGACAGGGTGCCGTCAGGATAGACGTGCTTCGAAGCGATCAACATGACCGATTTCGAAACGGTCGCTATGGGCACACGAAAGCAATTGGCAGCGACCAAACGAGTGAGCTCGAGTTGACAGTCCCTTCAGGAGTCAGTAATGTCAGAGCCATGAGAGGATCCTTTAGTATATGATTCGTCGATTGCGCCTACCAGACCTTTGAGTTGCAGGCGAAGGTTGTTCTTCAAGAGACACCGTCTGATTGTGGTTGGGGATGACTCTGGATGTCAGTACGGGGAATGCTTTTGGGGGGACGGCCAACACTTAAGCGGGACTTTATTGACCGAGGAGGATACCGATATACATTCGCATATTACGGAAGATTTTGGAGTTGTATATTAATCGGATGCGCGGCGGTCGGTCACGCGCGCGATCCAAGTACCTGCACAATGCCTGACCATGTCAGCGATACACAATGTTAATAAAAGCAAAATGCCAACATGTTCCAAGCAAGACATAAGACCTCTGAGTGTAGTGTCTGGGAAGATCTCTCCGATAGAGAATTAGCCACTCCCAGTGTCGGCTGGGCTTCGGGGGGGTCATTGCTTTGAGCGACTTGACCAGATCTACTTGTAGCTGCTTCTTTTAAGTGATCGTAAGGCTAAAGGCTTAGAACGTAATTACCATCGGCCTATGTGCCATTCGAGTCTTTCCGAAGGCAGTCACGTCTCAGGAAGGTCATCCTCTTCAGGTTGTGCCTGTCCCACTTATTCGGAGAGGGCGAAGTCGGGTACTTCGTTTGGCCGGAAGGAAATAACGCCAGTGCCCCACCTCCGCCGCCCGGCCCGGCACCGGGCAGTAATACCAGGTCCGAGTCCCGACAAATGAGCTTTCCAATCGAGGCGTGTGTCTGCCAAAAAGAAGTCTTTCAGAGGAAATACCAAGAAGACTGGAGGCTCGTAGCTTGGGTTTGATCGAGGGGAAATTCGTCAAAGTAGCCAGATTTCGAAAAGTAATGGATTATGTCCATTTGAACGAAGATATGTACCTCGTCGCAAGAACGACGATGAGTAGTAGGTATACACAAGAAAAAATGTAGAAAGAGCGTGCTATATACAGCCAAGGTGTTTTCTCCATCGAGATTCGGTCCCTCTTAACCTCCAACTAAGTCCATACGCAGGAGCAAGTGTGCAAGACGAGACAAAGTCTAGTACACGGCGGGAACGAGCGAGTTGACGTAGATCTCGAGGTTCGTGTACCCACCGGCACCAATCTTCATACCGTCCGAGGCATCGTTAGGGTTCAGGCCGTTGGCAGTCTCGTAGTCGTCGGGGATTCCGTCGCCGTCGGTATCCTTCTTCGCCGTGCCGGCCGCGATGTCGCCCGCGCCGCCCATGTCGGCCTCATCGGAGATGAGCTTGCCCGATTTTCCGTAGGAGAGGAGTTCCTTCACCAGAGCGGCGTCAACGGCGTCGCGAGCAATGGAGGCGCCGACTTTGGACGCGACGTGCGCGACGGCGTCGGTGGCGGTGAGGAGCTTTGCCGGGGCAGGGTAGTCGAAGGCGGTCGTCTGGATGGCCATGTTGGAGTAGCACGTCGTCGAGACGCAGAGCGCGGCACCGTTGAGAACGCCATCCTTGTTGGAGTCGTAAAAGTTGTCCTTGACATAGCCGCGGAAGTTTGCGTTGCCGCGTGTGAACGCCGTGACGGAGGTCGAGGGGCCGGAGATGAAGTAATTCTGAATAATATTCGCATAACTCGCGCCCTCGGAGTCTCCCGCGATATATCCGCCGCCACCGCCCCAGTTGTAGACTGCATTGTTGATGAAGGAGTTCACGCCCTTTACCTTGGGGTTACGCGTCTTGTTGTCAATGTAGAGGTTTCGGAAGAGGGAGATGCCGCCTTCGTTTGTCTGCATCAACCCGCCGCAGGAGTGCGTCTCGAGGCCCTGGCCGATGATGGAATCTGCAATGGTGACGTTGGAGACGTCGCCGTTGATGGAGAAGGTTTCGTCGCGGCCCCAGGAGACGGAGACGTGGTCAAAGATCATGTTTTTGCCGTCGGCGATTGTGATTGCGTCTTTGCCTGAGTCGCCTCCCTTGCCCATGCGGATGCGGATGTAGCGGGTGATGGCTTCGTTGGCGTTGGACCAGGAGAAGCCGTTTCCGTAGACTGTGATGCCCTGGTTGTTGGTGTTAGTTGGGTGTTGTAAGTCTGTGTCTTTGTCTGGTTGGTACTTACACCTCCGGGTGCTGTTTGTCCTGCAATGTAAACGTTCTTGGACACCACGATTCGGGCGTCGATCTTGATGACGCCGCCTACGTCGAAGACCACGATTCGGTTGGGTTGAGAGACGGCATCACGAAGGGATCCAGTGCCAGAGTCACTGTAGCACAGAAGTAGAGTCAGCAAGAAAAGTTCATCCTAGACAGCTGAGAGTCAAGTTAGGTGGGAGCTTACTTGAGGTTGGTAACCTTGTACACCGTACCCGTACGGCCACCGATCGCGTTCCGGCCGAACCCTTCGGCGCCAGGAAAGGCGGAGGGAGCGGCGTCGGCACGGGCGACTACCTTGGCCGGGGAGACGGCGGTACCGGTCCAGCCAGCAGCGGGGAGAGCGGCGGCGCCTTGGTAGAGGACGGCGGCCGCGGCCAAGAGTGTCGTGGAAGCCTTCATAGTGTGTGTTGGATCGTCCGGAAGGTGGGAAGGTAGAAACGAGTGGGGGCTAGAGTGAGGAAGGCGAAACGGAAGCGATGTACCAGACAATCCCCGAAACAAAACAAGTCGAATAGAAAAGAAGCTTGAAAAGAAGCTATAACAAGGGGGCAAGCCGAAGGGATGAAATGGAACGGCACGCGTAGCAGAATAGCGACGAGATCCCAAGACTTCAAGAGAAGATCCAGTCAAGATGGGACGAAAAAGGGGTCCTGGGTTTAGTTTTGTAGGCTGTTTCTACTTCATGTTGCATTCTCGATGGACAGCTTCCCTCGCGGTGATGATCCACCGGGATGGGTGGTGTGGTGGTTGCTCAGGGGGGTCCTTCGCCCTGCGGCCTGTCATCATCCACCCCATGATCCATCTCGCCCTGACAGTTACGGGAATTGGAAAGGGGCGTGGATGCACATGGGGATAGCGGCCGGCTCCTGTTGGTGGTGTTGAACCGGATGGCGGCCGTAGATGCTGGTTCGGGGATGCTTGGCCGCATGGGAGGTGTCTGTAAGACTATGAGGTAGAGAACGTAGCTTCCTTGCACATGGTGTATTATTCCGTGCCCATTGATCTATGCGCGATGATCTCCTCCCAGTTTGATTTCATTTACATCGTAGTTCGACTGTATAGTACGTTGTGAATTACTAGCCTGCCTCATTCGGATATTGATGGCATCTATCCATAGACGATTGGTGGGAAATGGGCAGAAAGTTTGAGCTCCCCAAGGGGGACGGCGGACGGGAAGCGTCCTCCGAAACGGGCAGAAATGGTGGGGAATCCCTGGCGTTTGGTGCTGTTTGGGTGATATTGAAGGGGCAGAGGACGGGGCCACTCGGGGCCGGGGTGTGAGCCACACAACGGCGGGCGGCGGAGGATTCTGGTTTCTCAGGTTGATGATGGTGGCCGGAGAGTTGTTTTGGAGTTACATGGTTGCTATGGCGTTGTTTGTGAAATACGAGTGCGAGACTGGGCTTTGCTATATTATACCCAAGGTAGGTGGTCCGTTGTAAGATGGAATGGCTCAAAAGGGGATGTTCTTCGGGCATACGCATACCGATTACCTGACACCCTTCCCGTCCGTAACACATCTATGGTTGTTAGCCTGCAAAGTGCGATGCTGAATTAAGGTTGAAGAGGGATGCTACTCTGCATCACTCGGTCGATGACTTTCCCACCTGTCAGACGTCATTCTCGATAGTGCTATACGATACATGAGTTGTTCAGTCTGTGATGCGACCATCATGAAGACCCAATGACCTACAAGAATGAGAGCGATCACTTGAAGGTCCTTCTCTCATGACCTGGCTTTGCTTTTCGACAATTGAGACTGGAATTTCGAGTCTGAAGTGGCAGAGAACCAAATAGCTGACAACCCGACGCGCTTCACAATTATCTCATCGACGCGTCCTTGCGATGAGTGAGACCCAAACCATGAGCTCAGGCGGCGAGCCTCCAAGATTTACGGTTCAGATTCCGCCATGAGTGTTCATCGCACCACACCTGCCATCCGATCTCACTTCAGACGCTGTGGCCAGTGGATGTGGCTCACACGGTTCTGTGGCTGAGCGAGACTTCTCATTCCGACGACCCTTCGGAATCTCAATCTGGTTGACTTTGACTCATCCGGGGGTAAATTTGAGAGGCGCCAGTGCATGCGGCGATTGGCCTTTTCGCCGAAAAAGCTTTCTCAGGCATTTTTGCTTGGCAGAATCGGACAGCTCGTGCCGGGGGAAGCTTGGGGACCGTCTTGGCCCAGGCGAGTGAAACGGCAGCATGGTAATTGGAGCGCTGAGAAGCGCTAGGAAATTCCCAAAGTGAGACTACCTTATTACTACGTAGATTCTAGAGCCGGGGGAACGGCGATGTCGGAGGCAGGGGAGACGTTGCGGTCAAAAGATGGCAATGCAAGAAAAAATGTTTGTTTTTTCTTTCTTTCTCAAAAGCGCTATGGTTATGCGCCGTTTGCGTGAGTCACGTGGCGGCTGGGAGACGTCGAAGTTCTTGACCGACTCATTCTCCCTTGCACACGCACGACACATTAGTGAGGTCGGGGTAGTGAGACAGCATAAGCGGGTGAGGAAGCTGGGGCACGTGTTTCTTCAGACTCTGGCGTGTCGATCTCTCAGGCACGAGAACCAGGCCCGTTGATCTGGCGGGCAAATTGTTGAGTTTCCAACTGTGTTTACCGAGGCTTCCATTACTGCTCTTGACAGAAAGTTGTGGGTGGGAGATGCTAGTACAACGCCAGTGTAACTAAGGTAGGTAGCTTGAACTGACACGCGGCTGGAGGAGGTTGTTCAAACTAGAAAGAACAGCGTCGGACAAACACATGTAGCCTACCTATAGTAGCTCAGGGCCTGCGTTTGAAGTGAATTGGCGCAATTCTCAATTGCCATCATGGTATTCTGTGAGATGCCTGAATGACAGACCCTCAGCGCTTGACCGTGTTTATTCATCGGAAATTCCTGAAGTCATGTTCTTTCCGGGCAGCTTCCATTGAGTACCTACTGCGTAAGCGCAACCTGCCGGTGATAACGGCCTTTACCGGGCACTTCGCCTACCCCTCACTTCGGCACTTGACGCCGAGAATTCCATCGTAGACCTCCAGAGCTGCCTTTTGATGACCTTGTTTTCCGATGCATGTATTCTGTACCAGGTTTAAGATACCAAGATATCATAGAATTAAAAGATAGAATAATAGGGACAATTAATGATCACCATTGACACCTGGGAAGCCCCGAAGACGGAGATGCCGGGCCTGGAGCAATTCCGCAATGGACCCGGTCTTTCTCCGATGCGGCCGACGTACAGCCCCGCCAATCACAGAGTAACCCGCGGCGGGGCAGCTGGATGACTAAGCAGCCCCGCTAACCCCTCGATGCGAAGTGCAAAGCAGCGAAGCACCTGTGTCCCCGCCTGCACCACCAACTGCGACGAACGCCGTAACGCCGTACCGCCGCAACGCTGTCCCACGCACACATACGCACGCACTCCCACTCCCGTCGCCAGTCTCCCACTTCCATTCATCCCCCCCGGCCTGTTCAGAACCAAAACGAGATATTTTACCCCCCCAGAAGAGGGAAGTCTCAGTGTCATTCTTAACCTTAGTCACGCAATCCCCGACCGGAACACAGAAACTCCAAACACACCCCTCAGCAACCAGAAACGTCCTTTTTCCCGTCGTCCCAAGAAAACCCCCCAAAGTCACTATTCAATCACCTTGTCCAGCGACATTTGTTCAACAAAAACAGGTACGCTGTGGTCACAGTTCTCTCTTACCTGCCATCATCGCATGACGTACTTGGCGCGAGGCTGACCAATTCCACCTCTTCTTTTCTTCACAGGCAGATCCCGTCATTCTCCGTCCCCCGTCCCCTTCCGCCCGCTGCTGCCTTTGGCCCAGGCACCGACCGAACCGATAGCCGCATTCCGAGACACCGAACCCCTCAAGGAACATCACGGAGCCCTCGCCGACCTTCCCTTGGCTCCTCCTCGCCCTATCCATAGTCGATACCCATTATCTCCTCTCACAGGACTACTATCCAACCAGTCACTCGACCAACCACCGACGACAGAGCGCCCAACAGGGAAACCAAACGAAAAAGTTGATGAGAGCTGGTTTCCGGCTTTTCTCGCCCCCAACCTACTACTACCACCGTCCGCCGACCCCTCCCCTCCGGCGTCTCAGCACGCCGCGCAGCAACAACCCCTTCGCCGCGTCCGCCGCCGCCCGTCCGCGAAACCTCACAATGGTCGCCACCCCCGATGAAATCGAGGCCATGGCGCCCCCCGGCTACTCCTTCCCGGAGCACCGCCTCCGCCTCCAGCAGTCCGAACCCGACCGCGAGCCCCTCGTCCTCGTCGCCCCGGGCTCCTACAGCCCCATCACCTTCCTCCACCTGCGCATGGCCGTCATGGCGGCAGACTACGTCCGTTACAACACAAACTTTGAGCTTATCGGCTCCTACCTCTCCCCCGTCTCCGACGCCTACAAAAAGCGCGGTCTCGCACCCGCCTGCCACCGCCGCCGCATGTGCGAGATCGCCGCCGAGCAGACCTCCCGCTTCCTCATGGTCGACCCTTGGGAGGCCGAGCAGACGGCCTACGTGCCCACTGCCGTTGTTCTCGATCACTTTGAGCACGAGATCAATGTCAAGCGCGGCGGCTGCAACGGGAAGCGCGTGCGTATTGCCGTGCTCGCTGGCGCCGACCTGATCAATACGATGAGTCAGCCGGGCGTTTGGTCGCCTTCTGATTTGAGACACATCCTTGGCGACTTTGGCGCCTTTGTGCTCGAGAGAGCCGGTGTGAACATTGACGAGGCCCTCGGTAATCTTAAGGAATACGAGGACCAGATCTACTACATCCCGCAAGTCGTTCCCAATGATGTTTCGAGTACCAAGATTCGATTGTTGCTAAGGAGGAATATGAGCATCGACTACGTGAGTTTCCGATCCCCCAAAGGCATTGTCACACATTTGAAAGGCAATCAACGGCTAACATATCTCTAGCTCATCCCTGCTGAAGTCATCAAGTATATTGACGAGCACGGCCTGTACAACGAGGACGACACAGCAACAAATGAGAAGGGCAAGGAGAAGGAGGTGCAATAAGAATGAGTTACAATCGTTTTGGATATTGAACGAGCGCGTGTTTCGTTCAAACGCCTTGATGGAGTTTGTAGAAAAAAAGATGAGAGAGACAGCGAGACAGCGGAACAGCGGGACAGAAGCGAGAGCAACGATCCAGATCCAGACGAGACAGAAAGATCAAAGAGCAAAGAGGAGGACCAGAGAAGGGGAGCAAATGGCGTGGGTATCAGCGTTTGGGTTTTACGAGACGACGGCACAAAGTCCATCCATTTCATTACTGTTATATTTTTTTCATGGGTTTAATTAGGTGCATAGGGCGGACTTCGTTATGAAGAGCGAGATATATATATCTTGAACTACAGGGACTTCTCCCATTGAACAATCAATAGTTCCCAACTCACCCTCGGTACCTTCCCGGCCTATCGCTTTCTGCGTTATGTTTTCGTTTGTTGAAACCTTGAAATCGTGAGATCTGCTATCCGGCGGTTAGTACACCGGGGAAGGGTGCTCACAGAATCTCGGACTAGCACAAGACCGCCGGAAGTAGACAGCAGCGCTACCGAATCATGTGTCCATGCATAAGCGACTGACGAATAGCCTCGGTTGGTGGCCGCTCTGGTTCGATGAGTATCATAGGCCTTATCTTTGTCATCGACACCCATAGGGGGACTCCCAAGGGACTAAAGTGCATCAACTTCAAAGGACAAGTCTCTCCTCCATGCATGAGGACTGTCGATAGTGATATCACGACATTGCTAATGATCAGCTCACACATTCCTCTTCTGCAGATGATTGTGACTGTTGATGGGCCACCTTTCGGACCAAGGGGCATGATAGTTGGGTTAGTCTTGCTTGCCCTCGAGGGAAGGATACTGTAGTACCGCCCAACCCATTTCCACATATGCTGATTCCTATAGAAGAGTACTGTGGTATAAATAACATATGAAATTACGAAAAGGGAAGGCAACTAAACTAAGACTTGCTATTAATATAACAGAGTACATGTAAGTAAAGGGCAAGGTCTCTGCTAGTCGTGTTGACATGCATTGCGTCAACTTCCGCTTGATTGCCTTTATACGAGAACCTTCTCTCCAAGCCATTCTCGATTCCATCTTGCGGGTACTGCCAGAGGGTTTCCTTGCTCTTGAAAGTCGAGGTTACCGTCTCGTCTGTACAGCAACAGAGGATCACCATGATTGCCTCTTCCGCTCGACCCGAGTTAATTAGCAGGCATGCCACATTTCTCTCTAATGTGCCATGGAGACGGCTACATATGGAGACGGTTACATATGGAGACGGGAAACCGACTAAAAGACACCGGTAGGGAAGAAATTCAGGCCGAGTCCGGCAAAGTTACGGATCTTCAACACCACCGGTAACACCATCTGGAAACGTCCGTCGGTAATGTCAAGTCGCCGTACTTTCCCTTAAATGAAGTTCAGCAGCCTCAGAATCAAGTGTTCCGGTATAATCTAGGGTCCTAATGACGGGAAGCTTCTCTTTGGAATGCAGCTGTGCTGTTCTGTCCTGAGCTATCTATCCTCTACCTAAACGAGGCCACCATTTCCACAACAGGTGAAGAAATCACTAGACCCTGCGCCGATGCCTTTGCAGGCACGCTTCCATGCCCTCTCTCTTTTATGATATTTCCTGCTATGAACTACCATCATACCGAAAGTTCCTGATCAAGAATGCAGATCGCGCTTTCCTCGTCGAGGACCCTGGTAACATCTGTGACGGGAGGCCCGAGGCTGGGTCTAATCTACCTCTATTATCAGGCTACAACTCATAGTCAGCGTCCATCTTCAGAATCCTTCCACCAGGATCCATATGGACGGGAATCTTGAAGCGGTGATGGACCGGACCGGGGATGGCGCCAGCACCCGTCGAGATGACGTCGAGAATCAGAAACTCGCCCCGTCCCGGCTCGGAATTGGGGTAACTGAGCGTGTACTCGTTGGCCCTGTCGCTGGCGATTATCGGCAGATGGCAGAGGGTGTAAGTGCCGTCCTTAGCCTTGAGCCGGTTGCCGTCGTCGGAAGCGTAGCGAGGCTTGCAGACTATAGTTATTCTCGGAGTGCCCTTACGGACTTTGACCTTGTTGGACTTCCCGTTGTGAAGGAGAAGAGACGAAGTCTCTATCGCGGTGGGGGGTTGGCTTTGAAGTGCGAATGCAGCGCCTTCATCCAAGAACTGGCGGACAGTCTTCTGGTACATCTTTGCCAGGGCTGTGCCTCTGGCGGTAGCAGTCGAACTGTTCAGTGAGATATTAGTAAAAGCTTCTTGCATGGAATATCTACTGCCTTCCGGCAGACTTGGCCCTCTTGAAGGAAACAGGTGTTACTTACGGAAAGTCACCCTGGTTGTGGGCGTGGAAGAAGCTCAACTTTCCGCCACCGGTAACCTGCCAGTCTTGAATCAAGTCGGTGACCAACTTGAGGACAGATTTATTCTTGAAGCTGCTACCGGTGAGAACCATAGTAGTCTTAACTTTCCGGCCTCCCTTGAGGCGACACATGTTGGTCAGGTACCGATATATGGTAACCAAAGCCTGGAAGTAGGCGCCGTAGAAGTGCTTCCGCGAGCCATTGGCGTTACACTTCCAAGTGTGGTTTGCGCCGCGCAGTTGAAATACTTCTTCGCCGATCTGCTTCTGCTTCAGCTTCTCGTGGAAATGTGCCATCATCGCCTTGACAATAGTCTCAAGCTTGTCTGCCTCGTCTGGAGTCATGTTCTCTCCGCCAAGGTCGGATCGAATAGTCTGCTCGATGAGGTAGGCGTGATAATCAACACCTCCATAAGCGTCGGGCGAGCTTATGTTTTTGTGCTCCGTACCAGTGTCGATAGAGTAGAAGTCGGGTATCTTGAAGCTGCCGTCCTTTGAGGTCTTCCAATTGAGATGGAAGACAGCCGTACGCTGTTGCTCATATCAGTAAACGAACCCTAAATCTCGGGCTCCAAATAATAGAACCACTAACCAGGCAATGCGCACCAAAGTCGAGGACGAGAAGTCGATCAGGCTTCTCTCCTCCCACGTCGGCCCAGCGGGAAGGATGGTGGAGCAGGTAGTGACCCAAGGCATGGGTCTCTTCGACCGAACTGAAGGCGTTCATCCACTTCGGCGCGGTAGGAGCCATAGCTCGAAGGAGTTGGAGATAAATCTCTTGCAGGGCCGTGCTATCGCGGTACGGATGGGTAGCGACGACGCTCGTGACGATGTGTCCGTGCTCCTGGCAGAACGATGCCACCATGGTGCCGATTTTCGTGAAGTACTCCTCAATGAGGGGGAGTATCTTCTCGAGAACCTGGAATCTCCAGAGGACCTCTCCGCTGTTCATCTCGTTCAGGAAGGTGGTTTGAATGCGGTCGGCTATTTTCTCGGGAATGATGATGTTGGTGGTTTCCTGGAAGGAAGTTGAAGACTTGGCAAACTGGTAGATCAAGTACTTGGTCGGAATGGTGCGCTCGACACCTAGGCCAGAACCATCGTCACTAAGGTTATTCGGAAGGCTGATGACTCCAGGGAACTCGCAGCCATTGGGGGCATTGGAACCGTTCGGGCCCGGGACATCGATGAAGACATCCTTGACTCCGTCATGATAGCAGAGCGTCACACGGGTGGACTCGGTTCCAACGTCGATGGCGAGAATGCTAAAGCGCCATGTCAGCTTCAGATGGCGCCAGATGGGGATGGGAGAGGGTACTGACACTGGCTTGGGACTCTGGGGCATTGGGCCAGGTCTATCGGGCCCAAAATGGAGGCCTGGCTTAATAGTCATACCGGCCATGGTGATGATATACCATATGGGTAGCAGAGAGATGAAAGTCGTCAGAGTCTTAGATCCTTTTGGCGGAGCAGGCAAAGGCGTTGGCGATGGAGAAAGGGCGGGAGATAGAAATCGTCTGCGGGCTTCGGCAATGAAAGATACCAGCGTAGAACAGAACAAAGAGGTTGTGCTTCTGAAAATTCGTCTCAGGAAGAGTTGAAGAATCCAGAGTCAAATGTTCAAAGAGCACCTCTTGATGGTGGTGATGGCGGTTTATTTGCGAGGTTGCAAAAAAAGCGAAGGATGTGTAGCGAAGAAGGTTCAAGAAAGGTAAGGACCTTCCTTCTCAAGGTGTTGCCTTTGGAAGGGAACATATCAATTGGAGTTTGTTGACTTCACTGGACGAGCCCTTCAACTGCGGGCAGGTATCAGTACGACACCAAGGGCTTGTCGACTAAGCAAGCGGGTGACCCTGGTGAAGGCTTCAGTGAAGAGTGAAGGAAATACGGGGGAATCGATCCACCAAGAGGAAAGTGAGGTACACCGTGAAGTCGGATACAACAATTTAAGGTAGGTAGCTTCTGTGAAATAGGCGGATACTGTAGGATTGGGTGTAACGAGCAAGACTGCGACTGGAAGATAACCCCTTGACTAGCCCGGTTGGTTTCTTGAGACAAACCTCATCCTCACTTCATGGAATCAATGACCTAGAACGACTTTTCCAAGAGGAGTTTCTGCGAGTACCGATACTAGAATCTATGATCATCTTCTACTAAACCCGTGGGCTACGTAGGTAGTAGACATTGAGCGACTGGAAGCAACAGTGTTCAGCTGATCGATTGATGCCGAGCTTCTTTTGAATCAGTTTACACCTGCTTCTCAACAATCGGAGACATCGTCGAATTTGAGCCATCTCACACTTCATCTTCCCCTATCTGAAACTTGGGATTTAAACACTGGAAACCGATACAAGCTTTGTGGTGTCCATCAAGTCATTGCATGTTGCGCGATCTCGCAACTCTAGGCCCGGAAACAGAAGTTGTCTTTCCCGGATATTTCTGACTCTAGAGAGCTAGCATGATAAGCTCTCTCAACTTCTTTAGCTCCCAGAAATCCAAGACCCACCTAGCGCCGTTTTATTATCAATGCTTAGGGGTTTTCAAGCCCACAGACACTTGCTACAGAGTTCAGGGGTAGCAACCAAAACATGAGAGAATGCCTATAAAGATGTGGCTCAAAGCATTTTCCTCAAAGTCTCAGCCTAGACAACGGTGCTTTATTTGTATAAATTGGGAGTTGATCACAGTGTTCATGAATCGATGATGCTATGCTTACTTGTTTAGTAAGGAGAGATCATGGTAGGCTGCTACGAATTTCAGATCCAAGTGAGTTCTAGGCGCAACTCATACATGGAAATGTCAGAGATATTAGAAAAGGCCACCCAAAACTGTAGATAACCAACTCTTAGACCTAATATTACTTAGAACCTACTCGTAAATTCTTAGCCCCTTTGGAGACAAAAGTCAATGAGATACCAAGACTTCCGTGGCGGGAGAGGCGAATGCCTGTTATTTTGGTTTTACTAGAAGACAGAGAGATTGGGACTTGTTTCTCCAACCCCCGATGAGTTCAGGTACATTAAATTGCAATGCTGCACAACTAGCCAAGGGATCACAGCGTCCATTACTTCGACCACTTACATGTGTTGCTGGAACAGACCAACACTGACACTTTTTAAGTTCAGCCAAGACACCTAATACCGTTCGTCAGGGTCCAACATGCTCGCTACTTTACAGGACATCTCCCTTCCCTCGTTCTCGTCATCATCGACAACAAATCGTCAAATCCTCGTAAACCTCAAACTAGCAAGCGCCAAGTCACCAAACCATCGCGCAATATCTCCAACTCCGTCCGAAACGGGCGACAACCACATGCGATCCTTGAACAGGGAAACTCCGGAACCAATAGCAATTCGACAGCCCCCTACTTCAAGAAAACCTAGGAGTTGAGTCCGCCGGGCAGAATTGACTTTCCCTCTTCTCATTAGTGAGTACGTCCACAAGCTCGCCAAGCGGAATACACGCACACATTTGCACATGCAATACGCAGGCTAAAAGTGTAAATAACCTAAGAAGAGTCAGCATGACCCCTCCAACCATCTCAAACCAAAAAAAAAACATTTATCCTCTCGTAAGCCCCCAGCATCGGACCCTTGAGATCCCCTTTCTCTAAACCATGTGGACGTGGTGTAGTCGTCATAGGATGACACCGATTCAACCCATTTAGCCTTTTCCTTGTATCCATCTTCGACAACAAATCTCACTTATCCCACCCTGCTCCGTTGGAAGGATGAGAGGGATAGGCCATGCCATCATCGCGAATAACGTTCCCTTATTCTCACCGAACTTGGGCAGTCTTAATCTCGTCTCAGAGTGGAAACTCTGCCACGAGCTCTCACCCCCGTCGGCTCAAAACGATAAAGCTTGAAACCCACGCGCTTATCCCGCACTCGTGACATGTATTGATGTATTGATGTGAGACGCAACTTAGATGCCACCGATAGCTCGACCAGCTCAACCATACACCAACCAAACGAAGCCTATCCACAAGCACAGCCCACGGACGACGACACCATCAGAGAAAACCAGCCGCGATATGCGCAGAATGGAAATAATCCATATCTCACGTTTGAAGGGGCTTCACCCGCGACGCGGTTGACGCTTTCCCCAGAAACAGGAAGATCGTTGCCTACAACAATCGTAAAGTTTCGCTCCGCATATTGGGGGGTTGGATGGGAATAAGCTGGGAGTCAAACTTGGTAACCCCGTATCATCCAAGTCCCAAGGAACCACCTGGACAAAAAGAATCCTCCGGAGAGAGAGAGAGAGAGAGAGAATACTACAATTATGGGGAAGCTGCTAAATTGCTTTGTTTCCTTTTACCCACCCGTACCACCAGCTTCTGGGCTCAGACGCTCAGCTGAGTCAAGCTTTTTTACGACCCGTTACCACGTTGGAACTTGGAAGGGCTGTCTCGACGTTGCACTTTACGACTTGGTACCAGGTTTTCCCCCCATTCCATAAACCGGAAAGATCCATACGGACTGGCTCGTTATAATTTTGCAAAACTTGCGATAACCGTTTTACTACCCGCCGCAGAGGGGGGAACGAGAGTTGAATCTGGGAAACCCTTTGGAAAAGTTGGGAGGGGTCTCCATCTGCCCTCGGATTCGAAGCCGGTTTCGAAATCTTAGCTTGCCGATGCTCCCAATCCATGGAAAATTCCCACGTGGAGTCCATGGGATTGTACCTCTATCGAAGAAATTTCCCAGTTTCTTTGTTTCTCCATGTGTACGCGGACTCAACGCGAATCACACGCAACGCCCACGCCCAAAACTTTCAACGCGTTTTCTCTTGGGATCCATTTCTTTAGCAAACAATCGGACCTTTCTGCCGACAGGATCTGCCAACCAGGTATTTATGTGGTCCGGTTCAGTGAAATCCCGGACGGCTTCCGAGGGACACCAAGTATCTGCAAACGTGAGATGCAGATGATGTCTTTGCCGCCCCCGGACCGCCGAGAAAAGGATCCCTCTGAGCGAGAAGCAGCGAGCACATACACGTCGTTGGTGAGGTGGCACTGGGGAGTCGAGTTGGTCACGATCCGAGGTTGGACACCGGGACATCCCTTGACGGGATAGAAACGCTAAACTTACATACTCACTCCCACTCACCTCATAGCAAAGGAGTAAAGAGAGCCGAAAGAAGCAAGGCTACATACGAAGCAAAAACGCGGCGCTACCAAATGGCAAAAGGCCGTCAACAGCGTGACAACGGTAACACGAGAAACGGGGCCACTCGCAGAACGAAATCGCCGCCCGCCTCCTCCCTCCGCCGCCGCCGCTGGGCAGCAGGTTTTTCCTTTTTTCTTTTTTTTTTCTAGGAACCAACTCGCAAGTTGTCAACCTGGGCGTTGGTCCCGGCGGGGCGGGGAAAAAAGAGAACCAAGAAACAAGGGAGATTGCGCGTCTACGGTCATAGGAAGTCGCCGTCCGGTCTCAGCTGACCCGTTCCGTGGCCCCGGCATTCATGCCGTCCGGGGCGCGCCTTGCATATTGTGTGGTATGTGCTGTGCGGTGTACCCAATCCAACCACGTATAGCGGAGAAGAGCCAGGAACCACGGATGACTATTTGGGATGATATGATGTTGTCTAAGAGTCGCTGAGAAGTTGGAAGAAAGGGAACAATGAATTAGAAGCGTGTAATAAGGGGACCTGCGCGGGGGGACGAAACATGGCACACACGATAATGCAGGGAAGCCGCTGACACGGGTGGGCGGCAAGAGGGACGGCCATGATCCCACCACCATATTGCCGTGGTCCGTACTCCGTAGGATATCCCGAGTCTCTCCCCGGCTTGGGGGCGGGGCAGAGCGGCGTGTTCGGTGTTGGTCTGGCGGTGGACCATGCGAATGAGAGGGTAATAGCAGCTCTTCTGTCGAATAACCGTGAGCGAGTGAGAGAGGAGACGTCTCTGTTCCTGATATCCTCTGCTGATGAGATGTGAGCAGGCTTCATGATAGGGCATGGCAGTGCGAGCGAGGTTGTAGCGTTGCAACGGCATCCCTCCGGAACCTGAACCGTCCACGCAGACAAGGCAGAGTGCAGCACTGACAACCACCCCTTGGATTTTCCCTTTTGATGACGATCCCCATACCGAGAATGCCATTGGCCGGAGACGATCGGCTGAGTCGGGCTTATTGTGGGATCGTCGCTTTGCTGTTCTGAGTGCCGGGCGCTGGTCTTCATGCTGGGCACCGCCGATCGCTTGTTGTCATTACCTCGTTCGGAATCTGAGGAGGGGGAAGGGGATGGGGGACACTGATTTGGCAAAAGGCTGGAAAGGGAAGGGAAGGGTCCTCTCCAGATGACAGGGAAGACGGAAACATTGTGAGAAACCGGTGCGCTAACACTGTACGAGCCTGGAGGATGGTGGAAAATTTTGGAGACCTTGGGCTTTTGCGAAATGCCATGCTCACATTCCTGCTTTTCGGAGCCATCGCCGGGTGGCTTGCAGGAAGTTGATACAGGTACGTCCTTGTTGATTTAGGTATTTTCAGTCGGGCAAGATGTTGATTTCGGACGCTGAGCACGGGAGAGATGTCGGCCTGGTGCCGGGGAATGCTAGATGAGGTTGCAACACGGCGGGCTGTGCGTTGAGCAAAAAACCGGATACTTGGCCGCGTTTGTTGGAATAGTCAAGAATGGACGGACGGAGATAACTCAAAGGTTGTGCGATGGAGAAGTGGATTTGGGGGATTTCGCAAGTGGAACCGTCGTTCATCCTACCATTGGACATTGGTAGCCCATCTCTAACACACGATGCTATTTTGCTGGGAGAGTTAGACCGCCTGACGATATGCACGGGACACAGTGATGATCCGTCCGTTCACCATGCCCGGTGTACATGACTGTTTGGGACGTGAGTGTCGAAAAACAACGGAGAAACGGGGGCCAGACGATGATGATCTGCTCCTCACCAGCGGTGGCAGCTTAGCGAATAGGGAGATCTGCTCTTAGCTTCGACCAACGGAGGATTTCAACCGTAAGCCTGAGAGAAAGCGTGTTTCTGGTGGTTCATTTGTGCGAATCATCTCCCATAAAGTCAGTACCAAGCAAGGTGTTCAGCTAGCCCCCGCTGAAAGGTTGAACCATGTGAGAGAAGCGTTTGGAAGCAGCCATTCGCACACGGGCTTGAGAGGATCGTCTGTTGCTCTGTTGCGGGGAATTGACGAGGGCTCCCATGTCTATAGTGCCGTGATTGTAAATGCCTAACAAAACCGATGGAGATATCCGTACTGCGTGTAGGTATGCCTTCTCTGCCTCAGAGGGTCGACGTGTGGTTGAAATGGTGAAACGGCTGCCGGTGGGAAGCATGAGAGACAGTCGGAATCCACGGTGACACGCTCGAAGAGACCGGAAGATGCTGCGTTGAATGACGGCGACGGATGGGCAGAAGAATTGACTCGTGATTTGTCGGAGCGGTGCAGGGAGACAGGCTGCCAGTTGCTGCATGGCGAGAGGCAAAATTGAGGGAACGAAGCAAACGATCTGAGAGGCTGATGAAATGAGAGACAAGTTTCGGCCGCTGATCCGATGACATCACTCGGCCGATGCCAGGGGCTCCGGGGTACCTTGTCCGAGGCCCCTCTCGGTGTGTCAGGTTTCCTGGTGGTGGACGAGAGTTCACAGCCTGTAAGATGCGACGGTTGTGGCGCCGGGATCATTCTTTGGAGGCGCAGACGGGCAGAATGCCAGAATCCATGGGGGAGCAGTCGTCGGTTGTCCTCTCAGCCGCCGGCAACTGCGTCATAGCTAAGGCAAACTGCGGGAGGGGCATTCGGGGAGGGTTCAAACCCCCGATCTTGAGTGTGTTTGAGGAGGGCGCAAGAGTCAAGATCCGTACAGGCGAACTTTTTGATAGTTTGGGGAGAAGAAAAGGCAAACCGTATCTGGAGACTATCGTACTCCAGAGAGCAGGGAGGTGACTAGTGCGAAGGAGAACAAGGTGGTCCTGATAGAAGCGAAGCGAGAGAGAAGAAAAAGCCTTCCGAGATCTCAGCCTGTCTCTCCGGGATCCCTGCATCGGAGACACACAAAGGATATGCTTCTTTCTCGGTTTCTCCCTCAACCATTGGATTTTCCATTACGGTCAGCGCATGCAAGTGCAGCAAGCAAACAGGTGAGCAAGCGGCTTTACTGTCTCGGTTACCTGGCCGGTGAGCCTTTCCTTGCTAGTTTTGCCTTGTGCTGCCTTCTTTGTCCCTGCCTTACGCAGTGTTCCCCATCTCTTGTCCCAGTCGGACCCGTGGCGCTGGCCAAGCTAATGTAGTGTGCAACTGCAACAACTAGTACACATCCTGTACAACGTCGCGTTGAATATTACTTGGGTCGGGCGGCTGTTCTAATGTAGGAACGGGGCCGAGAGGGTCCTGGGTGGGTGGGGAGTTACTGGATGACTGAGTTTTGGGGGCCTGTCGTAGTGGGAGGGAAGGGATCCTGTCATCTTTGCGGACAGCGGTATCCCGAAATGTGACAGAGTGGCATCGTTGGTTTGACCGCTGGCGGCTACTGATGTTGGTCAGTGTCTTGGAATAAGCATCGTGGATGCCCAAAGCCGTGTAGTCGCAGTTCGGGGTCCCGGTCCTGCGGGATCGGTGACGTTAGGTTCGAGGAGGGCTTCGCTGGCGATGAAAAGAAATTCTCTTCTCGTCATGTCATTGTCACGACGTTTTGGTACTGGGGCGAGTCTCTCATCGTCTTGGCCGCGTAACACGAGAAACGGGCAGATCAGGATTGGGAGAAAACGGTTGAGAGCGGGACGGTTGCTCCATCGTGAGAGGAAAAAGGGACCGTAAACCCCCACCTCGCTCGCGACCTGCCGCCCTCGATGCCCTGTAGGGTTCGTAACGTAGTGTATCCGTTCGTATACTTTGAACTTCGTACGGATACCTACAGATATTAAGCGCGGTCCCTGGTGAAGTTCTTGAGTTCTTGTTGAGTGAGCAGTCGAGCAGCTACGCCTCATCGACCCAACTGACGGGCAGTCATACGGGAGTTGGAATTCGCTCTTGTGCTGGACACGAATTCATAATCACAACCGCTGGTCTCCTGGCAGTGAAAACTCAAGATTCAAGAGTCAAGACGGGGGCGAGTGGATGGCGCCAACGCCGCCAAACCGGCTGCTGTCTGCCGGGAGTGGACGGCGGGGAGGTTCGCGCGCCAGTGAGAAGCCAAGCGTTGAGCTTGGCGGCAGACAATTCTCTGTGTTTTCAGACAGTGGATTGAATCGATGGATAGGTATCCGTAGCCCAACTCGAGTTCCTCTCGTGGATGGTGGAGATCGGGGGTGTCAGTCTTGACCATGGAGGGTATGGCGTCACAGGCGCTGATCAGCCAATTTGGGCCAGCAGGGGTTCAACGGCGGAGAGTGTGAAGTATCCCTACTTGCGTCGACGGGCAGATGTGCATACTCCAAGTTCCGCCGGGGTTATTCGTACTGCTGCTTTTCTTACGGAATACTCTGTATCCATCTATCCGTCTTCGCACACACTTGATCCCACGGAGACGCGGGCGGCGGGTGCAGAGCCATAGCGTAGGAGCAGACGTGTTGTGTAGTCCTTGTAGCATGTCGTTGGGTTGGTTGGTTGATTAGAGATCCAGGGGTCTTTGGGATGCGTCAGGGAAGACAGGTCCTGATACCGAGTACCTATCTGTGCTATCCATTTTTACAGGCGGGTAGCAAGTGTGAGCGTCTGTAACCGGTGACAATTCACGTTGAAACTATAAAGTATCTCGGCACGCCGTTGCTTTCCGTCCGCCATTGGAGATTTCTTTTGAATTCCCTCGGCAGAAGTGGTGAATAAGTTGCATGATGCCGAGTAGAAGAAAAGCAGGAGTACGCAGCAGTATAACGGATAGCGGATCGGCGGCATTAACGGTGACACAGCAGTGCTAAGACTCAAGGAGTCAAGACTCCAGAGGGAGCGATGGAGACGAGGGGTGGCATTTTGTGAATTGGCACATTTTGACCCGTAAAAGTAGACGAGGCATTTCGGTACCGATACACTATCGTGCTGGTATAATATGGGAAAAGAGAGCAAAGGAGATGGGCAAAGGGAAAATGTTGGATGGAGTCTGAAGTTTGAACATTCTCAGCGAGACGCATGCCACATGGAGCGACGTCGGCAAGACTCCGCGCCACCTGCCTTAGTGTCTCGTCGCACCCTACTAGTGTGAGCCAGAGGGAATTGCAAATAACAGGCTGCCGTCGTGGCAGTTGGCAGGTTCGGACAATGGAGTCGTCAAAGTATCGTGAAAGAGGCAAATAGATACCTCCAGGAAGGAGAGGGAGGTGGCCTGGAGGAGTACGAGTAGTCAGGATGGAAGGAGAGGCCGAGGATGAGAATGAGAAGAACGGAAGCTCGTCCGGTGTGGCACGGTGACACCCAGCAAATTACAATTGGGCTCCGGGACGGGAAGTGGAAGCCCGAGAGAAGGTAACGGAAGGGAGGCCGTAAAAAAACTTAGCACACAGTGGAGGATCATATGTTTTCCAGTACGTACCGTGGCGCTGACATGCCCGACCAACGTCACAATGTGTGGGGAAGGCCAGCGTGACATGTGGGCAGAGGAAGAATGCCTCAGGTCAACTAGTCAAGAAAGTGCTTCCCAGGGCAGTTCCCAAGTTTGTAGCTTGTCTTGGTGCGCAGGTCGCAGGGTCAGGGACTCAGGGACACCGAATTAAAGGACCCGCCGGTGCGGTACGGGGATACTTTCCTTGAGTTCGCAGGCAATTTACTGTGTATCTTAGCAAAGACCCGAGGTACGTACTCGCACTCTTTCGGTGAAAGCGGCAGCCGTCAGGTCTTTCCTTGCTTTCCCCATCTTTTGCGCGGTTCCTTGCGTGCTTGCCTCATCATTGCAACTTCCCCCCGAAGGCTTCCTTCCACCTTCCATTCTAACCGGGCACTTGGACGCTTTTAGCAACAACCCACGACTTGGACATTCGGTTCCTTCCAGGCTGGAGAAAACGGACAAGTCCAGTGACCATGGACCATTGACCAGTGACCAATGACTGCTGACCATTGCTACCGTGCCCGGTACGTACCACTCTTCCCCTCTCTGGCATCCGTCCGTCTCATCAGATCCGTCTCAGGCGCAAACAATCACAAACACGCCGTCGTCCTTTTGAGGTTGTCGTCAATCTTGGATTCCAACCAGGCCGTACCACCCCGCTGCGCACTAATTACCCATCACACTATCTCTGCTCGGCGCGTTTCTGTTTCCATGGGTGTGCATGGCTGGTTCAAGCGCTCAAGCATCACCTGTTTTCAATCCAAACCATCAACAACCGGCTCTCTCCGTGTCTTCACACTCCAGCGTCTGAGTCTCCAATTGGGACAACAGACTACCTTACATGGTCCAAGACCACAGTCACCGTCCCTCCTGCTTGCATACGGCAGAATTTGAGAGAGTGCGACAGAGCCCAGTCACAGTTCGGTCCACGACTCTCACCAGCCACCTCGCCTGACGTTCACCACTTTGAGACATAGCCGCCTGCATTTACAGCAGTATCAAGGACTACAAGTAGATCACGCTCAAGATCTATCCAAGGCATCACTGGACTCTGTGACGCCGGAGCAGTGTTGCAAAACTCATGGCACATAATTCCTACATGGCTTGCGAAATCCACACCGTGCTTTGACACAGGAACACAGGATCACGGCCCTCAGCTGCATCTCCCAACTCTCAGCTTTCCGGCCACTAGCAGACTACTTAGCCACCTAGCATACTATGTAGTAGCATGCTCGAATTCATTGCAGCTCGCATCGCACCGACCAGCCAAATCTGCGAGTTACAGAATACCATCCAAGCCGGACGGCATAACGGACCATCCAGCTACCTTACGCAATAACTCTCGGAAAACAAGCAAAGCCCAGCTCTCCCAAGAGAAAAGAGTTGCAGAGGCAAAACAACCGACGACACACGCACGGCGACAAAACGGTTGCGATAACATCATCCTTCTCCACACCGCTTCAGCCTGACCGGGCCACTCTACGAATAACAACCAGTTACAACGTTCGCATGCCTTTGGACCTTTGCTGTCCACGTCCCTGTCGCTGCGGTTCCTCTCATCCACACCCCTGTCGTGTCCATCGTCACTCTCCACAATTATTCCCTCCACTCCACGGTACACCCAGCAGTACTCAAGGCGCCCACGCACACCACGCTTCCCAAGCCCCCGACACCCCCGTTCTACCTTTGCCGCAGACTCAATCCTCGACTCCTACGACATTAGGTGGGAGTTTGGCAAGGGGGGCCCCAATTCGATCGACACCGCAAAGTCACCACAATCCAACCAAAAAGGCCAAAGAGGGCATCCCAGTCTTTGCAACTGGTCCTGAGTACCGCAGATCGCGACAACCTGGCCGCCTGTAAACGTCAACGTCTGAACCAAAACCCACCCAAGCCAAGCCAGCTAGGTATTTGCGACCCTTTCACCTCTCTTTTTTCTCCCAATCCCACAGGTTGAATTCCATTGTACAACTACCACGGCCGTCGACGCAACCGCACGCTACCGAGTACATACATACATACCGGTGCTCATTGCTCCGTCCCCTCGCTCGGTCTTCCCTACCGTCGCAATCCCGTATTACTCCCACGACATTCCCACTCTCAGTCACCTATTCTCTGGGTCTCTATTCTCTTTTCTCCCGCTCCTCAAATTCCGATTGCCATTCGACCCCCACCTTCAAGGAGCAGCAAAAGAGAAGTAATCGGCACGAGACGAACTTCTTCTAAGAATCCATACGCCCCCCCCAAAGGACAAAGTGACAAGGAAGAGGGAAAATTGAGCACAAGAAAAAAAAAAAAAGGAAGAGGCTACCCAAAAAACCCACCCACACCCACGAGACCTCGTCTCCCCCCATTCATAGTCATACACTACCCGTTGCGGCCCACCGCGCCTTTTTTTTCCCTCTTCCCCTTTGCTCGACTTGGCTTGTTCCTTTTCATCTGCTCTTTTTCCCTCCTCCTGCCGCCGGCTCTGTCCCTGTCTACGAGACCGGTAGGACCCTACTTGCTTCCGGAATACAACCACCAATACCCCTACATTCCATAATAACCCACGCCCCCATATACACCACCACCCGCCGCCATCACCGCTACTAATACCACCTTTGCAACCACCTGACTCTTTCCGTCGCCATCCTCGACTCCTCCGCCACCGTGAGCCAGCTCCAGAGAGCCTTGACCCTGCTTTACAAGGTGGCAAGACCCCGTTTCTCAAATCGAGCCTGGTGACGAAGTTGCATCCATTCCAAACCATATTTGCCTTTTGAGCCGCCCTTTTCGCTCTTCAGCAGTCACCTTTTCCTGTACCTTGGCAATCGAATCAAATCACACTGTCCCTAGCCGCCAGCAATTTCGCACAATACTCTCACCGACACTCAACATTTCAACACTCAACTACAGTAGTCAACTCGACCAAAGTTGCCAACATGGACAACGAACACCAAGCGCAGTTCAGCGAACAGTCGCATCTTCCTCCTCATATCGAGCGGTCTCAATCGAGCTCGTCTTCCTCTTCGGTCGATCACGAACATGACGAGCACCACATCCACCAGCCGACTCCTATCCGACCTCGGTTGCCTAGCAGAAAGAGCAGCGGGCCGTTGGTGGTGCCCCGGGACAGCTCAGCAGTGGGCCCAGTAGATGCAGAGTTTGGACCTGACGATGTGAGGGCTATGAGCCCACGGAGGACCAGTGAAGACATTGAAGCACTTGGAAGAGAAGCCCGTGAAGAGCTCAAGAGGTAACCAAAAGTCCATGCCACTTCAAGATGTTCCCACCCCTAACAGCATCTTTCTCAGACACGCAAAAGCTTTGCAAGACTCGCTCTTAACCATCTTCAACCGGATCGAGGCCGTCAGAGAAGAACACGACAAGCTTGATAACAACAACAAGTTCCTCCAAAAATACATTGGCGACCTCATGACCACGAGCAAAATCACTGCCGCACCAAGCAAGGGCAAGAAATAAGGATTCCACGAGCAAACTTGGATCGAAGAGGAGGATATAGATTGCACCACATAAACACCAACTCGCACTCTGCATGCGACAACACGGCCACCCATGCTAGGTCGGTCGCAACCCCATGCGCTGGGGGACGCGCACCCTGACGCCATTCAGGAATAACTACCCCTATGGAATGCTCTTTGAGCATTCACTACACTACCTAATCGGACACCGCCCGCGAAGGGCATGATACCCCCTTGTGGCCGAAACGGCCTACAGCGTTATTCTGAACTCGTTTATGGCTTTACGGCACGGTCACGGTATTTGGAGAGGAAAACAAAAACTTGCATCGGCTCGCGACTTGTACACTAACGATCATCATCATCATCATCATCATTGGGGGTTTCGACAAACCATCAAATGACATATTGGGCATAGGACAGCATCAGGCGTTTCGGGGTTTTGGTACAGGCCTACGGTCTTTGGGATTACGTTCGCATATTGTTTATACACCTCGCCATAGGCGGGGAGAGGCGTCGACCTCGAATTGACCAAAGGAATATTTTTGCATCCATCCGCATCGGCCTGGCTTCCGCAACCACGTCGGAGGTATCCGAGTGAGACCTTTCAACCTCGACCACACTTTGCACGATTGACAATGTCCAATACTTGACAGCTGCGAATGGGTAGCGGTCTGCGAAATTTGTGGTGGTCAACCTGCGCCACACGATGATCCCTACTCAGCTTCCGAACAGGACGAAAGCACGCCGACGTCATTTGCCACCGATTACCGATGCCGCTCACAACACCCACCGTCGAAAAGGATTACGGTAGAAGATTGCACGTGGGAAAAGATTTTTACCGAATGAGGCTCGATTCTAAGTATTTTCATCGACAATGTCAAAACGCTCCAAGACGGGTCGAAAGATTTACGATATTTGCACGAAGCCATACAAGCGCAACGTTTTGCGACGGGTCGTTACACGAAACTTCCAATGAGCTTATGGATCGGCAAGAGCTAGTCAAAGACCCTTTGCGGTTGGATGATTGGGAGCCCGACGAAAGAGGAAGAGACATACGTCAAAAGTCGGAGAGATGTGTTCGAACCAGGCTGCTATTGGTGGTTCTAGCCGCCCAAAGATCGAATGAGGGTCAAGAATGAGGCAGAGAGGGGTTGATTTGTGGGTGGTGGGATGGTGGAATGGTGGAAGCTGACGACATGTTGGGAATGATCGGCCTTACGGGAGCTATGATCGGCTCCGGGGCGCGAGGTTGTGGCAGAGGCGCGCGCTGTGTCTGCTGACGAGAGTCTTGGGAGTCGGGCGCAATAGTTTGGCTTGGAGGGACTCTTCAGGTGTGAAGTATTTTGGAATGAGATTTGGGTCTGTTGAAATGACGGACTGTTGCTAAATAAGGAGGGGGGGCTAATTGGCGACTACAGACCGCAGGTATTGACAAAATGCAACTTTAGGCAGGCTAGTCCTTCATCGCACACAGGCTGAGAACAAATCACGCACATTCCTTGGTCTGATCACGGCAATTCGATAATATGATTTCCCCGCTACTTTGCGTACCCCCGACGTGCATCCTTTCGATGACTAGAAAAGGCATTATCATCTACCATGTTGCAATATTCATCTAGAGGGGGGGCCTCGATGTAGCTGTCTCGGCGAGAAAAGTCTGCGGTGCCCCTTTCGCCCCGTGGCAATTAATACTTTCGGAAGCCCATCAGCCAAAATACAGGACTAGATCATATCTGCATTGTCGCTATAGAATTCTGTATTTTAACTGCTGACAGACATGCTCTCCAGCAAAAGAAACTGGATGTACTCTTGGACCACAATGAGGCTGCCATGTATAAGAGATCATTGCCGCCACAACTCACCCATTGAACCTGACCTTTTTGCACTTGGCTTCGAGACAGCCGATTTGAATGCGAGTGCTTTTTTCTTTGATGACTAGCCACTCGTAAGACTCTTTACACGTCTCTTGGGGCTGTGTGTTACGGTCTCAGTCTCGAGAGACTCGAGGACTTACACAACCACTTCTGGCTTGCGCAATGGGACGGCTTGTTGAGCGGAACATGTGAGTTAGTCTGCGAACGGTAATTACTTCATTACTTGGTTAATAGTGGCGTTCCAGAGTCCAGTTACCAATACCCATTCGCACGGCGCTCGCTCATGCTTTGGATATTGCGTACCTAAGAAGCTCATGTCTCTTAGACCAGGTCTGCAATCCATTAGTCCGTGACAGAGTGCTTTGCGGAGGGTTCTGTGTGTGATACTGAAGCGAGCCAAGTCTCAATAGAATCAGTCAATATAGATATCCAATGATGCATCCTCTCCATTACTTGTTTGTTGCTTCTCAAGATTAACCCGGCGTGATCCAATTTCTTACTTGTCGGATCGCATGTAAGTTAGCGCATCGACAATCTTGTCCAAGCTCACCATCCATTATGTTCTCAATCACACCTGCAGAGTGCAAAATGATTATGCAGTACGAACTAGATAGCTTTCTCTATGTAGAGGAAGGATATAAATGATTTACAAACATGTTGTGTCTTGGTAAAACCCCGAACCTCTGGTCTTGGGCTGAAATGCAACCCTGAGTTCTCTAGTTTGCTTGGCTGCTTGGCATAGTGGACTGTAAAGCTTACTTGCCGTATTAGGAAACAACCACTATTTCACCTCACAGTGCCTCCTGATATCAAACAACAACGAGGGTCTAGAGAAAGTTAGTCGAAATACTATTTTCGATGCATCATTGTAGATAATGGCAACAATAGCCGACGTTAAACTAGACGGGCCCGCTAGGTGTTGTCTTGTGATTAGTCATGGGTTTTGAGTAGCCGGTTAGCCGACAACCCTAGATTTGACGACAAACGCGCGTGTCATGAAGTCATTCCCACCCCGTCCTTTTCCTTTGGCTTCGTGAAAAAAACTACAATACAGCGGAAACAATGAATCGGCCGTCTCGCACAGACGAGCCCTACGAAGGGGAGGGCTACAACCAGAGCCCGAACGCTCTGTCAAATGACTTGACCACCAACGAAGACCTCAACGGGATCGTTAACGCCAGGGCCTTGGAGCCGGGGGAGGATGACAAGGGTCTCTCGCTGGGGGACTCGGGGACGGGCGACGGGGATATAGGATCGCGGTCTCACGATGTGGACTGGGGCAAAGGCGGCGGCGGCTCCGGTCCCGCGGCTTCAGGTGCAGCTGTGGCCGCGACGACCAAGTCCGATGGGCTTGGTCTACCCGAGGGAGAGGAGGTCCTCGCGACCCCTCTCCCTACCCTTCACTCACGTCAACTTCCTCCTGGCGACGGAGGCGACACGCCCAAGATTCATCGGACATTGTATGGTCGTGTTAAAGAGGCCATTGTGAAGTTTGGCTCGTTCATTGGGCCCGGGTTCATGATTGCTGTTGCGTATAGTGAGATTCCTTACTTGGTTACTTTCTCACACCCGTAAACACCCGCAGAGGGAAATGGATTCTGACTAACATCTTTCGTCCTCTTTTCACAGTCGACCCCGGAAACTACTCAACAGACGTTGCAGCAGGAGCAAGCTACCGTTTCAGATTGCTCTTTGTCGTTCTCTTGTCCAACCTCTTTGCAATCTTTCTCCAGAGCCTCTGTATCAAGCTCGGCACCGTCACCGGGCTTAACCTGGCCGAGGCGTGCCGGGCCTTCCTGCCGCGATGGATGAACTACGTTCTCTACGTATTCGCAGAGGTTGCCATCATTGCAACGGACATTGCTGAGGTGAGTTTACAAATAAGTGCTAGGCCTCCATTTCGAGTCTTGCTGTTTTCCGATACTAAGGGGCTTTGCTTACAGGTGATTGGCTTCGCGATTGGTCTGAACCTCCTTGTGCCGGCCATACCTCTGGTCGCAGGATGCGCAATCTCCATCTTGGACGTCATGATCATTCTCATATTTTACCGACCTCACGGGTCCATGAGAGGCCTGCGAATCTTTGAGTACTTCATCATCGGTCTGGTGTTGGCCGTGGTCGTCTGCTTCTGTATCCAGCTCTCGCTCATCAAGGATACGCCGGTGGGAGAAGTCTTTCAGGGGTATCTTCCATCGCGTGCCGTGGTTGAGTCGCAAGGGTAATCTCCTCTTCGCCTTTCCCTCCCTCACACCAGCACCTTGATATATCTAACCGCACACAGCTTATACCAAGCCTGCGGCATCCTCGGCGCAACAGTCATGCCGCACAGCCTCTACCTCGGCTCTGGCATCGTCCAAGCCCGTCTCCGAGAATACGACACAAAACACAACCTCCTGCCCCCCGAAATGGACGAAGTCGACCTCAACGGCGACAGCATCGACAAAGGCTACTACGTCCCCTCCGCCAAAGCAATCAAACACTCCCTCAACACCTCGACCGCCGAGCTGAGCATCTCGCTCTTCACCTTTGCCCTATTCGTCAACTCGGCCATCCTCATCGTCGCGGGCGTTTCCTTATACGGAAACCCCGAGGCGCCGGACGCGGACATCTTTAGCATCCATCAGCTCCTCACGGACTCGATTTCCAAGGCGGCGGGCACCATCTTTGCTCTCGCGCTGCTTCTCTCCGGCGTCTCGGCGGGGATCATGTGTACTATTGCCGGGCAAATGGTCAGCGAGGGCGCGCTGAACTGGAAAGTTCGCCCTTGGCTGAGACGTCTGGTGACGAGGAGTATTAGCGTCACGCCGAGTATTGTGATTGCTGGTGCCGTGGGAAGGAAGGGCGTCAGCGAGGCGCTGAATGCTTCGCAGGTGGTGCTTAGTGTCGTCTTGCCGTTTGTTACGGCGCCGTTGATCTACTTTACCTGCAGGGATAAGTTCATGACTGTCCGGGACGGGCCGGACGGCGGCGCTCGATTCAGAATCGCGGGCGGCGGCGGCAACGACGAAGAAGAGTATGCGACGGCGCCTGTAGATGGTACTGTTAAGATGGCGAATTCGTGGTATACTGCCGGCTTTGCGGTCCTGGTTTGGGTCATTATGGCGGCGATGAATGTTGCCAACCTGGTTCTGCTTGGAAAGGGCGAATGAGTAAATGAGCGAGTGAAGAAGCGGGAAACGGCATTGTGTCCGGTGAGGGGCATATTTGCTATGAAGGTGACGCTGGTGTGTGGATGGACACCCCAAAGTCGTCTGTCTCTGATTTCCTTTTGACGTGGCTTGATCTGCCTTTGATTATCGACACTTTCTTTTGGTTTCGTGTTCGATTTCATGATTTCCATCGTTCTTTTGTTAGCTCTGATCCGACCACACTCTTCAACTAGTGTATTTTGGTCACGTTTTATCCAGGCGAGGTTCAACCCTCCATCATTGTAGAAAGTCGTGTCTGATAGAAAGGGCCGAAGTACACAAGAAGAAAAAGTTTTGCCTTCTAAAAAGAAAATTTGGAAACGAATAGGTTCTGTTAGTCAAATCCCGTGCGTAGTAATATTCAACTGTCAGTCTGCGGTTTCAGTCCAAAGTGTAGAGTCCACGTGCATTCAAAGAGTGACGCGTTATCGTCTGCTTGCGCGTAATATCGTGAAATTGGTAATCGACTTCGACAATCATGATAACGAAATCATGAGAGTGGCCTAACTGAAGTTATCATAAAGCTGCCAAGGAAGATATGTTCCGAAGTCAGATATATCTACTCCATCCTCGGAAAAGCCCCGCAATATCGGATCGGCTCGAGTCAGGCGCTACGATAGTCTAAGGTGCTCCGCTTGTATAGGAATATGGTTTCCGCTATCTTATGACGTCGGGTTCATTGTCCGCGCAAGATGGCTTGTCTACCCTTTTTCTATTAAAATAGCTGTCGAATTGAGAGTAGAATAACCGAATGCCATTGCCATTGACTACAACTCCTCTCGACTGTCTCATAACTACCACGCCCTAATCTTGAACGTCCCGCGAAATACTGCCGACATGTCTCATCTCAAGTATCATTCCTACGAAGGTGTAGGCCAGAGAAATCTCGAGGTTTTCAGTTACAACCAGGCAGTAAGAATTGGCGACCGCATTGAATGCTCTGGTCAAGGTAGGCAATATTGCCAGTGGTCCTCTCAGTGCTAAGCGCATGCTAATACGGGACTTAGGTGGATGGGACCCCAAGACGGGCGAGTTTTACAAGGAAATCAATGCCCAAATCGATCAAGCATTCGCCAATGTGGATCTCAACCTCAAGGATGCTGGCGGAGCAGGCTGGGAACAGGTGTTCCGGGTCAACTCGTACCATGTGCCAATCAACGACGAAGCTTTGGCGGCCATGGTAAGGAACTTTAGAAAGTGGATGCCGAACCACAAGCCGATTTGGACGTGTGTGGGAGTGCCGAGGCTTGGTGAGGACGACATGCGTGTTGAGATTGAGGTTGTCGCTCACGTCCCGGAAGGAGCCTTGAAGGCATAGATACTTGAATTGGTTGAGTTTAAAATCAGCCGTAGCCATCATACATCATGAGGAACGATCAAGTCACGAAAGTACACCACACTTGGTGTAAACCAATGCTAGAGAAGAGAGAAAGTGCAATAAACGTCCCAAAATGTCATATTCCCATTATTGTATAAGGTCAGCTAATCTTGTCACAAGATCCCATTATCCGTTAAACGCCAATCACACCAAGCGGATTCCAAAGGCGATGAACTCAGCCAGCGGGGTATAGTCGCTCTAATACATCATTTATGCCTTGCCAGCCTGAACCAGGAGAGCAGCGTGCTGCTCGGGGTGGGTCTTCTCGACGTTGCCCTTGGCCATCTTCTTCATGAGCATGTTGGCCTCAATGTCGACCTCCTCGCGGAGGATGAGACCAGCTGCCTCGTTGACGATACGCCACTTGCCGGTGATGACGAGGGTACCGACGGGGGGCTTGGCGTTGACGAGAGTGTCGACACCGTCCTCGAGGTTGGTGATGGTGAGCTGGTAGGTGGTCTGGCCGATGGGCTTCTTATCGGTGACGGAGTAGGTGGCGGACTGGCCGACGCCGACGGAGCCGGACTCGAGGTTGTAGGAGATGAGAGCTGGGCAGAGGGTCTTGACCATCAGGTCGTGGTTGTGGATAGCGGAGAGGACGGCGTTGCGGTCAACGCCGGCGGGGACGGGGGTGGAGACGACGGTGGAAGGCATTTTGGCGAAGGTTTGAAGATTGGGTATCGTGAAGAAGTGAGTATGTTTAGTTGCTGGCTGTTGTATGTAATGAGAGGCGAGGCTGGTGATGCACGATGACCAAAGACCAGCAGGAACCTTCTTATAGATGTCTCTACTTCCCCTTAGCTCAGGCCGACAAGCTCTGCTAAAGCCTACTTCAGACGGTTGGAGGTTTCCATACCTCGTAACTCCCTCAGCACCCCCTTATCCCCCTATACTTTCTTCATCCTTAACTCTGAATCCCACCACCGGAGCCCCCAAGTCCTCAAGTGGGTGAACCGACCGTTTGCGCCGCTGACGGTTCAGGGCGGTATAGTTCGTGGAGACGAGTAGCAGGAGACGCAGGCAGGGAGGCTAAGTGGCATCGGGCCGGCCGTGCCCCGACCGTGCTCCCGCCGAGCCGGACGTTGGAGCATGACGCTAGGAGACCTCGATGCTGCACGCTAGCGGGCTCGGGTTTTGTTTGTTCTTTCAGGGGCTCAGGGGAAGAGGAGGCGGGCATCGTGGAGAAGTCCGTGGGGGGCACTGGACTTACGCCGGTAAGATTTACAGATTCTTCATATCGGTATGAAAGACAGAGGGCTTCGATTCGGTGTCATCGAAGAAATGGTGTTGAGAGAAGAAAATGATAAACAAATGTCTCGGCGAACTTGTTTTCTTGGGAATGTTTCAGTCAGAAAACCATGTCCTGTGAACCTTGGCTCAGCTGTGCTGGGCCTCGCTGTTTGCGTTTGGTCCCGAAGCTTTGGACGCGAGGCAACACCACTTTTCCGACTGCAGCGCGCGACATACCTACCCATAACCCAGGTGTTCGTCCGAGACATGCATCTTGTCGCATAAGAAGTCGCAGCTACGCGTGTCTCTGGAGACTACTCTCCGCATTCCAACCACACGGCCTGCGCAATCGAACGGTAGCCATGCTTGGCACCTGCGCAAGCTTGGAGGTTACTGGAGACCTCCAAAACCCCTAATTTCGTCCCAACCACAACAAAGAGAGACCTGCGCTTGCTAGATCAATCATGATAGACTAGTTGGAACACAAGGTGAGGCTTAAAATACTCCCAGTCTGCTTCATCGTTAAAAGGAAATAGCCCCCTGAGCTTATCATGATAAAGCCGTTTTGCGGCGTAAGCCGCTTGACAGCCATCAGGGAGGGATCGTCGCGGGCCGAGATTACACGTACTGGATCTCTGCAAGTAAGCGCAGAGTCTTCCCCCCGAAGACATCGAGAATTCACCAATCAGTAACCCCCCAATTCAGTCTTCAAAACAACCGTCTGAGAGTCCACGTAAGGCCAGACGTTGTTATGATCGACGTTGTTGCTAGTTCACTGCGCCGAGGGTGTGCTTGGTGGGTCGTCGGTGCGTTCTACGCGCGCTAAAACGCAGACCCGCTGTCTGTCCGTGTGTCTCTCGGTCATGGCGCGGACGGTTGCACCTCGTCAATATTGTGACTGCGAACGTCGATTTCGGGGCGTTGCGAGTGAGCATCAATATCCTGGTCGAGCTGCATCGTCAACATGCGATTCGAGTTAAGCGTCAGGTTGTGAACTGGTGCGCGCTGAAGTATCGGGAATGCGATCGAGGCTACATGTTCATCAGAGGTACGGTGATCCTTCACTCAAGCTCACCCATCGTTCATGCGTACTGAGAATTTGAAATTGGCGACGAATCAGAGCATCAGATAACACAAGATGCATTGAAATCCTTCTCTCACCAAGACGGGAGTAAACAAGTTGGTGACCCGGCATAAGATGAACCGACACGGCGCTGATCCGCACGGGGATCCTCTCTGACTTCTATTTTGGGTTTCCCGCGATCTGATCTCCGGGCCAAGGCCGGAGGTGGTCTTTATTCTCGGACTGGGGACTTCATGTCTCTTACTTAGGCAATCCCATTTTTGCCATTGCATTTTCGAAGTCAACAGGTATTCAAAAACCGGAGCTTCTCGTGCCGTTCTCACCACGACAAACAGCTTACAGGCTTTTTACTTCGTTCTTGCCAATATGATCCCATCAACATTCGCTGACCGTGGTGGCCCCACCCGGCCACCCGGGGAGAAGATCAAAGCGTACACTTCCGAACCGAAGCCACAACAACCTGAAAACCTCAATGATAGTATGGGGGCCTTTGGAGACGAGAGATGGCCTCTGTCGAAGGCTAGAAATTTCTTCCAGTTGCTATGATCTGTCTTGTGCCAAGTACAATTCGACACTCTTTAATATAAACCAACTCAAGAGCCGTGAAAAATATTCGTGCCATGACGCAGAGGGCGGAATATGAATTCCTCCCCCGCTCCTTAGTCATCCACTGGTTCAAGTCCATTTGATTGGCCCCGCCCTTGGCTACCAGTCTTTGGGGTGTTATCGTGCAAACAAGAGAAACTGCGAAACTATTACCAAGTGCCAACCGTTGTGCTTCCGACTTTCCACATTGTCCCAAAATCGAAGGTGATCGCGGGCTTTCTCAGAGAAAGGCTGTGTGGATAGGACCCTTGCCATCTTTCTCACTTGCTGGCTTCCCTCCTCCTTCGCTGCTATGCCCCAAGCGCCGTCGGAGCGGGCCGCAAGCCAACCGAAGCGCAGGTACACGTCAAAAGCCTGTGAGGAGTGTCGGCGCCGGAGGGCGAAGGTGGGTGGAATATATTTTCCTTCTGGGGCGATCAGCCCACCACACACCCTTGGGAACCAGCACACTCTATACTCGTATAGTGATACTCGTATCGACAAATGAGTGTTGATCTGGTTGAATATTTGTCATAATACTAACTGAAATGTGCCAATTCTTTTAGTGTGACGGATTACGGCCCATCTGCGGCCGTTGTTCCGAACGTTCCATCAACTGTCTCTACAGAAGTGAAGAGGATGGTCGCAAACCCGCTTCCAAGACATATGTGCAACTTTTGAGAAACCGGATCGACCTGCTGGAAGCCGTGTTACAGTCTCACACCATCGATGTCGAGGCAGCCGTCGCCCAGCTCTCAGCTGCCGGTACAGCACCACAACTACCGTCCATCGCGAGTACGTTAGCAACTGGTAGCGATGCTGGACTCAGCGCCTCGGCTTTTGACGATCTCTGTGCGACCTTTGAAGGAGCTCTTTCTCTGGATGAATCGGTGAACTATGACCAGGATGGAGAGATGCGATATTTCGGTCCAGCGAGCGGTCGCTTGGAGTTCCAGAGTGGTACGTATCGGGTCGTTAGTCTTATCCCCGACCGGGGTGGTGGTCATTGACCAGTCTCTAGGATCTACGCCAGAGTCCGACGATCATGGCAGTCCGTTGACGTCCAAGTACATGGAGACAAATCGATACATCCTTCCTCTGGAGGCAGATGTCTACCCAGAGGATCTCACAACAGAGCTCATAGACCTGTTCTTTGAGTATCAAAATCCCTGGTGTCAAGTCGTCGACGAGAAGCTGTTCAGGGAGAGCATGAAGACGCAAGGCCGCTTCTTCAGCCCATGTTTACTCAACTGTATTCTTGCTCTAGGATCACGCTACTCCGATAGATCGACACTCGCTCCATCCCAGAAGACCAAAATACAGCCGGCAAAATCTTCCTTCAAAAGGCCGAAGTGCTCTTGCATTATGATATGAAACGGCCGACCATCACGACGATCCAGTCAATGTCCCTCCTAGTCGGGGTCTATGTGGTACGCTCCGGAAGATACTGAGGTCACAGCTTCTTATGCTAACTACAAAAAGTCCTACGGATGTGATGCTGCGGGATGGCTTCACCAAGGAATGGCGAATCGACTGGCTCTGGACATGGGACTCAACCTCGATGCATCGTCATTGTCTGGCACGTGCCATATGTCGAACGAAGAGGTGGAGCTGAGACGACAGATTTACTGGGCACTATATTGCGACGACAAACTCGCGGCCATCTACACGGGGCGAGTCTGCAGTCTTTTGGTAAGCTCTTGTCACCGAGTTACATCTGCCAATGGTAAGAAAGGAACCCCTGTACTAACTTACATAGGATGTTCAAGGCGCTGTCCATCTCCCATCGACTTACACACCAGAACAGATGAGAGCAGGGGCAAACAACTCATACGACATAAGTCGATGCAACAAACAGGTCCTCGTACATCGCGGTCTAATAGGTCTCTGTCGAATCCTCGAAAACATTCTCCTGGCTCTGTACGTCACGCACCCAACTATCCCACAAATCTCCCCCGTTTTCTAAACAGTGCTGATAAAAAGTTCCTCAGATACGCCCCGAAACCACTCTACAAAGGCCCTCAAAGGATATCCTTCCTCCAGTCCTGCACCCTCGAGCTCAAAACCTGGTTCTACGAACTCCCCGCCGACCTTCGCATCGACAAACACAACGACCTCCCGCAAGTCTACACCCTCCACATGGTCTACCACACCTGCTGCATCCTCCTCTTCAAACCCTTCCTCCTCAAATCCAAAGACACCCCCGCCGCCCTCAAAACCGACATGGCGAAACGCGCAGAGGTCCTCTGCATCGAGTCGGCGAAACGCATCTGCCACGCGGGGAAGAAATACCGCCAGGTCTACGGCTCGTTCCGGCGCAGCCCCATCTCCGCTACGCACTGCACGCTTACCGCGGCGCTGGTGCTGATCCAGTACGCGAGCCCTGATCCGGAGTTTGCGAATACGGGGAGGCCGTGTTGTACCGTCTACATCGAAGCATGCCTCGAAGTCCTAGCGGAGCTAGGCATCTCCTGGCGTCCCGCCGCGAAAATGCGGTGCGATCTCATCAAATACCTGTATCAAAAGTACCCGGAGCGGATACCAAACTCCATCCTGCAGCAGCAAGGCGCCCGCAGGGATCCGGACCGGGATCCAACGGCGTCGGTGGTGGTTGAAAGAGACGTGGACGGCGCGTCAGTGCCGAGTTCTACGCAGCCGCAGCAGACGCTGGAGCAGAATCTGTGTCCCCTGATGAACATGATTGACCAGGATTTCGCGTGGGATGCATCCAGCGCGGCTGATCAGGCGCTCCAGGGGGCGTTGCTGAGTAACGGCGGGTCGGAGTCGGCTTTCAATACGCAATTTGCGCTAGCGGATTCTATTAGCGAGCTTGGGCAGCAGAACGGGCTGAGTTTCATGGACGATAGCTTTTGGGCGGGGATGAATCTTGATGTAAATTTTGAAGCCCAAAACCCATGACGGGGATTACTGTGGGTGTTTTACCTAGATAAGCGTATGGTTTTGATACTATTATATACCTTGCTAGATATTATATCCTTACTTTCGGAGGCTTAAATCCAGAATGGAAAGCAACTTGAAGGATCTTACGTTGATATCGCTATCATCGTTGTGGGGTATTGGTTTGAAAACACACCGTTGATAAAGAACAACTGGGCTTTCCAGATGCTTTGTTTCTCAGCGGAACTGGTACGTCATTCAAGTGAATAATTCAAAACTCTGGACTTGTGAGTTGCAGTTAGAGGCAAGTTCAAATGTCTTATCATTTCTTGATTCTCCCGTCAATTACCGAATTGCGAAAGTACATTCAAGTGCGTTGTAGTTGAGATAAAGACGAATAAGGCCCAAGGGGTTAGTCAGATCATTTCCCGATACTCCATTTGATCAAGCAACTTCGACCCAGACGCAAACTGGAGAAAATATGGAACTATTTCTATTGTTACCAGTCCGTGATTGAGAGGATATATTCAACTATGGTTCGTCCGAGTAATACCGTCAGCCACAGGAATACACGGACATTCTCTAGCGGGGGACAAGGTTGTGAACTCAATAATAGATACATCACCTATAATTATCTTAGGACGATGCCATAAACAAATCAACGTTATCAACCTACGCTGTATCTTCTTGGCTTACCTACCGTATATAGGCTGCTATTGTAGAGTTGCTTGTCATACCTGTACATTACTATCATAACTCTTGTATTGATTGTAACTCGACGCATCGTCTCAAAAGAAACTTCTCTTGACACAATACATATAATGGTGTCCATACTTTCTTCGGAAATCATGAAACCCGACGCTGCCCGCGTCCCTTCCTCAAAGTGAATCCTCGCCCGCTACGGCAGGCTAAGTCGCATCCAGGCTTTTTTACCCCGCAAAGCTTGATTCACCTGAGGTAAGTAAGTAGTTCACAGATGAAACGGACCGAAATCCTTTGTGGACTTGAGCGCGTTCCCGTTCATGCCTTGTGAGAAACCTTTTCTGCAGGGCATATCTATTCTCCCTTATACACGAACACGAATATTACTGTTTGTCAAAGCTCCCGAAAGTCTCAGCTACGGCGATGAGTAGCTCGGCACCCAGTGTCAGATTAACCAAACAACATTCACCATGTCTCACATTCACATCAAATATGGATAATTAAAATCATGGGTATGAATGAATCTCTTTACATACAACACTCCTTTGAGCATTACGTGAACCAAACATTAAGCCAACGCGTATAAGCGCCTGCAAGTGAACCCCATCAATCCAATATCCATCGACAGTAAGAACGATACCCTTCCAACCATGATTGGTGAAGACCCAAGGAACTTTTCCAAACCCCAAGGCTACCCTGATAGGTAGATGCAATGCGTCCCGCTCTCCTTCTTGTGCTGAAGACCGGGTCCATTTCGACCCCCAATGACACAGTGATCGCGACCACCTAGGAACTTTACAAGCCGTTGCTAGGTCCCGCACCTCCGATATGTCCGTGGTCTCCGTCGTGACTGCCGACAGGGCGGTTCTTGGGCGCACCAGGCTCGCGAATGTGAAGTCCCAGAGCGGTGGGATCAATGTTCCTGTGTCCCCAAAGCAGGAGGAAACCGAAACCAGGCTTCGCAAGAACGTCCAGGATACCATAGAAGACAGCCTCAGAGTCGGGATGGATCAGGTTACCTCCCTCGGCAACGCCCCACGCGATGGGGTACAAGAACCACAAAAAGATGGTAAGAACACCGCAGTTGCGAAACGTGGAGCTGACCTGTCCACCGAGTGCGCCAGCGTGCTTTCGTCCGTCAACCACGAGGGCGTAGACGACATAGAAGAAGGCAAACATGCCAAACACCCAGTAACCCCACTTGTAGCTCGTGCTTGTGAGGGCACCGACTAGGCCCGTAACAATCATGATCTCATCCGCAAGGAGGGCAATCATGATGCTAGGCCAGGGCATGCCGGCGGTGAGAAGCAAGTCCAGAAGCAGCAGCGGCGTGGTGATGAACCAATCGATGTACCGCACATAGTAAATCTCGCGTGTGCCGGCGCCGCCAACCTGGCTGTTGTCGCGGGGGAACTCAACCTGGATGGGCACCTGGCCCAGCCCGGCGCCCATGGAGAAGTATGCTATGCAAGCAACGAAAGTAATGGTGGCGGTGATGTAATGGAAGATGCGGTGCGTCTCTCGCTTGGCGAAACCCATTCCCAGGAAAACAAGAGTGGAAAACGCCATGATAGCACAGATGGCAAAATACCAGTCCGAAGCCCGGGCAGAGATGCCCAGGTCGGCTCGCTGGCCAACGCGGGAGTTGGTGTTGAGAGCGTCGTTCGCCATTGTAAGTGTACTTCGCAATTCGACTTCCTGTGGCGATTGAAACTGGTGAGAAGCTTTGAGCGAGACGCTGCTGGTTTTGTATGCCTAGGTTTTGGCAGTAGATGTAAAGTTGCTGTTCTCTGCTACTCCTGCACTACATTTGGGGGGGTTCTACTTACCATATATCTTCATCTGTTGTCCTCGGCCAACATCAGATTTAGGCCCGAGCTAACACGATCCCAAAAGCCCCTGCCGGTTGATCCGCATCTAGCCATGTCGGATGACTTCACCCAGGTAAAGAGGGGACAAGTAGTATTGAGATTTCCATGAGCTCTGGATGACGTTTAGACTCGAAACACCAACCTACCGCAACCTGCAGACGATAGGCTAGTTGTCGACGCGAGGACACCATCGCGATGGAGGAGTAGCTTCGCCGTAGCCTAAACAGCGCGACACCCTCGCAGGTGAGACTAGGCTAGCACCGGCCATTGGGCCAAGACGGGCGCTATGGCATTCCAAGCTCGAGCCGTCCCTGTCAACCGTGTCAACCGTCCAGAAACGACTGCAACGCAAAGGGGTTCTGTCACTCGTCCTTCAGCCTGGAAGCGGGGTCAGGCGAATAAGATCAAATGAGTTGTGAACTTTCTCCCCGCGCAAATCCTTGACGAGTCCATGACGGCAAGAGGCCGTAACCCTGGTTGTCAGGCTGGAGGCGGAGAATTTCTCCGCGCCAGAACGAAAACGACCCATTTTCAAAGTAATTCAATCAGTGCAACTAGGGAATGATTTGAAAATAGTTTTTCGAAGTAGGGCGACTGTGACAAATTTCCGACGTAGGCATGTAAGGCGGTTGGCGCAACAAGAAAGGATTCGAGGTCGATGAAGTCACCACTTTTGCCGGCTTCTAGACCGGAAGCTGCCGAGTGGTATTCCCGGCCCCACTAAGCCGGAGCTAGCGCCGGCAAGTGATTTGATGTCTGCAGCGCAAAGCCCGAAAGACTTGGCAGCAGACAGAACAGCAGGTCTAGCCCGTCCAGCTTGCCTTCAACCTAATACTCCAACGGCTGGCAAGGCATCACTAGCTTTCTTCTAGAGCCCGCCGTAGGCAAGAAAACAAATTCGGCTTCTGCTTGGTTTGCCGATCGCCAAGCTGTGTGCGCGATCTGTCTCATGTCCACGATTTCTGCCACCCTTGTGTCAAAACAGGTCTGGTGACCATGCGCTGCACAGTCGTGGTTCGCACTAAGTTGCAGATCTCTCCGAGCCGAACTTACAGGCGAAGTCTCTTTGGCGAGTTGGCGGCCGCAGTGTGTTGTGTAGGCATTGGCAAATCGCATTCCGTTGAGTGATTGCCATAGCTGTAGCTAAGCTTGAGTAGAAGGTAGGCAAGCTTGCGGCATGTCTCCACGCGTCCAAACTTACCCGGGTCATAATTGTTTGCGTAGCCGACCTGGACCGCGCACTAGAGTCTAGGAGGGAGACAGGCGTCCTGAGCACTTCCGAGCTTCCGAGTCTCTCTTCGTCTGATGTCATCATTAACCCATAGTTGATTAATGGGCAGTCTGTCGGCAGTTCGAGCACGGATGGGGACAGCAGTCCAATGTTCGAGCGTAACCAGGAAATCATCCCGGCCAACGTCGGGCCAGGCGATACAACCCACCTTCAACTGTGCCTTGAATTCTGAAGTTCGATCAGCCGTCCCTAAACTCTGGGCAGCTTCGCAAAAGATAATTCGGACCTGCCGCCTGAGTCCACTGGTCAATATCGACAGCCTGATCTCACCCTTCAACGCTGAGGTTGAGGCCACATGTTGTTGAGAAACAATACCTCACGTACCTTAACTAGGCAACGTCTGCTCCACATGCGAAGATGAAAGACGAATGCCAGGCAAGCGAGGATGCTCGCCATCCGTGAGTTCACTTGTCTTGCTCGTTTTGCTCATGTATGATCTCTGACCGCTTCCGCATATAGGTACCTATCAGGGAACTTTGCACCGATTCAATCCTGTCTCCCCTTGACTCCCTGCACTCACGAAGGCACGATACCTTCTGATCTTGCAGGAGGCCAATATGTCCGCAACGGCGGCAACCCGGTGACGAATGATGACGCGAGCCGCGCGGCGCACTGGTTCGACGGGGACGGTATGTTGAGTGGTGTTCTGTTCCGCCGTGCAGGCGAAAAGAACACCTTGATTCAGCCAGAATTCGTGAATCAATACCTCTTGACCGACGTCTACTGCCACGCAAAGACCAATAGATATCTGCGCCGACCAGTCGTGCCAAGTATTGCGACGCTGGTAGATCCGGCCGTGAGCATGTTTCGCATCATCTTCGAGGTTTTCCGAACTGTGTTCCTAGTCTTCCTCTCGCGACTCCCATGGTATGGTCGCCCCATCAAGAAAATCAGCGTTGCCAACACTAGTGTTCTATTTCACAATGGAAGAGCGTTGGCAACGTGCGAAAGCGGCCCCCCTCTCAGATTCGCGTTGCCGAGTTTGGAGACTATTGGTTGGTTCAATGGAAGAACTGCTGAAAACGAGCCGCTGCAAAGCATTGAGAGCGGTTTTGGGGGTACAGGCATCGTATCCTTCATGAGAGAATGGACCACGGCTCATCCGCGAGTTGACCCGGTGACGAAGGAGCTCATTACGTTCCACGCGACATTTGTCCAGCCATTTGTGCGTTACTCCGTGGTGCCACCAACGACAAAGTCTGGGACAGGCCGCTCTCCGGTGTTCGACCTGCCGGTTCCGGGAGTGGAGTCGCCGAAGATGATGCACGACTTCGGGGTATCAAGGCACCACACCATCATCATGGACCTACCGCTGTCGCTGGACACCATGAACCTGATTCGCGGAGTTCCGAGCTTGTCGTACGATTCGGCCGGGAAGTCACGCTTCGGAGTCTTTCCACGACACCAGCCGAAGGCCGTTCAATGGTTCGAGACCAACCCTTGCACCATCTTCCACACCGCCAACTGCTGGGACTCGGTTTCACCGCAGACAGACATCAATGGTCCTCGTGTGTCGGTCAATCTTGTGGCCTGCCGACTCACTTCCGCGTCCATGGTGTTCAGCGCCGGCAATCTTCCTACGCCAGAGGTTAAGCCAGTGCCTCCCGAGTACGCTGAGGAGGAGCAGTGCCGGTTGTACTACTACAGCTTCCCACTGTCGGATATCGCCGGGATCCAGTATAACATCAGGCACCAGTGGGCTTTGTCGGCCATTTCCTTGGAGTTTCCGTCTGTCGCACCGGCGTACTCGATGCAAGAAGCTCGATACGTTTATGGATGCTCGACTGGCGAGGCATCTTATACAGTCGCCCTTGGCAAAGCTGCAAAGATCGACCACTTGGCCAAGTTCGACGTTCGGACGCTGATAGCACGAGGCATCGCACATCCACCGCAGCCTGTCAAAGGCTGCGTCGATACGCGGAGCATATCTCAGGTCATGGAGAGCCGGGACCCCCAGGACCCTATCAAGCTCTTCCGAATGCCCGTCGGGTGGTATGCGCAAGAGCCACGCTTTGTGCCTCGCCGTAAACCGGACTCCGAGGACGACGGATGGTTATTAACATATGTTTTCAACGAAGCTCAGCTTGACGACCAAGGCGAATGTGTGCCCGATGCTGCGAGTGAGTTGTGGATAATCGACGCGAAAGAAATGAAGAAGGTCGTGGCCCGAATCAGACTGCCGCAGCGCGTACCGTATGGATTGCATGGTACCTGGTTCAGCGAACAGGAGATTGACGAGCAGAAGCCATTTGAGAGAGTAAGGACTTTGGCTTCATAATAATTCAGCATAGGAAAGCTTTTTTTTGAGGGCGATTGAAGGGATACTGGGCCTGTCTAATTAGTGAGTGGAAAGTTTCTTCATGATACCAAGTGATTTCTAGCAAACAGAGAAGGACTGGTGTGCATGTGTAGATAATACGACACCTGGACCAAATTCATGACAAGTAATCTGAATGTGAGCAGTAGGTTGGACTTCAAAGGCCCGGATTTTGCAGTCATCGTTCGGCGTCCCGTCTTCTTCGTATACGTGTCGTGAACCGGGGTGAATCTTTATCTCTTTCATCAAATCGCGTCAAGAAACGCGCTGTGCTTCGGAGTGGCCTTCACATCAGGTCCAACGGCCGAATGCTTCTTCCATGTTGGACGTGACATCCGATTCCTTGTCCGCGACTGGCCACATCAACAACGGCCTAGGGGCAGATTCCACTCGTAGGCTAAGTCGTAGTTAGCAGATGCAAAGTCAGCAAGATTCAGGTTGCCTTACCCACCAGCCAGTCGCTCGCTAGTCACACCGACGCTGTGTGCCCACCTGGCACCATGGCCTTACGGCACAACCGCCCCGAACGGAAACCTGCGTCGGCGGCACTGAGGTGGCAGCCTTTGGGGCTGTTGGAGGCTGGACCTTGCTCCTCAACGCTTCCCGCGGTGCGCTTTGGGGCCGCATAGCACCTTGCGCTCCATGCCACAGATTCGCTGCCCAGTGCCCCGGAACCCGCCCCCCTTCGCTTCTCCTCCCTGGCCCCGGGGTGTAAACCCCCCTCATCAAGAGCATGTTGAGGCTCACGGGCGGAAAAGCGTCAATCTCAACGACATCCGTTTCTGTAGCCGCCAACGACTATTTTCGCTACGATAACTCCCGGCGATATTTCTTGGGTTTGGGGATAATCTGTCGATGCCCAGACATGTCGTGAGCGCCGAGAAATGACCCCGCAGGGCAGTGCTGAAAGGCGTCGACGGTCAGTCAAGGGATGGCAAGTGTTCGGCGTCTAAATTTCATCTTTTGGGCTCCGAGATTGTGAGTAAGACCAACTTCCAAGACCATCCCGAGCCATCGTGTGTGATATGGCGCGCCGTAGACATTGCTCCCCCGCGTCTTCCTGGGCGAGATCCTTTCTACCCCTCTTCTTCCCCCAGGTTCCCCGGCATTTGGATGGGCCCATGGTTCGTGTCGGTGCAGCGTATGCGGTCCCATCTGCCTTTTAGGACCTCCAGAGATGTTTCCATTCCCAAGTTTCCGAGACTTTCAGTGAGGGTTGGCCAAGGGTCGGCAGCATGGAGGGCCCCCACACTTGCATCTGGCGGCAGACAGATCTAAGGTCCGTACCGGGGGACAGGGCCGTCGGATTGGTGCAAAAGTTTGGGGCAAGTTAAGCTTAGCAAATGCCAAACGGGGCTGCTGCAAGGTGTGGTTGTAACTTGTCCACAGTGATGGGCTAGAGCGAACTGGCCGATACGTGGCAGCAATTGCCGGGCGTTTGCGAACAGTGTCCCAGGCATGGCGTGTACATTGCTCAAACTTGGCCGTCCTCCGTTCCTTGATAGATGGATAGTTTTCGTGGAGCTGAGTGGCTGCTCATGCTGTCATGTGAACTTGGAAGTGTAAGAGGATTGAGGATTGCTATGCAGGCTCGTCTCGGCGTAGCACATTAGCCAAGAAGAGGTCCACTGCGCCGACAACGTCTGAGCTGCTGGCGTCGGTTGGTGCCGTCGAGATTCCAGAAGAGAATCCGTATCTCGATGCACATTTGGGCAATTGGACTCAAGCAAGCATAGGCTCCCCGGCTCTGATAGCCACACCGAAATGGAGAGAAATGCATATTTCTTGGCGTTTAGCATTCAGCGTTTGAAGTTCGAGAGGACAAGTCGACGCGAGAGTGGTCCCACACGTGACATTGCAGACCACGTACGCGCCTCTAGAGTTTGGAACTGTGTGTACGCCGTACAGAGTATTGTGTACTGTGTAAGTCTGCACAGAAGTCGGGAGAAGAAGAAATGACTGATTCTAGCGGTGTTGGAAACGCAAGGTCAGCAATCAATCCTGCCGGCCTACGAAGTATCCGTCTACTTGTTCCAAATGCCAGGTCCCTGAGGTTGGGGCATGGTGTGTGTCGGGATAAGGCTTGCCATGCTCTGCTTACCTACCACTTTGGGAGGAGAAGTGGATGTGGGATTGCGCGATTGGTCATCGGGTTCGATAGGCCTCGGAAAGACCACGCAGCGCCAGTCATTGAGAAAGTCAATCCAACCAGCATCTGGGTCTGGTCCCTCCATGGCACTGACCCGCAGAAACCGTGGGCATCTGGGTGTCGTTTGGAGTTTTTGGCATGGCCCCGTCTTTGTTGAAACAACCCAGATAGAAGACGTAGACAATCAAACAGCTTGAGTTGATGAAAGCGCAGTGAAGCAAAGTGAGGCGAAAGCTGCGAGGTTAGTGTATCTGTAAAAGTCGGAGGTGGAAAGCAAGGCACGTGGACTGGACTTCTTGGTATGATGTAAGGTACCTTAGGTACTCCGTAAATATTGGTGTCTATCAGAGGATACGATGAGGAAAGGTGAAGCTTGGCGGAACATGCTGCGAGTCTGCGACTGCGACAGCGACAGCGAGTGACCGTCGCAAGGTTTCGCAAGGTTTGCAAGGGTAGCCCTTCGTCTGTCCATTGATGTCTGGTCTGGTGGGGGAGCAACGAATGTCATCTGATGTCGCTTTGAACAAGGCACATTCAGGGGGCCCAATGAAGCGCGTAAAGGAGGTGAAGGGGGAAATAAGTGCATGATTCGGATAGAGGGAAGAATATCCGCAGATAAGCGCACAAAAGTGTTGGATGAGAAGGATCAACTGCCAACGAGACATTCAATTGGCAAGATGCAGTTCAAGTTGCAAGTTGCAAGGCACTGCTTCCTTCCTTCTTCTCGAACGGAATCAGAGTGGTGGGGCTGGTGGCACTAGCGCAGCTTGCCAAGAGCCGCGTGCCACCAGACCAATTGAATGGCTCAAATCTACAGGGATTGTATTGGGAGTGATCACAGCCATGGAAAGCAACGGTGGGACACAGATGAACCGTATCATTGCGTGCTTGAGTCCAAGGCCAGGTGCTCCGTACCTGAGCAGAAGCGTTTACCTTAGGCACCTTAGCCTACAACTGACAAGATTGACAGGCAGAGACTCTTGAGCCTGGACTGATAGTCTGGACGACCAAGACTTAGATGGCTCTTGGCCTTGGACATAGTGAACAAACACAAGCAGACGGTTTGGATGAAGGGTTTGCACAGCCACGCTGGTCACGGTGGCCGCCCCTATCAGCAATCAGCTGGCCAGAAACGGCCCCGACACCCCAGCCACTTGCCGGAGCCATGATTGGACGGCGGGTTCCCTCCTTCCCTGATGACGACGACCAGCCCGCGCTGGGCGGACATCGGTGCTCCTTGGCGGCGCCGCTGCGTTGCTTCTCCACCCCGGCCCTGCGCATTCCCATCATCAGCACCGTTTCTCGCCTTGCCTTGAGAGTACCTACCTTAGGTACACTGCGGATACGGAGTGCGCATTCAAGATTTCCTCATGATTGCGCATTGCCTGACCTGACGCTACAGCGGACCTTGTACGGAGTAGCGATTGCCACTATGCTTGTAGGGGCTGTGACAGCGATGCGTCACACACAATATCGCTGCGGATTGCGCAGTCGTTCAGCCATTGTTAGTAGTCGGACCAGTGGGCTGGATTGCACCGTTTCCACAGTTTCGCCGGCACGAGACCGCTGGAGTACACGGCGGCGCTGACGGCGACACGACTGACTGGGGGAGGCTCGTCTTGGCAACTGCTCACTTGTCGTTGTTTCCGCCGCTTCGAGTCTTAGTGCTTTCCCATTCTTGTTCAATTTGGCCTAACAGTCCCGTCAGTCTGGCAGCCGGTTTCTTGTGGTGGCACTTGCCTGGGCAGTCGCCAATAATCTGGAGAGTATCTGTACGTAAGTAAGTACCTTGAGAAAATGGAAATGGAACGGGAAGGAAATAGAGCAACGAACAGCGTGCCTTCCCGTTGCTTGCACCTGCATCGCAGCCATGGAAGGCAAGAGTATCCGTAAAAGTATCAGGTACCTTTCCTTCCCCTTTGGTTTGCCGCATCTGCAACCATAGACGTTCTTTTCGGTATACTCAGCCATCCCCCGCATCGTCTTTGGTTCTTCTCGTTACGCCTTTTCCGTTTATCTTTTATCGTTTCTTCTATCAAGCACCAACCTTGACGTCTAGTCCCCAGATGCAAGCCAGACACACCCCGTCTTGAAGTTTGAACACGTCCAACCTTGTCAGCTATTCCACGCCCCTGCGGTTTGCCAAGCTTCCCGCCCACTTTGTCACTCAAAGTCCAACATATCATTGCTCAAGGTATACGTTACGTACCTGGCCCAAAGTGCCTATCTCTACAAGGAATACACCGCAGCTTTATTTGATACCAGGTAATGGAAGATACCTCACCTTCAACATCCCCCAATCCCTCTCCATGCAAGTCCTTCTCCCACCCTCTATTGAACTGTTGCATTCCTTCGTTCCGTCACTAACAATTGCGGTCCTGCTCTAGCTCATTACGGACACGGTACGAACACCTTACTGGCTCCATCTCCCCAGACAAAGTCCAAGACAGGCAATCGCTCAACGGATGCGCTTCGGTCCTCACTTCTTCGGCCCATCCACTCCTGGTCCCGTTCGGTCGGAGCTATTTTCCTACCACCGTCCCGCGCCCGCGTTGCATCCCTCCTCCCACCCCCAGTCCTCGGACGGTCAACTGCCAACTGGTAGTTTGGTCAGAGGTACCTCGCCCTCTCAGGTCAGTCTCTCTCTCTCTCTCGCTCGCTCGCTGTCTCTCGTCCGTTGCGGAGATACATCCAGATCTCCCATTACCCATCCCCTCCATCATCCATTCATCCTCCTCCAGGCTTGGTCGTCTTTCCGGTACATACATCCACGCTCCCCTCCCTTGGCACGCATTCCACCCGCCACAAAAGTATAACTTAACGCTGTCTCCTAGCACACACCACTCTTACCCTTCTTTCTTCTTTTTCCCCTTCTCTTCTTCATCACCAACCCCAAGCTATAAGCTTGCCCGTTCTCTTTTAACAAACTACTTTCCCAGATCAATATCTGCAGGGCTTTACCAAAAGCACCAACACATACCTCTCAACCCCCCCCCCCCCCCCCCCCCCCCCCCCAAGCGAGCGTTTTAAGCCGTAACCTACCGATATCCGATGGGAGAACCCGAAGCCGTCAGGCATGGTGAACACAACACAGCTGCCGCGGAAGTCAACCCCGAGCAGGACGAGCCGCCGTCTATACCGCGGCCCCCGCCCATTCCCAACCCGGTCCCTCAGCGGCCTGCCCATTCGGTTCCTGTCACGGACATAGGCCTCCTCTGGCAGACCGATCTTGAAAATGGCCTCTCAAAGGCCGATGCTGCCGCCCGTCTTGAACGGGACGGGCATAATCGTATCGAGGGCGCAAAGGGCTTATCCATTTGGGAGATTCTCTTGAGACAAATCTCCAACAGTCTGACTTTGGTTCTTGTCATCGTCATGATTCTGTCCTTTGCTATCCAAGATTACATTGAAGGAGGTGTCATCACCGCCGTTATCCTTCTTAACATCGTCGTGGGGTAAGTCACCATATCTTCCGTCAGTTTGTTTCTTGATGCCTTCTCCCAATACGCCGCCAGAACCGTGTTTTGCCTCGCACTGTTATGCTTCCTTCAGCTTCCTCGTGCCTTGTCCACCGATTCCAGCATCCTCTTGAGTTGCCGCAATGCAAGATTGGCTGCTCGCCTGATCACCGCGCCGCGGCTGGGTTGGGTGAGCGCTGACCGCTTCCATGGCACCTTGCCCACGAGTGTCTTGGCGAAGTGGCTCATCCCTACCCCTGCCACCAAAGCAACTCGTCCCACACACCGAAATCACACACCCCCTCGCTATCTCAGCACTTAACTCGCCTAGCATCCATAGCTAACATCTCCCCAGCTTTGTCCAGGACTACAATGCCGAACAGACTATCCAGAGTCTGTACGCGCTGTCCGCCCCGACGTGCAAGGTCGTCCGCGACGGAATCGCGGAGACCATCAAAGCCGAGACCTTGGTCAAAGGCGATCTTGTTATGATCGCTGTCGGCGATGTTGTCCCAGCCGACCTTCGTCTCCTCGAGGGAATTAACCTCTCCATCGATGAGGCCCTCCTAACCGGCGAGTCGCTGCCTATCAGCAAGCACCCCGAGGCACTCTTCGAGGAGGCTGATATCCCCCTTGGCGACCGTATCAACATGGTTTACTCGGCTACCACCGTCACTCGAGGACGCGCTCGCGGCATCGTCACTACCACTGGTATGGAAACCGAGGTGGGCAAGATCGCCATGATGCTTCGCACTACTCGTAAGAGAGACGAGAATGCTTCACTTCCTGCCCGTGCTCTCGCCCGTTTCAAGGCTGCTATGAAGAGCATCCTTGGTCTCGAGGGCACTCCTCTTCAGGTCAAGCTTAGCAAGTTCGCCCTCTTGCTATTCGGTCTGGCCATCTTGCTCGCCATCATCGTCTTCGCGGTCAGCAAGTTCGACATTGATGACCAGGTTCTCATCTATGGTATCTGCGTCGGTGTTGCCGTCATTCCCGAGTCCCTCATTGCCGTCCTCACTATCACTATGGCTGTTGGTACCAAAGCAATGGCGTCTGGAAATGTCATTGTTCGTAAGCTCTCCTCTCTCGAAGCCGTTGGTGGTGTCACCAACATCTGCTCCGACAAGACGGGTACGCTCACGCAGGGGCGAATGATTACCAGAAAGATTTGGCTGGCCGAAGATACGACCGCCATTATCGAGGGCACTACAGACCCCTACGACCCTACTAGCGGCAAGGTGCGCTGGCCCGGATCGACCGCATCGAGCTCGGGCTCTAGTGGAGCGTCGACTCCTACGGTTGAGAAGTCTGACGACACTATCATCTCTTCTTCCTTTGGTTCCTTCCTCAAGGCTATTGCTCTATGCAACAACTCCGCCGTCACCGATGGCAAGGCCTCTACCGATACCGAGTCTATGACCACCGCCACTGAGGTACCAGTGTCGTGGACCGCCATCGGCGAGCCCACCGAGATTGCTCTTCAGGTCTTTGCTATGCGATACGGAAAGGGAAAAACCGACCTCGTCTCGTCTGAAAAGACCAAGATGTTGTACGAGTTCCCCTTTGACTCCACTTGCAAGCTCATGAGTGTCGTTTACGAATTCCCCGGTGCTCCCCGCCAGGTGTTCACCAAGGGCGCCGTCGAAGTAATGGTCGAGAAATTGGCCGAGACCGACGACGTCAAGCAGAGGATCGCGGCCAAGGCTGATGAGCTAGCTTCGGAGGGCCTCAGAGTCCTTTGCGTTGCTCAACGACTCCTGGAAGACACTGAAAACGCTAGCGAGAGAAATGACACGGAGTGCAAGCTCCGCTTCCTGGGTCTCGCTGGCTTGTACGACCCCCCTCGTATTGAGACTCTCGGAGCCGTCAAGAAATGCAACACGGCTGGTATCTCAGTCCACATGGTTACCGGAGATCACATTAAGACTGCTACTGCTATTGCCCATGAGGTCGGTATTTTGCGTGGCGGCGAGCCGTCCACCGCAGTCATGGCCGCTGGACAATTCGACGCCATGACCGACGCCGAAGTTGACGCACTTGATGCCCTCCCTCTCGTGGTCGCTCGATGCAGCCCTATGACAAAGGTCAGAATGCTTGAGGCCATGCACCGTCGCAAGGCCTACTGCATCATGACTGGTGATGGTGTCAACGATTCGCCTGCTCTCAAGAAAGCCGATGTTGGTATTGCCATGGGCAAGAGAGGCAGTGACGTTTCCAAGGAGGCAGCGGACATGGTTCTCACCGATGACAACTTTGCTTCCATCGTTACCGCCATTAAGGAAGGTCGTCGCTTGTTTGACAACATTCAGAAGGTTTGCTTTCCACCCACACGTTCAATCGAGACACTGTTCTGACCGCGCTTGTAGTTCTTGCTTCATCTCCTGATTTCCAACATCTCCCAGGTCATCCTTCTCCTGATTGGTCTCTCTTTCAAGGATACAGATGGCATCTCTATCTTCCCTCTGTCTCCTCTGGAGATTCTCTGGGTCAACCTTATCACTTCCTCATTCCTGGCTATCGGTCTTGGTCTGGAGGAGGCGCAACCTGATATCCTCTTGCGTGCACCTCATAGTCTCCGCGTCGGTGTCTTCACCTGGGACTTGATCCGCGACAAGATGATTTACGGTTTCTTTATGGGCTCGCTCTGCTTGGCCGCGTTTACATCCGTTGCGTACGGACCAGGCGCGGGCGATCTCGGCCAGCACTGCAACGACGGCTGGAACGAATCCTGTGACGTTGTCTTCAGGGCCCGATCCACCGTTTACGCCACCTTGAGCTTCCTGCTCTTGGTCACTGCCTGGGAGGTCAAGCACTTCCAGCGCAGCTTGTTCAATATGAACCCCGAGTTGTGGACCGGCCCTACCGCCGTGTTCAAGACCATCTTCAAGAACCGTTTCTTGTTCTGGGCCGTCGCCGGCGGCTTCATCATGACCTTCCCCGTCATCTACCTCCCAGTCGTTAACCGCGCTGTATTCAAGCACGGCATGATCACCTGGGAGTGGGGTGTCGTTATTGCCTGCCTGGTCGTATACATTGCTCTCATTGAAACCTGGAAGGCCGTGAAGCGCCACATGGGTCTCGGCATGATTGCACGCAGTCCCGAGGGACAGGTTTAGTCCGCGCCTCAGAATGAAGAAGGTCTGTTGCGAGGCAGACGCCTCTGCGCAGGCTTCAGTAAAATTGACAGAAGGTTTCTTGGTAATCGGCACCGCGGTGCGTAGTATTGGCGGGATTGACATCAGATCCAACATCGGTAACAGAAATCAGGCAGAATGGGAGCAGAATGGGGCTATTCAACATGAGTCTAGCAGGCTTTCGGCCTTTGATGATACGTTTGCTTGCGTTACACTCTTTTAGTATGTCTTTCTATCAGGCCTTGGCTGTTGAGGATCTACTCCGGCCCAAACATGGCACGCAATAAAACGAACTCGATGTTTCGAGCTCAACCCACACTATATACTTTCCCTACTTCTACAAGTTGTCTCCTGTGATGTCCATGGACTCTTGAGTCCGTCTACTTTTCGACAGCACCATATTCCCTCCTCTCCCTCTCAACCTCATTCTTATACTCAACCCAATCATTACTCCTCGGAAATGGCATATCCGGCATCTCAACCCCCAAAAACGCACAAAGAGACTCCCACCCGTCTCCAGGTCTGAACTCGAGAAACTTCCGCCCATCTGTCTTCAAAGCCCTCACTTCCTCGTGGTGTTTCTCAAAGTACGTCTCCCCATTCTTTTCAAAGTCGTTGTCCCAGCAGACAGAGTGATACGCGTCCACTAACCCCTCCATCGGCGACTTTCGGTGCTTGTCCCGGTTGGAGTGTGCGTGGATCAAGGTATCGCGCATCGAGGAAGCCCAGGGTTCGAAGGGGCGGGTTGTGTGGATTATGGGGGTTGAAGGGTATGCTTCTGCGAGGGGGATTGGGAAGAGAGAGGGGGGAAAGTCGGAGACGGCGGAGTAGGAGGAGAGGAGGGCGTGCCATTGGGGAGTGGACCAGGGATTGCGAGGGTTGGAGGTGGGGAGGTTGTCGTTTATGGCGGATATCCAGAGGTCTTGGTGGGTGTTTTTGGCGACTTCGCGCATGTGATAGACGGGGGAGATGGCGAGGATCGCGAGGGCGTCTGCTAGGGCTGGGGGGTGTTAGGGTGGTTTGGTGAAGGGGGATCATGGAATGGAGGGGGAGGGGGGAGGGGGGAGGGGGAAGGTACATTATGTGCCTGTTCTGGGGAGACCCAGGACGAGGACTTTCATCTCAGACATTGCTGGCAAGTTGTCAATTGTGGTAGATCTTGCTCAGGGCGGATGGGTTCTTGATGATGGTGCGATGGGCGGGCGCTCATTTGGTGAGTGAGCTGACCACAGCGATTTAAAGCATTCGAATGGTCAAAGGCAGGAAGGACTGAGGTGCAGACTTTGAAGTTGCGATACCCCATGTTCCCTACCTCGACACAGAGGATCGACTGTGTCCGAGATGTTCCGCGATACACGGCCACGGGGCTGGCTCGGATAGGAAGCTGATTCGGAGCGGGTCGGATCGGAGATGCCGTGAGGATTCGGGGCCCGGTCGCGATTCCACTTTTTGCGGGATTGCGGTGTTGCTTCACGGAGCGTGGAAATAGGATCAACCACATGCCGACCGTCGCCTAAGCTAAATTGGACAGAGTGTGACGCCTATTTAAAGGATTTCGTAGCCATAATTTATGAGATTACTGGGCAGGCAAACATGCAAGCAACAAGCTGCCGGGATTGGCGCCGCTTACTATCGTTCTAATCCAACATAAGGTGGGAAGAACCGAGACCATAAGACTTGGGCTTCCACTATAAGCAACGACTAGTCATTAAAGACTTCGTACTACAGGGCTCCGTTTTACTCATCATCACCACTTCCAAAGTATTCACCCTCTAATACACAAGCGACGATGAGTAAACCGGACATGTCACTGGTAGAGAAGAGTCCCTGCTTCCGACAGGTATCGATCACACTGTGGAGCCTAGTATAATCCTAGAAAATTCCGCTTCGATATCTCGCGTTACAGAAAATGCCTAGTTTGGCTTGCGGGACATTATCCCAGTCAAGTACTCGTTGCTTTGGAAGAGGCGCATACTGCCCCTTGTTCCTCGGTTTTATATTACTTGGTATACTGTATTTGGTCATTTGTGGGCAGGAGGTACCGATAAATGTGCAAAAGCGACCGATCCACTTTGACGCAAAAGTTTGGTTGATTTTTTCAATCAGCGATATGGAATGAAACCAAGGTCTTGATCAAAACACGTAATGAATATTTGCCTGACATGGCAGCTTGAGGGTACAAATAGAAGTCAGTTTTAGTTTCGCTACGGACCAGGCTATTACACTTGAATGTGTATAGTGCAAGGAAAACAATACAAAGTTCGCATATAGAACTTGATGAACGTTTCCACTAAGAGTGATCGAGACTTGAACAAGAAAACCACTGCACCCTACTTCACATAGGCTTGTCATGAACATGTCAAAAATAAAAGACCGCGCGAAGTCGCATTAGGGAGACCAACAATCAAAGTTCCATCCAAGTAAAACTTTCCGAACACGAATCTCAGACCAAGGGTTCGCCCCTTCATCAGCTAACTTTACGCCTTCGTCATCCGCCCACCGTGATTTGCCTTTCGGCCCTGCAGGCTGCGTTCGTCTCTCCTTTTCTCACCATCGCAAACTCTACCACCAAAGTTCGCCTCCTGCCGGACACTTGACAGAGTGTAAGCTTGGGTATGTCCTTCCCAAGGGTCCGTCTGGAAGGGCAAGAAGTCTTTCTCAACTGGAGTATGATAGTTTGGAGTTTGTCGATTGACGAGTTGAGTTCTTCGTGAGATCCTTCGACCATGAGCTAGCTGCTAGACTAGATATCTTTAGCTTTCCAAAGAAGGACTGATAATGTCATAAAGCCCCATCGCCATGGAACGCTTCCCGTATCGTAAGTAAGGTCACCGAAAGAGGAACGGGACGTAAGTATCTTGGCGGTTTGGCTTATTTATCTATTCTTTTCTGTGTTGCATCCGACAGGAGCCACACTCATCATCCATTCCTTCAAGCAATGTACCGAGGCAAGGTTCGCCGCTTGTAAATGTGTGATGAACCAGTTCCTCTCCAATCAGAACGCATCCGGGAATAAGCTTATTCGATGAGGAGCGAATCGCATTCGGAATGTGTGTCTTGAGGTCAAAGCAAATGCCCTGTCACCTACCTATTCCACCAATCTTCTTCATAGCGTGAGCCACGAATCACAAACTCATTCCACGCAAACAATCTGCCGTATACCCTAGAAACCCGCTCGCCCCTCGAGCGAAGTGATTTGGACCCAGAGGACGTCAGGGATTTGTTGATTTCGGGGCCTATTGTGTGTGAGTCTGATCTGGCGAACGACAAGACATGCTCTAGACATCCATTCTGGGAAATATTCGGCTTGAAAAAAGATCAAGAGAAGTAAGCCATCAGCAGAACCTTCTTAACCAGGTATGGAGATTGTGGGATGATGCAGCTCAGAGACTCCCGTGCAGAGTCAAACTTCTTGGGCATTGGGGTCCGGATTACCAAGGGTCCGGACCTTTGAGACCATAAGCTACACCGGATTTCTAGCCCAGCGGCCCTTCAGACCGAGAAGGTTCTGAGGGAATCAGATGTGACGAATCCGCGGTCCAAGCCAAGTAGACTCCTGCCTCGGTGGTTCGCCATTCTTGGGCTCGTGAACCAGCCAAGTTGGGGGTACAGCGCGCCGCCGTATTCTGTTTGAGAACATCGGACATTGAACGAGGACTGGACATCGAGTGAGAGGTGCCAGCTGTCTCGCACGCATCCCCTCCCGCTCCGAAGACCACCCGGTGGCCCTCGATCATTTGGCCCCCTGGCATCCACAAATCCTGTTGCCATCCGACGAACTGACCCGGGGGAAGGACCATTTGATGCCACCACCACGATAATGACAGATTCAGTCATTCATGTCGATGTCGGGATAACCCAACTCATCCTCAGCCACCCCCGTCCCAGAAACAAATTGGTGACAGGGTTGCAGCTTCATAGTCTTAGCCAGACGCATAGCCGCGTCTGGCACGGACCTATGCAGAGGAAACCTGCGGCGAAATGACATATGGCAGACATTTGTCAACTGTGTCACTGTCTCAGATGGGCACAGAATGCTGAGTCGAATCCGAATGCGCGGCTTTTGATTGCTTGGCACTCGCCGAGATCGTTGCCACAGTCATTAGGCCATTGGTGTGCTAAGACGTCGTGGAGTCTCTCATTGAGACGTGAACGCACGATGACACTCATCGCCGCACTAGCGGCTGCCAAACAGGCGACAGACCAGTCTCTGTAAGATGTCTGTCTGGCGCTACTTCGCCTAGCTAGGCATTTTACACGCATACTGCTAACATATCATATGCAGACGGAACACCCCGAGGTGCAGCTGTGTGCTAGCGTTCCCACACTACTTTCTTGAAGTTCTGCAGGAGTGAAGTCTACTCAGTCTGCGCCACAACTCAGTCTACTGAATATGTGAACCATACAGTAAGCTTATAGCGTTAGTCTGGAGAAAATATGCGGGCTAAGGGGCGCGGCAAGTCAGTAAGTTCGCCAAGACCAGAAGCCAGATATCGAAGCCTCAGCTCGCAATGCTACCTCGGAGCCATCATATTTGTCGAATGAAGACCATTTGGCATAAGCTCTTGACAAATTCAGTGGAACAGAACTGATAATTTGTGCCATCTGAAATGCTCCGGCAGGTATCGCAGCTTGCGGCGATCACAACATGGTCTAGGCGTCGTGAACGCACATACCATTGGAAATGAATAGCACTGCTGCCGAAGGATGAAAATAGAAGGGATCACCCTTTCGGGTTCAGGGTTGTCATGCAGACTGAATGTGAAAATCTGTCACTATTGCCCGGGTTGAGGAACTGACGCTTTTAGCTAGGTCCGTGAATCCACATTTCGTTTCGTCTGACCGCAAGAGCCGTGATCTTTGTTCGACGGTCGAACCACGCTGCATGGCGTGCCGTCTGCGCGCGTTTCAAGGGTTTTCTCCTCGGCCGCGACTACGCCCAGCCAGACGAGACTTCCGCAGCGTCAATTGCAACAGCTTGGGCAAGTACCGACATTTTCTGACGATGGCAACTGTGAGAGGAGTTGGTTTTGCGCACCGCGTGTCTGGGTACTGAGAATGCAGACTGATGAGTCGTACGGTGTTCCATGCCTCTTGGTCTGAGGCTGCAATGGCTCGGATGAAGTCTCGGTGATAGGAAGAAAAAGGGCAAGTTGACTTGCTGTCGATATCTCGAAGTTGGTATATTAAGACGGTGGATTTCCTGGTCTAGGTCAAGTTTCCTTACATCTCATCAGCATCAACTCTTCCCAGCTTCTAACAATCTTCCAACACCACCCCGATCAATCTTTACCCTTCGCTTTAAAAGAAATCAAGTCTTCACTTACCGAACAATCACAATGCATTTCACCAACGTCTTCGTCCAGGCCCTGCTTGCCGGTTCCGCCATTGCAGCTCCCGCTTCTCTCGTCAGCAAGCGCCAACTTCAGACCATCCAGGGTGCCTTGACCAGCGTCCAGGACTCTCTTACCGGGCTCGACACCGCCGTCAAGGTAAATAGAAAAGACATGATCATTCTTCAGTGGACGAAGCTAACCTGCTCCTGTACAGGCTCTCAACGCCGCGGATCCCAACACCGCCGCCAACCTGCTTGATGCTTCCAACAAGGTCCAGACCTCGCTGAAGCAAGGCACCACGCAAATCCAGGGTGCTCAGGAACTCTCCCTCACCGATGCCCTCACCCTTCAACAGTCAGCTGGTGGCTTGACCACCGCTGTCCAGACCTCTGTCGATGACTTGGTCGCCAAGAAGCCTGAGCTTGACAAGCTTGGCGCCACCTCCATCGCTGTTGACCAGCTCAAGCAGCAGAAGGCGACTGCTGGCGACTTCAGCACCGCCATCGTTTCCAAGGTCCCCGCCATCGGTCAGGGCATCGCTCAGCAGTCCGTCGATCAGGTAACTCAGTCCCTGGATGGCGGTATCCAGAAGCTCGGTGGTGATGCCGCTGGTGGTGCCGCGCCTGCTGCTCCCGCCGCGCCTGCCGCTCCCGCCGCCCCTGCTGGCGCACAGGAGCAGTTCCACGCTGAGGTCATGGCCTGAACAGCGCGGTTCTAAAAGTAGGAAGATGGGGTAGGATCCAATCATGGGGATCTGATGATTATATGAAGATTATTAGCGAGTTTCCTCTTATGTAGTGTGTTGATAGCTGGAGACAGAATGGTTAGCTGAGCTGCCGGAGCAGCTGCGCTGCAGAGTCTGTTCTGTTCAATTGAACTTGAATTATCACACCCAATGTGCCTCTTGACAAGCGATGTTGACTTCGAAACTGGAATCGGTAGGATCCACCAATAGTTGGTGAGTGTAAAGTCCTTAGAGCTGGAGATTTTGGCCGCAGCCGTTGTCATTCAGATTCGTCCGAGTCTCGCAACATCAGGCTGTGCTGAGGCGAGCCCTTTGAATTGCCTATCGAACCTGTCCGGTTTCGTGACTCCGCGATGCGGGCCATATCAAAGACAATTTCCACCATCAACGCGACTGTCATTGATGGGTTGTGGACAGGTTTGACTGGTACCACGGTTCTCATCGTTACCATGACATCGTCAATCCAGCTTGCTTGACTAGGTGGAAAACTTTCGTTGAGCTGCGCGACGGCATCAAGGCCGTCCCGGACGTTCCAATTCGGCAACGCGCGGCATGCTCGGGGCCAGTCTTGCAAGGCGCCTTGGTTGTCCAATGCCGCTTCGAGATAGATACCAATGTATCTGCCGTTTTCACGTCCGGAACCCCTTTTCTTGAAGACGAGGAGGCCGCGGCCCCTTTCATCGAAGATATTCTGGCGAGACATGGCCATCATACTTGTTTGTTCATTCAGAGCCTCGGGGGGGTCTGCTGCATAAAGACGATAGCCAGAAAGGCCACGCGGGAATACGACGAAGCAAAAGACCCTAGGCCCTTTCTCTCCCATTCGCTCGAGAGGTCCAAATACCCGTCTCGAGAGGTATTCTCGGTCCTCCTTGCATAGCATAGAGATCATGATATTCGTTGAATCTTCGGGGGCGAAATTGGAGGACCAGTGATCAGGATAAGCGGTGTTTTTTTCATACCAGGGAAGAAGGGATCTTGTCGAAGCCGAACTCAGCGGTATCCATGGAGCAGGCAAGGATACTCGAGTGTACTGGTGCCGGTAGTCGCTGACGTGGGATGATAATTGTAGGCACACGGAGCTACTCATATGCTCCCCAGTCGTGTTACAGTTCAAAACACCCAGCACAAATGATGGGCATAAAGTCTGGACCAGTGGCAAAGATATTGAAAGACCGGCATTGGTCATAGTGAAAAACGGCGGGATCGTTGCCATTGGAGCTGCCAGACGGGACCAGCGGCCGATATTCGTTGAATCAGCGAAGAGCACAGGCGAAGTCGCCAAGGGTGCCGTCATAGAAAGGGTCGGGATGTCGCAGACGAAGACGCTCTGGTCATCGGAGATCTTGATTATCTCTTCCTGCAGCCTTAGAAATGCTTTATCGCCCTCTCCATATAGAAGTGGCATATTGACACCGAAGAGACCGAGGAGACAATATGCTTGGTCTTCGGGGCGAGTTGTGACACGGCCAGCGGCCCAAGACATGATTTTCGCAATGCTGAAGTCGGAAGGGAGTGCGTTACCTAGAAGACAACTCTTATCAATTCCGGTTGCTTGGTGAATCGTGTCAAGCAATGTTATTATGGTTCCAATGAAACTCCAATCCTGGTCGTAGAAGTTGATGTCTAGGGGAGCAACAAGCTCCTGTAAAGTCCAGCCACGAGCAAACCATCTGCTGTTGAGGAACTGAGTAACCCGATCGCGATAGTCCGGAGCGCTGCTTGAAGCTAACACGTCGGCCATGTAAACGTAGCATACTGCCGCTTTTCGGTACCAGGCAAACATGGAATTGATAGCTTCGGATAACTCGGCGGAGCTGCGCTTGTCAATGCAGTTGGTGTCTGCCCAGGCGTGGGAGTATCCGTCCTGCAAGGCCAAACGGCAGAACGATTCGATTTTGAGAAAGCACTTCTTCTTTGCCCTGATATCATGGTGATCCCATTCTTGGAACGACACTTCTCCATCTTCCCAGGTGTGGGAAAGAATGGCGTATGGTGGGATGCGATCACGGTCAATGAACTCTTCGAGCTGCAACGTCGCTGTATTGATCAGACGCATGGCGGACTGTTTAGGGGCGCTGAGAAGAGCAGCTCAGCTCCCAATGTCTGAGCCTCGGTCTGATAATCTCGAATGTCACGATGAGGCTTCATGGCGAAGAAGCTTTGTGTGGTTGGAATGAGGGGTATCCCATGTAACCAGGCAGTTGGGAGACCCTGGTCACTTCCATGGCACCAACAGTGAGATGACTAAGCGGCAAGAGCGTGTTAATCTCACCTCGGTAGGAAAGTCCTCATGAGCCTCATACGATCTTGCACTCTAAGGAAGCATCAACCAATTCCCCTTTCCGCGTGTTGACAAACACCTCCGCCGTCGATCAAGCAAGTGCCCAAGATCGATCTTCAAGAGCCGGTGCAACCGTTTTGATCGCGCCTGAAGAAGCTCTTACTTGCCTTTGTTGGACGAGGATAGAAGTTTCTCAGGATTGCCACAGGATTCATCCTGACATCATTCCTTTCGCCGGCGGAGCCTCTGCTCCTGACTTCCCAATGTCACCACCCGATATCTCTCATCCAGCAACTGATGCCTCGGACCTTCCATTTGCCTTCCTTAGTCGTGGGTCCTCATCAATCGGCCTGGTGCAATCAGTCACCAGTGCGGCTTTCCGTTGGAAGTCCCGGAAAGTCATGATCGTCTGCCCCCGAAGGCTTAGCGACGTGATGCCTTGCTATCCAATTTGATTTATTGCTCAGCTAACCTCATCTGATGGAGGATAGATGTGGGAGACAACTCTGATGGTCCTGTTTTCGTTGCACGATCTTTCACTAAACGAGACACGTCTCTTTGCTCCTTTCGTAGAAGTCTACGATCATTCTGGTTTCTGACAACCATGGATGAGAAAGCAGCCTCTGGGGCCGACGGTCCCCCTGATCCGACACATCCGCGCACCAGTGCCATCGACACTGAATATCACTACCCTCACCGAAGCGACCCTGCAGCGTTTGGTCGCCATAGCTTACAAATTATCCAACAGCAAAAGCCTACTTCGAGGCCGCCTCCCGACGGTCAACGACAATACGGGGTCACTCCCAATACAAGAGATGAAGACATCCCGCATGAGAAGAGATCGCGTATGACGAATCTGCCAGACATCGACACATCCCGCCGCCGCCCAGCATCAGCACCACACCCCCAACCGCCCTCCCCACGCTCCCCAAAGAACTGCATCACCCGACCAAGTCATGACTTCAACTGCCACTACGATGGCCCCTTCAGCCGTCCAAGTCCCGCCATGACCCGGCGAAGCACTCACTCACCCACCCGGCCATTTCCGGAGCCAGCTACTTCACCCCACCCCGACACGGCCCCCGGCCCCTCTGAAACCCCTCACCGGACCCTCCCGGCCTTCCACCCATCTCCTCCACCTCTAAACTACACCCTCCGCACCCGCAAAGTAGCAATCACCCTCTTCTGGACCCTCATCCTCATCGACTCCATCGCCATGCCGATAGCACTCTACTTCAGCCTCTGGTACGGCGTCGGCCCAGGCACAAACACCCCCACCGAAAAACGGGAGAAACTCTCCCCCAACGCCGTCTTCTCCATCGTCACCGCCGCAGTCGGTGGCGCCAGCATCGTCGAGTACTTTGTGCGCTTCTGGCGGCTTTGGTGTAAGGGTAGCACGTGTCGTGTAATTGGGGCGCATAGGTGGTATCTAGACTGGTTTCACTGGAACTTTTCGTTAGCGTGGATCATCATCATGATTGAGCTCATCGTGTAAGTTATGCCCCTCCCGCCTATATGTAATGAAGTTTCACACCGACGTATTGATACCATAAAGAGGCACAATCCCAAAGAACCCCCCATCTGCCTCCTCTCCCTCCCAGCCCCAACAATGCTCCTCACCTTCGGCACCCAACTCCTCCTCATCGACGTCCTCCGCGCCCTCCACATCCCCTCCCCCATCCGCATCTCCTCCATCCCCCGACACGCACAGCTCCGACCGGGGATCTACTCCCTCATAGAAGACATCTGCGCCGTCGACGGGTCCGGCGGGACCGAATTCCGCGTGGCGCTCGATAAGCGGTATGAAGCGAGCCATGTCTTTCGCGCAATGCTGAGGAGGGTGGGTTTGTTCTGGGCTGTTGGTGCCGAGGGGTGTGCTGTGGTTTGTATGGTATTGGTGTTTACTTTGAGGGACGGGGAGGTTGGGTATGTGGTTGGTTGGAGTTTGCCGTTTGCGTGGGCTGGGGTTTGGACGGGCGCGACGTTTTGGTATGTTAAGAGGGAGTTGAAGAGGGAGGTAAAGGTGTGGACGGACGAGATTGCGAGGAAGGGGGTCGCGGGGTTCATGTCCATGGCGTCGGTCTGATGGACTTATTCGTTATATCCCGGGTTCGCATAGACAAGCTACGGAAACAAACCGTGGCCCTGAGGCGTACGAAACATTGATGCTTGGAGATTTATCTTGATTTTTACTTTCGTCCATGTCTATGCTTCCATGGGGAATTACCCCCGCCACTCCCAAAACGCCTCGTTCACGGCTTAAAGGTCCTCTGAGACGCCGTTTTCTTCTCCCAATACATACATGCAAAGGTCTACTCCTCGAGACCCCAAGGCTGCCCCGAAGAAACCGTATAATACAGAAAAAAGGAAAAGAAAAAGGCATTCGTCCAATTACACATAGGGCCGCCCTCCCACACACGACACGACTACCGCTTCCGCGTGTCGCGACCCTTCTTTTTACTCTTCTTCTTATCCTTGGGCAGGTCAAGCACCGTGCCCTTGAGCTGCTCCGCCATCGTCCGGAGCATGTACTCGTCCACAGTGTATACCCTTTCGCCCCACGCGTTGTTTTCAATCTCTGCTGCCTCATCCGGGGCAACGGACTCCGAGAACCGGCCTAGTCCCGAAGGTCCGGGCCCGCCGCCACCGCCTGGTTGGCCGGCAACGTCCTCCCGCGGCGTGCCTTGGCGGGTACTAGAGGCACCGGAGGGTGCACCGCTCTTTTCATTGAACTCGGCGTCGTCGTCTTGGATTTCCTTCTCGGCGGCCTTGGCGGCTTCCACGTCTTCCTTGTCTTCAGCCTGCTTAAGGTCCTCAGCCACGGTTCGTGACGGTCCACTATCTCCTCCACCCAGGAGACGGTCCATGGCGGCATTAGCGGCATCATCGACCAAGTCTGTTCCCTCGGTACCGAGCACATCGCGGACGGAAAGCTTGTTGAAGTAGTCCGTGGTGAAACTGCCCTCTTGGATAACCACGTCGTCCAGCATCTGCTTCTGTGACGCCTTGCGCAAGATGTTGGCCTCAATTGTGTGCTCGCTGACGAGTCGGTAGATGTGAACGTCTCGAGTTTGACCGATACGATGGCATCGATCTTGGCATTGCTTGTCCATGGCTGGGTTCCAGTCTTGGTCGTAGAAGATGACGGTATCGGCCCCAGTAAGGTTGATGCCCAATCCACCGGAACGCGTCGACAAGATGAAGCACAAGATGCGTGGGTCATGATTGAACCTGTCCGTGAGAATCTGTCGCTGCTCGATCTTTGTCTGTCCATCAAGCCGAAGATATTTGTGACCGTGAATATTGAGGAACTGCTCGAGGATATCCAGGACCTTGGTCATCTGTGTAAAGATCAAGGCACGATGGCCGCCGGCCTGGAGTTTGCGAAGAAGCTTATCCAAGGCTTGAAGCTTTCCGCAGTCGTATTGCAATAGTCGCTTGTCCGGGAACTGGATGCTGTGACGCATCCGAGACTCGTGCCATGGGTCGATTGGTGGTTGCTTGGGCATGAAAGGAGCCCACCGGACGGGCGCCGAGAGTTTGAGGTCCTCGTCCGTGAAGGCCTGCGCCGCCTTTCTTCCCAAAATCACCTCGTTCATGTCGCGGGTGATAACAGCGGGCGTGACACATGTAAACTTCTGGATGAGGGTCTGCATGGAATCGGCTCGCTCATCGGATGTGTGGATGACAGCACGGAGAAAGTCAGAGTCTTCCGCGAACCAGTTCAAGATCTGATTAGGAACTCTTGGCTTGGGTTTCCGGGGTCGACCGTCTAATCCGAGCGTCAGGAAATCAATCAGACGCTTGCCATAGATGGGCCGACGTTGGCCGCGGAGAGCGTTCAGGTACACGCTGTGCTGCAATTCCTCGAAGCGGCGCCAGCGAGCCAGGCTATCCAGATACACAATGTTCGACTCAACTGATGAAGGGTCGAGATTGGTGCGAGCCAGGTGGGCTCTGGTATTCTGTGCCTCTCTCAGTTCCATCAGAACCCTGTGAAGGCTGAGTTGCGAAATGCGCTCCGCTGTCGTGTTGGACATGTTCTCGTGTTGTGTGGGAATCATGTTCAGAACCCCCAGGCTAACAATAGACATTGGCTCGACTGCAAGTAAAGACCGGTGCAGGAACTGATCGGTAACCTGGAAGTCTGCCGGAACGGACTTCTGCATCCTGAAAGACGTCATGATGGGGCGATCCACAAACAGGTCAGGATGGTTGCACACTTTTCGCAATTGCATCAGGCAGTTAATGATGGAAAGGTAGTTGCCAGAGGACAGCGTCTCTCGGGTATCTGTGCGAGCCAAGAAGCCATCGTACAATTCGCGCTGACGTTTCGACAGGCGACAAAACTCGACGTGCTCGTACTTGGCCGGCATCTGCTTTTCGACGTCGGCCTTGAGTCTTCGTAGTAGATATGGCCGCAGGACCTTATGTAACTTGGAAATGATCGCTCGCGCTTCTTCGTCCATCGTCTCGCGACCATTTTCCAGGATTTGAGACTCTGGCTTGTGGAACCAGTCGTGGAACTCTTGCAAGTCGGCGAAGCCCCCTTCACCATTTTCGGCTGGCATAAGGAAGAACAGCAATGACCACAATTCGGTAAGGTTGTTCTGAAGTGGGGTGCCTGTAAGTAGAAGCCTGGCCCGAGTGTTGAAACCGAGTAGCGTCTGCCACCGCTGGGACTTGAAGTTCTTGATATTGTGAGCCTCGTCGAGAATCATGTAGTGCCACCTCCGGCGTTTGAAGACCTGCTGGTCTTGGATGACAAGCTGGTAAGATGTAATGCAGACGTTCCACACGTCGTCATTATTCCACCCTTGTCGCTTGCGTTTTCTCTCCTCTTGAGTACCGTAGTAGGAGAGAATCTTAAAGCCGGGGCACCATTTCTTGAATTCCATCTCCCAGTTGAGCATGACACTCGTTGGGACGATAACCAAATGTGGTCCCCAAACCTCATGGTGGCAAGCAAGATGGGCAAGTAGTGAAATGGTCTGAATAGTTTTGCCAAGACCCATCTCATCGGCGAGAATGCCATTGGTATTGTTGGCGTACAGTCCTGCCAGCCAGTCGAGTCCATGGTGCTGATATTCACGCAGAGTACCACGGAGTAAAAATGGGATCTGTGTCTGTTGTGAATTTGGATTCGGTGAGGCCGATCGACTGACAACATCCTTTGCCCCTGGGGTTGCCAAAGACATTGTATCGACATCTGAAGGCTTTGTGTCGGACGTAGGAGGTGAGTGGCTTTGTTCTGGACTTGGCGGAACGGTGATGATGTCGGTATCGGGACTGACACGTTTTGTTGAGATAAGGGCGTTGGTAGATGCCGGGGGGGTTGTTGGTGCCTCTGGTAATTCTAATGGCGCATCCGCCATTTCAGTATCAGCAGATTCAACTACCTCAAGTGTGCCGTCGGCGTTGTCGGGAGCCTCTACACTCTTGGCTGTTGGTTCACTGTCCACACCATTGACCAAGGCCTCATCTGGCTTGGGCGACTGCGGGGGAATAGCGGTGGGCTGGTCCTGAGAGGCTGCAATTTCGATACCATCGGCCTGGTCGCCAACAGCTTCTTTCGTACTCAGTGACTCAGTAGCTTGTACTTCTGTGTCAACCTCCATCTCGTCGCCGTCCAAGAAAATACCAGGGTGTTGGATCAGAGACACTTCATCGTCATCTTCATCCTCCACAATTTCGTTCCTGAAGTTCGATGATGCCTCAGCCTGCGGAGATGCGCCATCCGCCACCAAGGCTGCAGTACTCTCATGTGGCTCCGCATCGTCAAGCGGCGCATCGTTTTTGATTTTCTTCAGCTCGGATTTCCCAAAGAGCATGCCCAACAATCCAGCTGGTTCCTCATCTCCGTCTTCCTCTTCCGACTCTTCATCCGCAACAGAGCCATCATCGCTGTCGTCCATATCGGTGGATCCCATATCATCATCCATATCGACTGACTCGTCGCTGGTGTCTTCTCCGGGGCTGGTTGCAACAACCTTTGAGTCCGCCTCGGACTCCACGCCATTGGTGAGTTTGTTTTCGGCTTGCTCATCGGGAGGTAGCTCCGGTAGGTTGGCGTATTTGGCACGAAGCTGTTCCATAGTGAGCTTCTCGTCGCCAGCATCGCCAGTGTGATCTTCGCTCGTGTCTTCCTCCTCTGAGGATGACATGACATCGTCGTCGTCATTACCGGAGTCATCATCATCGGCGTCTACCGACATGGCTTGACTATTCTCGAGATCGCTGTCGAGATCGTTAAGGTCTTCGTCATTGTCGTCGTCGTCGTCGAGATCATCCTCGTCGGATATGTCCGAGTCCGCTTGCGTTCTTCTTGCTTGCAGCTTCTGTTCTGACAGATTCACTGCCTCCTGAAGCGCAGCCTTGACTCGCCGCTGTTCCTCCGCTTCCCATTCTTGGATCCTCCGCCTGTTAATCTCGTAGCGAACATTCTCCCAGGTTCCAAACATGCTTTTGACAACCACTCGGTACCGCCCAATCCATACATAGCGTGCTTCGGCTTCAAGCTCCTCTGCTGACTTTGGTTGGCGTCGGAGCCAAGCGTCCTTGCAAGCTTCGGCAATCCTCTTGGCCTGCGCTCGGTGTCTTTGCTGCTCTGCAACCATGAGCTTGCGGAAGTTGGTGACAGCCTTGGCCATGTGGTCTGCATGAGCCCATTGCCGCGGAGGTTCCTCTTCCGCCTCGGGGACAAATAGAGTGCAGCGCTCTTGTGAAAGAATACCGCCGGGCTCCACAGCCTCTTCGATGCGCAAGACAATCTGGGCATCCTTCTGGGCCATCTCGTCCGTGTAACTAGGGCCCTCTTCTGGGACGTACATGCCGCCATCCTCAACAGGTATTGCCTGCGCCTTTTCCCAGTATTCCTCAAAGTTGGGGCCAATCCTTAACCGCTTGCTGACTTGTCCCGGGTGTACGACGGGTAGCTCGGTCGCGCGCACGCGTAGCTTAATTCGCGTGCGGTTTGGGCTACCCGCCGTAGCTCTTGCGGCATCTTCGTCAATGGAGCTACGGCGGCCCCGCCTTGTCCGTGTCGACTGCCTAGTCGGTTGAGCAGATGGGGATGGGCTTCGCTTGCGCGTGGATCGGGAGGTAGATTTGGTCTCGTTCGCAGTCGACTTTCGGGTGGTGCTCTTGGGCGGAGGCGGCGCAGGCTTTGCTGTGGAAGGTTTTCGCGAGGGAGTCTTGGACTTGGAGGTTCCGTTCGGCGTCGGGGTCGCTGCGTGGCCGTTGGTGGAAGCATACTTGTTCTTGGAGGGCGGACTGCTGTTAAGGGCTCCTCTCGTCATCCGCTTGCCGGATGGCGGATGGAACTCGAGGGGGATCGTGTTAATTCGACCGGACTTGCGTCTACCATTGTCGATGAAGGAGGTCGGGCCCTCGGCGGTGATCTTCTTCCATGGCGGGGAGATTTGCTTCTTTTTCTGGCCGGATCCAGGCGCAGATGGCGTGGATACGCGACGTCGCTTCGAAGGGCGTTGCTCATCATCAATGTCGGAGGAAGGCGCGGGAGGAGGAGGCGAGGGCGATGGTGTTGATGGAGATAATGGTGATGTCGGTGATGGTGAGCGGAGGGGTAGGCCGATGAAGTCGTTGCCGTTGGGGGTCAGTTGGCCTTCGAAATCGTCGGATCCAAGGGATTCAAGGGGTGATGAGGGCGGATCGGTATCATATTGAGGTATAGTCGCGGTTTGTTCGTCGCGTTGGGAATCGATGACCTCGTTGGTGGGATGCGCAGGGTCGGGCGACGCGGTCTTGTTCATAATAGCAACGGGGGGCGGACGCGAGATGGGGCCGTGATCTCAACGGGGCCGGCATCTGAAGCGTCAAAATTAATGTCTATGGAATGGTGTATGCTCAGAGAATTCTAGTTTCGAGTTTGAACATGATGACACGTCTTGGTGGCCGGCTGCGTTGGAAAAAGGGTGCAAAACCAGCGTCACCAGCAAAAAGTTTGATGATAGATTTTTTTGCAAAGATGCAGCTCCGGCCTTGCCTGGGCTAGCCGAAAAGAGAACGTTGGTAGGCACTTGGCCTCAGACCCTCAGACTCGGGGCCGTAGGGGGCGTACTAAGGGCGTAAAGGCCGTTCGGGTGGTGACGGCGGACGACTTGATGGAAGACGCTGTGAGGTGCAGGCAGCTACACACCACTGTGACTCGAACCACCAATGAACGACGGCCAGTGTTTGGGGGGGACTTGCTCCCTTGAATCAGTGGCCACACAGCTATGGGTGACAGGAGTCAGAGCAATTCTATCCAACCAGAGACCCGCATTCGATCAATGTACCCCACTTCTGCCTTTGGCTGGCGCGCACCTCAAAAAAGTAACCATTTCTGGACTTACGCGCCTCAGGCATGAATTGCATCCGGACCAGCCAACCACAGTCGAGGGATTTGGCTAGCAATCAATCAATCCATCGAAGCTTCGGCTCTGACCTGCGACGACATCACATCCAAAATAACCAAGCAATTGGGTCGCATCGGAACCACAACCTCGGCCACGGTATGCTGCCTCAACCCCTCAATTGACTCGCAAATCATCGTGACGATCTAACCCGCCTCTCCCGCAGATGCTGTCCCAACGATTTGCGCGGGCCTCGACGGTCCGCGGCGCTGTCCAGGCTGCCCGACGAACCCCGATTGTCCAGCAACGTACCTTCTTCCCTCCTCAGTTCAACGACCGCAAGGTTCTCGAGGAGAAGTACCCCGAGTACCCGACTCTGTCTGATGCGGAGGATCCCAACATGGTCAGTGACGCGGCAATTGGTGACGGCGAGAGAGGGGCTCGGTAGCCGTGGCTAACTTGGAGACGGATAGAACGGCGGATACATCAACCCTCCCTTCATCAAGAGACAGTTCCGCGATCCCCACGGCGACTGGTGGGACAAGCAAGAGCGCCGCAACTTTGGCGAGCCCGTTCACGAAGACCACGACTTGCTCGGCATGTTCTCCCCCTTCGAGTACACCTGGACCACCACCGGCAAGGGCCTGGCCCAGATTGGCGCCTTCATCGTTGTTTTCCTCGGTGTCTGCAGTGTCGTCAAGGCCAGCTACCCTGACAAGGCTTCATACCCGAGAGAATTCCCCGACGGACTCGAGAGGGAGCTGGGAGGTGCAAGCGCTCTGCGGGTAGGTTCTGACGCAACTAACGAGATAAAAACTTCGAAACTAATATCATCATAGGCGAGAAAGGCTGGTGATGCTGACCCATGAAAAGTGTGAAATGTCGGGGGTTGCGATTAGTGACGCATGTGTGTATTTTAGAGCAGAAGAAGAAATCCCTTGGGAACCCCACCAGTAACAAGTTCATATGTCTTCAGCCAATGTCCCGACGAGAACCATTGGCAGTGATATAACAGGTGCTTTAATCATATCAATTCTAACCTGACGAATAGTCGCACCTTGCTGCCGCAAAGAAATCAGTTGTGGAAGGTCTCTCATCAGCAATGGCAGTATCGTGAGGTACCTAGCTAATCATCCGTCAATTCTTCAGGATGGCAAGTGCCCGGTTTCATGAGTACTAGCCACTTGAAGGAGGGTACCGAAGCAAAAACGCATGACAGTTCCTTCTTTCCGAGAGGCATCTCGGTTGCTACTTGCCCCTCTGGTGAAAGAGGTACGGCACCTTGCCAGGCCGAAAACTTCTTCTCTGTCCACCTTCAACAATAAACAGACTCGACGTCAGCAAAACAACCGCATTGTTCAGTGTTTCCAGCATACTAATCTCGATCATCGGACTTGACGTTTGTCGTACCCACCACCGCCATCTCCTACGTTCCTGCAAACAACAGAGTCTTCACTCGTCGTCAAGCTCGATTGCCGTGGGAAACCCCAACATGCACTACGAGAATTGGGATGTACTGCTGTTTCCCGGCGGTGGATCAGTGCCACTGAAGGAGTTCAGAACAGATTGCTCTGTCATCCCCGACTTTGGTCAGTATTGGCGAGCTCTGCGGTGATGGGAATCTCTTTACTGACCAATGGACGCCATGACAGAATGCAAACCAGCACTTTGTTTGGGATCTTTTATCGGCCTGCCGGCTGTCCATGGCTTCGTCCCCAGTCTTCACCGCAACATGCCCCTCACGGTTTCCGTCTTTTCTTGGACAGTACCTCCAGTCAGCAACTCGAATCAAGACGCCAATCTCGTAGTTTTTGCAGCCCGAGTGTACATCGATGGGGATCTCGTCGCGTAAGAACATTTGCAGTCGATGTATTCGCGCATGGCTTCTAATGGACTACCAGTGAGGACGTGTGGAATCAAAATCAGCGAGCGCCTCTCACCATCACTCAAAGTCTGAGTAGGTCGACACAGTGTTCGATCCGTGAATCAGCTAGGAGAACATGCGTCTAAACTGCCTCTTTACAGAACCGAACAAACATGGTGACCGCGATGTAATCAGGTTCCCGGCGTTCAACGAGAGGTATCTGCAAGAAAACGGCTGGAATCCTGCCGCATCTCTTGGCCGCATCCAAATTATCATCACGGAAGCGTACCAGCGCGACCCGACGACTTTGTCCCTGGACCCAATCAAAAACATCGCTGCGTTTTCTTTCTGTCACGCTCCACTAGGTCGGTAGCAGCGAGTTACTCAGTCCGCTGTCTAGACTGCAGGCTGACCATCCTCAATGCAACAGAGACACTCGAGGAAGCTGCCATTGCCTGGCCGAACCGGCACATGTGGGAGAATGCCATGCTGGCTTATAGCTTTCCTTCCGCAGTCTATTCGACAAACCACAACTTGGCTTCTCAGCAAGGGCCTGCAAGACTCGTGATAGATCCGTCCCCACAGCCTTTATCTTCAACTCCAGCACCTGCAACCTTACCAGTCTTTCAAAAGACAGCAAACCCGCCACTCCGAGTTCATTCGACAGGCATTCATCATCAGCATGCTGGAGGAGAGTCCGAGGGTCGTGTTATCTGTCGAAATCCGTCACGCACCAGCTTCTTCCCCGTCGCAGCCAGCACAGTGCATCCATCTGTCGTACATCAAGATACCAGCATGCCTGCTCACGGCATTGGACCACTCAATCCCATGTTGTGGGGTGTCAGATATGCCGTAGGTCAGCTTTACCCAAGCGATTCTTCTACAGTAGGTCAACAAGAACAGGGTGCAGATTCCTCAATATCACTTGACGTTCCAACGTCTGCGATCCGCAGCTCTGCCACTTGTAAGCTTTCCCGTTTCTCACTATGTGTATGGGAATAAGCTGACTTTCGGCAGACGTCGACGATGCGAAGCCACAGGCTGCCCTGGCGGCGAAAAGGAGCATATCGGACTTTGTGTTGTCGATGTCTGACGGAAGAAATCCTCAAAGAAGGCACCACATTCCAATTCCCGCGATGGAGGTCAGGTCTCGCAAAGAGTCTCGGTCTGGGCACCATACCCTCGAGCCATTGACGACAACATCCCACAGAGCATCACGACACCGGGAGCTGTCGGACGCGAAAAGACTCCTAGCGCGCCTGGACAAACAGAACACGCCTGAGCCCACGTTCGCGTTGATCGATCCTGTCAATACTGTCAAACGCGCTCCGTCGTTGGGCACGCCATCAAAGAAACAGTTCGCGGCCGCGAAGAGTGTCCGGCGATCCGTGTCATTCAATCCAGTCATCAAGTATACAGAAAGTGAGCGGTCGCAACCTGCCACAAAGCCGAGCCAGTGTAAACGCGACTTCACACCTCTCGATGTTGCAGAAGCTATCGCCCAATCTGATCAAGGTCACTCTAGCCCCATCTTGTGATCACTGATTGCAGAGTCAGGAATCATCAGGCGCTGAGATAACAAAAGACATACACGTCAAGCATGACTAGTCTAACCAAGAGGACTCACTTGGTAGTAATGTTTTCTATCTAAATTCGATCAGGGGTTATGCTGTGCACCTTTGGACCGTGGGGTTATTTCCACGAAAGACATGGAGCTTTCGGCGAAACAACGATGTCAATCGCTTGTCGCAAGTAGCATTCTTTCATCACTCATAGCAGATGGAATTGAAGACAATCACTCGCATCTTGCCGCTGTTTCTTGGACAGCCAGCTTCACGCTGAGTCCGCTGTCAAGTACCGAGCCTCTAATGAACTAAGCTTATGCAAGGTTATTCAACAGCTTGCAAGTTGCTAGCCACAGCTCGGTCGATGGCTCGGGGAGAAATTCTTGGGTTATCCGGAGGTGGGGGAGCTTCGATCCACTTTAGGGCCGATTGAATGTCATCCATCCATTTCAACTTTTCAACCAGCTTCGCGGATTTTGAATTCCTGGATGGGTTTCCATTGTGTACGCTATCCTCATCGGCTTGGACTTTGTAAGGCCTGGATCATCGACCTGTTCATCCCATGAGCCGCTCCGTTCCGTGGATTGGCCTCGATTGTTGCTTCTGCATTCGCCTTCGCTGATTATTCCATGATTTCACGTCCAGATCTTGCAACTCTCCGTTGGACATCTCCTTTTTGCTTTGTTTTCCTCAAATTCTGTGACATGGTTGAGTTTGGCCATCCCCTGACTACCTTGGCTCAAGTTTCAACACAATAGCGAGGTGATGCGCCGGGCGTGCGTGAAGAGACTGACAACTTCGGGCATTCTGTGCTGGACGATGCCTCCCGAACCGAAAGCCGGGATGTAATAGTGCGAGCCGGGATGGGTTGCAAAGGTACCCCAGACCCCAGATCTCGCACTCCGCAAGTGACCCAATGTGACCTGCAATTCGTTGGTTTAGATGAACTAATGCAACTAATCGTCGTCAACATGTGCGGGGATTTGGGGAACTTGTTCATAGTGTGGGGTGTAAAGGAAATTGGCAGTGGAACGTCGGGATATCCGGTCTGCAGCTTGGACACAGTTGTTTTTGGGATTGTGGCAATGGTTAGCTTCAATGTCTATCGTGTATATGAGATCAAATGTCCTGCTCCATACTTTGTTCGCCCAGATGATTGATGTCCTGCAAGCTCACTTGGGTTGTCAGCGGTTAGTCAATTAAGGATCATGACAATGTTGCAAGCATATCTAGGTCTAGCAGCGGTCTCCCTGACTGGGGCATATGCCGCTGCCCTCGAGACTTCCGGTGCTCCATCGACAACCGTTCAGCCAACGGCTGCAACTTCGTGGTCATATAGCACATTTACGTATGAACAGCTGACGATAAATCGGTACCCGACGCCGCTGCCATCGCCTCTGACCATCGCCACTCCATACGCACCACACTTTACTGAGGTTTCGACCCTGTTGCCGGAGAATGTCACTTACACGACATATTCCTTCAACCCGTCGGCTACAGCGTCCCCCGATGGCCAGTACGGCCAGAGCGCCTACGTCGCTCTCTGGGCGAATTACACTTACACGCATGAGCCTCCTTTCACGACAACCGCGTCTGCGACACCCATCCCGTCTAGCGAGCTGGTGTACCCCCCTCAGCTGCCCGCCAGACCTCTGAACGACAACACAGACCTCAAGTTCCCTTCCGACTTTGTTTGGGGCGTAGCTGCCAGCGCATGGCAGATCGAGGGAGGTCTCCAGATCGAGGGTCGTGGCCCTGCTGTTCTCGACGTCGTCGGTGTCAACGGCCAAGGACTGCTTGGTACCAACGACTCGAACGTTGCAGACATGCACTACTTCTTGTACAAGCAGGACATCGCGAGGCTTGCGGCCCTCGGCGTGCCGTATTTCTCCTTCTCCATCTCCTGGACCCGTGTGGTGCCCTTTGGCAGGGCGGGTTCGCCGGTCAACCAGCAGGCATTGGATCACTACGACGATGTCATCAACACTTGCATAGAGTACGGCATCACCCCAGTCGCGACATTGATGCACATCGACAACCCAGTTGGCATCTTTGACAACCTTGACGAGTTCCCCAGTCACTACGCGTACTACGCCAAGCAAGTCATGGCGCGATATGCGGACAGGGTGCCGTACTGGGTCACCTTCAACGAGCCAAACATTGCCGTGCAATTCACCCTCCCCAGCTACGACGGCCTGACAGCCTTTCTCCTCGCCCACGCCGACGTCTACCGCTGGTACAAGGACGTCCTCGGCGGAAGCGGCAAGATCACAATGAAATTCGCAAACAACCTTGCCGTGCCCCTGGACCCGGCCAACCCGGACGACGTCGCAGCCTCCTACCGCTACCAGGACTTCATCCTTGGCATCATGAGCAACCCTCTCTTCCTGGGCAAACAGTTCCCCGACGTAGTCCTCAACACACCCAACATGAACAAAACGCTCACAAAGTCCCTGACCGATGATCAACTCGCCCACATCAACGGGACAATGGACTACTGGGCCTTTGACCCCTACGGCGCCCAATACGCCACAAACCCACCAAACGGCTACGAAGCCTGCGCGTCAAACTCCTCAGATCCCCTCTGGCCCTCGTGCGTAACGCTCACCACGATCCAAACCAACGGCTGGGCAATGGGCGTCATCTCCGAAGGCGGCGCACTCATCGCTCCGTCGTACGTGAGAGAACAATTCGGCTACGTCTGGAACACGTACCGTCCTTCGGGGATCATGGTCACGGAATTTGGGTTTCCGCAGCTGGCGGACGCCGAGACGTCGCTCGATGCGCAGAGGTATGATTTCGAGAGGACAATGTACTATCAAAATTTCTTGACGGAGACGTTGAGGGCGATTCACGAGGATGGGGTAAATGTTATTGGGGCGCTGGCGTGGAGTTGGATTGATAATAATGAGTTTGGGAGCTTTGAGGCGCAGTATGGGATGATGGGTGTGAATCGGTCGGATCCCGGGTTGACGAGGTGGGTGAAGAGGAGCTTTTTCGATTATGTGGATTTCTTCCAGGGCCACATCTAGTTCTTGTAGATACTTTGGGGGTAATACGTGATTAATCCTCAAAGATCAAAATGTACTGGGTAAAGTACGATTTCGAGGGTTGGTGTTAGTGCAACAGGTGACATCGGGTCTAGTAACCGGCTATCGCGGCTCTCTTATGTCAGAGTCTCCGACCATCCTGGCCTATCCACGTTTTCCATCATGTCAGACTTTATGACGATCTTTCGGATAGCCATCCAATCTGGACGTTACCGGCCGCTAGACGATGCTAAGCTTACGACAGCTGCATAGACTAACTCCAGAAATTGGCTTCGTTTCCAAAGTTCCAAACGCCTGGGTTTCAACTGCCTGTGGACTAACGGACCACCGGCTGACGTGAGAAAATCATTCGAATCCAGGGATGTGGGTTAGAAGGATTGGAATCCGTGGCGACAATTTCTTTCTCAGCATTGTGTTCATGATGTATAAGAAGACAGACCGCTTTTGGTGTCTACATTTCCTCTTGAGATGTTCTTAGCATGCTTCTTGCACCCAATTTCTAGCGCGCGTGAATTCCATCTAAGTTAGCTGCATTATCAAATCCATGACAATGGCAGACGAAACCACTCACCGCCTCATCCCACGCGTCGTGGATGAGCAGGCGGCGCAGGATCCAAAGCGCATCTGGGCCTCATACGCCGTCAGCAAGGACATTGCAAAAGACGGGTTCCGCGACGTGACATTCCGTCAACTGTCACGAGCAGTTGACCGAGTTGCACGGCACATTGAAGCCAACATCGGGAAGAGCAACACATTCG